ATGATACTATACACATAACCTCACTTTCATATCCCAAATAATATTGGTCTTCAAATATAACCCTTGAGAGCTAATAAACGAAAGTACAATAGTCATTGCTGCTTGGAACTTAACAATAGAATCATTCTGAGACACCTAAACCCATAAAATATTCTCCTACTCTATATTCTTCTTCTCTTGTATCAGAGTCTACCATGTTTTATGAACAGCCACATTAACAACACAAGAACTCACAAGATATTTCTTATATTTCTAAAACCAAAGCTTAAATATGTTCTCTATTTAGACCATGGATTTTAAAAAATTGATGTCTTCAGGATCTAATCAATGGGACCTAATAAGTAAGCTCTTTGTTTCGCTCATTTCATGGAAAGACAACATCGGAGTAACTTGACATTTCATTTTATGCAGCTATTTTTCATTGGGTGACAGGCTTCAGCTTTACATCACAAGTATGACTTTTCCATCAAGTAAATCGCATATTTATGACATTGTATCTCACTTTCATGCTGCAATAGATATCTCCCCTTCCCTTTGAGTTAAATGCCACAACCTTAACCATCAATTTTCTACCCAAAGACACAAGGAAAAATGGGAAAAATAAAACAGAAGTAAAGCCAGTGTATGAGAAGCCAGCATTCTCAAATGTATAAAAATGTCAGAAATCAGGCAGTTTATTCAAATTATCCTTGGAAGTGTGAAATGACTAACACTAAGGGGAAATCTTTGGATTAGGTTGTTCCTTTTCTCATTTCTCAACATGATTAATTCTGTTCCCCATAATATATACTCTCAACGGATCGCAGAAATCTCCATGCAATTGATAATAACTAAGCACTTCTAATTTATAATAACTCAATTCTAGATCATTAGATATGACTTTTATCCCCCTGTTTTAATATTGCTCAGCTCATTTTATGTTGTTCTATGTCTTTCCTATAGTCCTTCTATATTGCCATTTGGTTTTTCCATGGATTTCAATTTCAGATTTCCATTATCTTATTTGTGTTTTTGTTTACATCAAGTATTAAAACATCCGCCTTTAGGGGTCACGCAAGATAAAAATGTAATAAATAACATTGGTGTAGACTTATAAATGCCATATCATTTTGTGATGCCATTAATTTTTGATTCTTCCAAGCTTTTTAGTTAGACATCTTTAAATATATTAGTGGTGTTGTTTTTAGGGGAACAGGATCATTAAATAATATTTTTGACAGCCATCAATGTTTTGTATCTCATGTCTTTTCATTATGAGACAAAACTGGTTTATGTGAATGTTGTACCTTGGCAAAAATAATCAATAGTCAATACCATACTAATCTTTGAGTATATCAAATGATTCTATGATTTGAATTGATACTTACTATCTTGTCTTCAAAAGTATCTTTTGTGGTAGTTTAAATATGTAATTAATGTCAGCTATATATAGACAGATAACAGTACAGTGACTCAAACACTGATTATTCAGTTATTTTGTTATTTAAGGAATAAAGACCGAGATTCTATGATTTATGGCGCAATATATGACCAAAAATTTTATTCTGTTCATTGTTAAAGTCCCCGTCTAAAGTTTGAAAATATTTTTTTATCACTAATTTACTATTTGTGAGGACTTAAAAAGTGATTTTAGAGATTTTTGAACAAAAAAAATTTTCTGAAAAAAAGGTTGTGAGCATTTCATTTCTCAAATATTCAAATTTCCCGCCATTTTTCAAAAAAAGTTTAAATTTCTTAATCATCAAATATTTCTTAATGCATTTAAAAAAAGATTATATTTTTAACACCAATGCAAAGATTGAACAAAGGACACACTATTTCAATAGTAAAATGCCATATTTAATGGGCCACTTCAATGTTTTAGCATATCAAAAATATTTTGAAACATTAGTGATGTCACTAAGGTACCAAAAACTTTTTGAAAAAAATTGAAATTTTTTTTTCGATGTCAATCTTTTCTAAATATGTTAGACTTTTATAAAAAAACAATGTTGATTGTATAACCAGGTTAAAAGGAAGAATAAATTATGTTTTAGATGTCATTGTACCATTGGTTTCTATGAGAACTAAAATTTTGAAATGCATTTTTCTCAGAACCATTTTCATGCACTGATAAGTTCATTTCTTGCTTATTTATGAACTGATTTTCTTAATTTTTTCGGCAAAAAACATGGGAGGATGAATGCTATGCATTGGTATGAATTGTGGCTAATTAAAAGATATGAGTGACCTCTAAAAGTTGGTTTTAAATAAATTCACAAATTTTGGAACAAAAAGTCTATCAAAAACCACTTTCTGAAATTAAAAAAAAAGTTTCACATATCACACTTTGATAACATTGGGTAAGACTACAATATAAGCCAAAGTGGTTTAAACTTTATATGGGGCCTTTAAAAGACCAAAATCGCGTAGCGATTGAGGTTTTTGGCAATGGGCAGAATACAAATTGAGGTCATATATTTGCCATAAATCATAGGATCTCGGTCTTTGTTACGATTCTAACATGATACAAACCTAAGTTTCTTCCGATTTGATTATTTTCAATCTGAAAAAATCTGCTTTGGCTAAATAGTTTGCAAAAATATCAATAATGTAACTGACGTCACATTTTTGAGCTGGTTGGTGTTTTTTGGTCTATATTGAAATTTACAGGTCATACATACCCCAATATAGACCAATAAATCAATTGTTCTCGTTATTGTGACATCACATATCATGTTAGAATCTCGATTATAGAAAGAATTATTTATTTTTAAAGTCGACAACGTCTTCTACTGGAGATGCAAAGTCAGAAAGGCTACGCTCTGACTCTATAGGTGTTCTTGGTGTTTTATAATTGATTAGGCCATTTCTATCTCCAAATTATGGCATTACCTCATAGTACATTGCATTCATTATTATTAACATGTACAATGTTATACTAGCCAGAATTTAGGCTTTAGCAGACCGAATGATGTGATGTTTAATAATTGTAACAAGATAATATACCCTTGGATGTAGAAATCATGGAAATGTGTAAAACACAGGAGAAATTAATCTTATAATGGACAGTGTCTGTGTAAATAACATAATGTTGACATTTTCAGTATAATGTTTTCTCTACTCGTTACACTGAATAATCCCTCGATTGCAAGCCTAATATTTCTTCTGTTTAACTACAATAATTGCATCTTTGTTGTTCACTTGCGAAAAGGATGTACAATTGAAGCCATCAATGAGAAGAATGAAGATACAATTCATGAAATATGTAATGATTAAGAATGAATAGGAACACAAGAAGATATGAAATACAATTCTTTGACATAAGATCGCTTTGTAAATCATAATGTATCTAATGAAAGCTAATCAAATACTCTTTATCAGGGATTTCCGTAGAGAATTTAGGCACGATTTCATATTGATTTCCACTTTGTAAATATGAAATGTCTATATTTATGATTTAGTAAGCTCTAATTGAGAAGAAACTAGCTGTTATAGTTTTCACACATTTATAGCAATGAAATTCCCAACCTCTTCTCCCTGACCAAACAGCATTCAGTGACAAAACGAATACCATAGCATAACAATCATGACACACTGTTTCAAAATGGCTGCCAAATTAATTTACCCAACATAAGAGGGGGATTAACACCAGAGTTCAAAGATGACATACGCTTATGATGTAAACCTGTATTGAGATGACATACACCTCTGATTGGTTCAAATCGATAAACAAAAATGGTGTATTATGTCAGTCATCGCTAAAGCTCTGGGGCTTTCCCTCCTCTTACCCAACATGCACAAAACCTAATCAGATCTAAGAACTAGACTTTTCCAGGAAATGAATTGACAAGATTTATGTGGCACCCACCAGCAGCACAAGCTGATAATATAGCACGTTCAAAATGTGATTAAAAGATAAGAAATGTGCAATAGTATGTGCTATTTGGAAGCCTGAAAATGAATTATTCAAACAAATAGTTTTTGATGTTATGAGTACTGGCTATCAATTTTTAATTCATTGTAATGACTTCAGTATGAATGAAATGTCCCAATTAGTTATGGACTTGAATTGTGATTATGGCACTTGAATGATGGGGGAGGAAGGATTAGACACTTTTTTCACGTAAGATCTTGGTTTGGGATAGTTGGGCTTTGTTTTCATTATGACTGGTGTACTATTATGTTTTCTTTTTCTTGCTATGTTCTGTAACCATTTTTGATACTTTCCCTTTAGCACATACATATGCATACATATTCAATGCTCCTATATTTCAATAATCCCTAACAATTTTATTAGGAGCAACGTTTTCAATTTCTTGAACTTTTCCAGATTCCGAAATCTATTTTGGTGACATCCTGGTAATATATGACTCTCCTGTAATCTTCTTCTTTAGTGTTGAGTAGAATTACATATCAAAGAACAGTAAATTCTAGGAATCCTCAGTAAAATAAATAGCACAAGTGAACAGTTTCACCATATTAATCATCATGTTTAACCAATAATGTAGATTGTATTATGCATATCATGGGCAAAATAAAGAAGCAAAATACAAGGACTTTCTAATTGGTCATTGTGACATGATGGAATGAAATATGCAACTTCTGAAAATTTGGCTTGTATTTGTGAATGCAACTCTCGGCTACTGGATTAACCTAGTATTTCCTAACCAACCCATTTAAATATAAATATGAATGGAATATTAGTGCCCATAAAGTAGAAGGTTAATCCAGTAGCCGAAGCCGAAGGTTGCATTCGCGAAAAAATTGTAAAACCTATACTGTATAACCAAACATATAATGGTCAACATGTAGTTTTAGTGTATTTTGGAATCTTGTCCAATGTAAATGTTCCTTCTGTTTTCTATCCATATAGTCGCTGAGCTAATTACTTATTATGCACAACTGTGATAATAACTTACTGAGCTACACTGTAAAACTATGAATAAATATAGCAAAAGTGCCAAAGGAGAAAAGAAGAGCTAAAAGTTGTTTAATTATTGAAAATTGTATATTTTCAGATGAGTATTACAGCAAAAGAAAAAATTACAAAACAGAGACTCCTGAAAACGATGCCAATTCTTCCAATATTGCAGTGCTACAATCTGGTAGTGATTCCACGAACAATCTTATCAATCAAAACCAAGTTGTGAACAACACAAACACCGAATCAGCCACCATAGAGCAACCTCCTCCAACTGAGGATACAAGAAATCAACATCCCATAATAGTTTTACAAGAGGCCCCCGCAGTGAATAACACTCATGACACACCACCTAGAAATTTAAATCCAAATAATCCAAGACATCAGCGTGTGCTGAGGAGGCAGCTATCAAGAGGAGAAATACCTCCTCAAGTGTTTTCTCCGGAGAGAATTGAACAAATTGTGATTCATAATGCGCCACTTTATGAACAGGAACTGCCATTTGCGGGATCTTTACTTCAAGAGCCAAGTTCATCTCACCTGACCTCGAAAACGTAGCAGTTTAAAACATAGCACCTGATAAACAAATACTCCACAGGAAAATCTGTCTAAGCTAATTACCTTTAAGACGAAATTGTTCCGCTTAAGATTGATCATCAAAGGGGCTGTTACATGAAACCATGATAATGGTTAATGCCAAGTGTTAATGCTTAAAATGCTGTTTGTTCTTCTTTCAGGATTGGTTGGCTTTTCATGTTTTACAGCAGCATTTTAGAATATACCACTCCAGTAAATCATGTCACCTTATAAAACTGATATGAAGGAATTTATACAAAGGAATTTTACAAAGGGGATTTTGTGAAAAACTTTGTTTGAAACAATCATTGCCTTCGGGAATTATCCCTGTTTCTTTGATATAGCAATGGAAGACATGATTTACTTGAAATATCTATTATTGACATGTAAATGGGTAACACATGAACTTTTCATGCTATATTTGTTAAGAATGCAGATATTGCCAAAAGATAAATAGAGGTTATCCTCTGATTTATGAGTGATATGATTCTTATCCATGAATGGATATTGATATATGCTGGATCAAGCCAAGTTCAATGGTTTAATGAATACTTGATGACAAAACTACTGTTCTTATTTTGCTATGGAAATAAGGCATCAATATGCAACACATGTTGACCCTATTATTTCTTCCAAACATGAACTATACTCGATAAAGATAGACTTTCTCCAGTTTCCAAATATACATGTACTTATCAATATTTATAATATACCTTACGTGACTGTGATCCCTATTGACAGTATTGTTATGATTGATTACAAAAACTTCTATGATATAATCAAAGAACAGGTGAAGTTATAAATGATTTATAGGGAACTTACTTCAGGGGATGCCAAAAGTAAATGAGCTTTTTTTAATTGAAAGCGGGAGAAATATACAAGAATCAAACTGATACGACACATAATTAGTGCAGTTATCTTGACTGCCGTGTCATTTTTGAGTGAAAACATGATAATGTTGCTTGACTAATGACTTGTACAATATATGTGCAATATTCCATATTATCATAACCTTGTCAAGCTTGCAATTATGTGATTGGTCAGAACTGTGTCACATGTCATGAAACATCAGGCAATACTATATAGAAGTGATATTTAATCTGAGTGGTTAATTTACCTAATGACAACAAACTTCCCATTGGAACATTATAAAAATAGTATATCTTACAATTTTCTGAACCTGGCAAAACTTAGGCAATAGGCAAATTAAACAATTAGGCAAAATTACCACTTGTACAGTATTCACTGGCCTACTTATCAAATAGAGAACCGTTAAATAACTAGCAGTTATATAAATGAAACAATCACGTAACAATTCTGTAAGTAAAATCAATGTCTTGATGTTTATTTTCTGTAAAAATATATCCTGCCTAAAGTATACATAATACGTATAAAGCAAAAGCACTGACCCAAGTGCATGTATAAAATGATATCTACTACATTGCCATTCAAAGTTGTGTAATTATTGAATAATTATTGTTTGTAAAAATTTAAACAACACTCATATTGATGTAGATATTACATAATTGGTTGAAATGGATATATGAACTTAATTGTGCGAGTTCTTCCAGCTTTATTGTGCAGGTTCAATCAGCTTCACTGTGCGGGTTCAACCAGCTTTATTGTGCAGGTTCAACCAGCTTTATTGAGCAGGTTCAACTAGCTTTATTGTGCAGGTTCAACCAGCTTTATTATGCGGGGTCGACCACTTTATTGTGCAGGTTTGATTATTTTAATGTAACGGTTTAACCACTTTATTGTACGGGTTTGACCATTTTAATGTAGTGGTTTAACCACTTTATTGTATGGGTTCCACTTTATAAGGGTTCTACCAAGTTAACAGTAGATTCATGGGAACCAGGTATGGGTGGCAAACACCCAATAACAGCAGACAAAAACATGTAATTTACAGTAAAAACATACATAAAATGGGTACTTTTGAAAAAACAGTGGGCAGATTTTGCTTTGTATGTAGTTCACTGCCTGACACATTCAAAAAATGAAAGGGCTGCAACATTTGTGAATCATACCAGCTTTATTGTATGTGTGTGTGTGTTTGTGTATTGCTGGATGACCATTTTAAAAATACCATAAAAAATGATTTGTGAAATTCAATTGTATTTTAAGAAAATTGTATTTTAAGAAACCATTAAAGTTACTATTCTGATCCAAAGTAACTTGAAAGACAAAAGAAATTTAAAATTATGATATTTTCAAGAAAAGTCCCTAATTCATATTAATTGTCTATTTATATTTTTGCCATCAGGCAATATAAATAGACAATTAAATTGTCAAGGTTTTATATTAGTAAAATACATGTCATGTTTTTGTGTCTGTATTAACTACAATGTCAACATTTAAATAAAAACAAATTAAAACTAAACAAGCTTATTCTAAACTTATTTACATTGTTTTGGTATTTAAGGAATGCCTACTTAAAATAACACAAGTAGTTGGTTTAAAGCAGCTGCTTAAACAAACTTTATCTCTGTATTTATTTGAGATAACTTGGGCTTTTCTATCTTTAAAATGTATAGGCATTTCTAAATATGTATCATGTTAGTGAATGTTCTGTTTTCATTGTTGATAAAATTCAAGTATGTACCTTACGAACTGTATCTCGATTCTTGAAAACTCTCAGCAGAGCAGAGGTGGGGCCTTATAATTTTTATCTTGAATCGTTTAAAATATTTTGTGTCTTTGCACCGAGCAACTTGAGCAATTTTCCTTTAACCCAGCTTGCTTTAAGATTTATCGTTAATACAAGTCTTTGAGCTTGCGATGATTTTGTGTGAGATGTGACGGTGGACTCCAGGGTGTGGAGGTGGGAAACTCATACAAAATACAATGTTGTATCCTTCTTTCTATTTGCTTCCTTCAACCAGGCACCTATTTGATCTGAGATCTCCTGAAAGATAAAGACTTTGATTTAAAAATAGAAAATATCTGAACAGCAAATGAAAAGATGGCAGCATATAGTAGTGTTTGTTGATATATCTACTAAAAACAAAATGTCAAGAAGATATAGATTCATTAAGTATATTACACTAGATGTACAAAATTGTAATTTAGAAAATTAAGAATTTTAGAACTTCTGTTACTGGCTCAAATGGCTGAGAAATGATCGGAAAGACAAGGATGAAGAAATTCATACAAAAATTCAGTAATGAAAAATTATTCTTCAAGTTGATAGATCATTTTGCTCACTTTTCTAGCCTGCCTTAAAGCTGGCAGGTCTCTGGGGGCATCATCATGCATGTTTGCACAATGAGCAGTCCCCTGGATATAGATGGCAGTCTCTGTTGCAGTCTCATTTTGGAGAATACTGAGGGCATGCCATGGATCAATAGAACCTAAAAGAACAATGATTTATTTAATAAAATTACATTAGTACAGCTGAGTTCAGACACACTTATTTTGCTCCTGTTATTATGTGAAATTAAAGGATATTTAGGATTATTTGGACAAATATATGGATACTACAGCATTCATGAATAGACAGACATCACAGACAGATGTGAATTATCAGAATATTTCTTGTGAATAAGAAGATATTTGGAGAAGAAAAAACACATTTTATGTGTTCGACTTATAACTGACACAGGTCATAGGTCAAACCAGAGCACATGTACCAACTCTAGTAACACTAATCAGCTACTTATCGGATTTACCAGTTTACTATTCATATGCCAGTGTGACTTACCTGACTGACTTCACTGAAATAGGATTATTGTTTTGAGTGCGATCAACTGAACCTAACATCATGTCACAGCTAATACAAACACCAATTACCCAGTATGCAACAACAATAACAACACAAGCAGATCAAGGACTGTCTCAACCCTGTCTACCTGTAATGTCTTCCACCTTTTTATCAGTCATTACAACTAGTGTGATATCATCAACAGCCTCATCAGCCAATATGACATTCACAGTACCATCCATGGAAAATATGTCTGCAAGTTTCCATTCAATTGTCTCAGAATCTCCACATCAACATTGTTTGGACAATACCGTATCTCAACCCATGAGTTCCTTTCCGATCTCAACATCATATAAAGCAGATCTGTTACTACCACAGCAACAATACCATGTAAATAGAGAACAACAGATTAATACAGACAATGAATATACATCTGAAATCTCCAGTACAAATATAAGTGACATTATAAGAGGTATAGAGTCTCAAATCAGCACCTCACTAAATAAATTAATTCCAGAATCAATCAATAGCTCCATGGCAGTGTACAATCAAAGACTCTCTGAGACTGAAGCATCTATACGACAACTAAAAGACATCAATGATTCCTTTGAATCTGATCTGATACAAGCCAACGATGAAATTATTGGTTTAAATAAACGTCTGACAGAACTTGAAGCAGAAGCAAACAAGAATGAACAATATTCACGCAAAAGTAACGTTAAAATAACTGGAGTAGAGGAAACAGAACATGAAGATTGCAAGGCATTAGTTCTCGAAGTTGCCCAGCGTATAGAGGCAAATATTTCCAATAATGATATTGATGTGGCACATAGAATTGGACTAAAAGTACCTGGTCGAAAGAGAGCACTGATTGTAAAATTCAACACCAATGACTCCAGACAATCTATGATCAAAAACAGGAAGAAACTTGCCAAATCTGGTATTGCTATTCATGAGGACGCCACTGGAAAGAATGTCAAGTTGATGAAAACTGTTAGAAATATGGATTTTGTGAAAGACTGTTGGATGTTCAATGGGAAAATCTTCTGTTCGTTTGAAGGGTTTGATAGTCGTTGCCATCGTACAGAATTGGATATAAATTCAAATCCTCACGAAATATATCAACAACTTGTGAATAGCAGATCTAACTAGATTTGACTTTACAATTGAATTGTTACTATCCATGATGAAAATGTAACCTAAACAAACTACATGTAAGGCAATGAAATAGCCTAGTAATGTTTCTGAAATATTACCGCTTTTATAATCACTCTTGGATATTATATACATATATCCTAATATGTTACTTGATTTGTGTTGGGTTCATTCATTCTTATATTTTATATTCTGTATATATTTACTGATCTTGCTTTTTACCATTGATTAGTTCTTTAACATTGAGTACCAGACTTAGAATATGACTGTATGTCTTATGATTTACATGATCTAGTTTCATCTGAGATATCAGTTTATGCATCCATTCACCTTTAAAAATTAAAGTAGTGTCATTTAAATACCAAGATTTTTTTATCACTGTTCGACTTAATTCTTATATTAGATTTTTGTATCATTTATTTTGTTCTCGTATGTGTGGGTATAAACGTCTGAAAATGATGTCACCTACTATGTCTTATTATGTAAATCATATTTGTTCTTACCAATAAATTGAATTGAATTGAAATGTTTTCCTTTGGAAGACATTCTCCTAACTATCCCAAGATAAGATTTTTAAAATTTAAGTATCTTCAACAATGTCAAGGACAAATGAACTACACAAGATATTTATGACATAAGAAACAATTCGTTGAATAATACTTCTTGAAAGGAAATATATGACATCATTTTTCATTTATTAGTATCAATAGAGTAGGCTACCAAAGCAAAGCACATTTTGTACTTTGCAACCTCAGTTTCGTACAAATATGTGAGCATCATTTTTCGTTTATTAGTATCAATAGATTAGGCTACCAGGGCAAAGCACATTTTGTAATTTGTAACCTCCGTCTCGTACAAATATGTGAGCTAGGTCCAAAGCATGAATGCACATTTGAGGCTTTGGTCAACTGCTGAATCCAAACAGATCATCTGTCAGTTGCTCAAACTTAGCCATAAAACATCATAAGAACATGATGATTTTCAGTAAATGAACAGTATAAGAACTATGGAAAACCTCTCTGCAAGATACACCTCTCTATATGAAACAGTTTTCAAAGGATCAAAGTCCAATTGACCAACATGCTAATGAACCCTCTATGTAAGGAACACCTCTCAATATGGAATGGTTTTCATAATAACCACTCTGTACGGAACACTTCTTCAAGGAACAATTTTGGCCAGTATAGAGTGCATTCCAGTTATAACACATGTATTTTGGAGGGACTTACCATTAACAAAAACAATACGAGTTCCACGAGGGTGGTCACCTCCATAGTAAGAGTTCGTGAATTCTACTCTCTTAAACACCTCATCACCTGATACTCCATACACCTGGAAAATTTACATTAGTAAATTGAAAACATGGTAAAATTGATTGAATCAAAGAAATGTCAAATATGCTAATATTTCTATGATGCCCTCAAGCAAATTCTACACTATGTTAATGTATATTTTTCTGAAATGTAAAAATTCCCAAACGTCTGATCCAATCCAAATTCTTTCTTATGTGATTTTTTGTGATTCTAATTTAAATTCTTATTTCCATTTTAAAAAATCTAATTTTCAACATCATACACTAATCTACAGTTTACCTGCTGACAGATGTCTATATTATGACCAAAGTCCATATAGCGAGAGAATATACAAGTCGTATTGGCATCACAGGATTGATCTGAAAATAACAAATTCAAAATTCAATGAAAATACAACTCTATGAACATAAAACACACGAAACAAGAGGATGTTGGAACTATTAGTTGTAGTCTGGCATACTAATGTAAAAAGCTAAATTTTAACCCCACCTCCAATTTTTTACACAAATATCAGAAAACCCTTATAAACAAATGACCAGCCCTTATTCTAAAAGTACTAGGCTGAGAACATAAAGCTTATTATTTTGAATTTTCTTAGGAGTAGCAACATTGAATTTCATTGGCTCTCGTCTATTTGACAACAACATGGTTACTAAGGTTATTCATGTTTTGGGTAACTTACAATATCCAAATTGTGTACATGTCTGGTAGAGCCACTGACGTATGCCTACACCGCCACCTTTCACCACCGTGGTATTACTCAGCTGCTTAATGAAGTTCTCCCATGAATTGTCAGCACACTTTTGTTCAGTTCTGTTCAACATTTTCTGAAGTACATGTATAATAATCATGAGTGAGATTTTGTATTTTGTGAGCACAAACTTGTCTATTCCTGTCAATATAGAATGTAGATGATCGCTATGCTTGCGTTGTTATGGATTGCATCCATGCGCTTATCTAAGCTAAAAAGCAATCAAGTCCTTATGAGGTTGAATATTCTTAGCTTTGTGCATGTAATCCATCACAGTGTACAATACATTCAACCAACTGATCATTAGTGAATGGTTGAAAGGGATACAGAATATCTTTAAACCAAAGTTGAACACACTGTACCACTTTTTAATACATGTACCTTTCACTTTCAGTGTACATCATACCTGGCTTCCTTATCAGAGAACAAAACTCCCCAACTTGGAATTTTTCATAATGGTGTTCCCACCTCATATAGATATCTCATAATGGTGTTCTCACCTCATATAGATATCTGAGACTCTGGTATGGAGATGTCTTTGCTAACATGTCATCACAAATGGAGGTAATATTGTAGCCAGCCCCTTCATCATTGTACTGCACTGTGCCTAAAATATAAAAACTTCATTTTTCAATAGTTTTTGTGGATATTGTATGTTTATACTACATGTACATAGTTATAATTGTGGGATCAAGTTTACAAATTGGAATAAAAAACATGTAAAAATTAAAAAAAAATGTTTCCAGTTTCATCACATTTATTTCATGACGTGTATTACTCACCCATAAAAGGATCAGCTAAATTGCTAACAAACTGGAATGTATCTGCATGTTGGCTTATGCTCCCACATGACTTGAAGTCTGTCTCTAGCTGTGAGTAAAGCTCCATGTCCAGCATGGTGTCCACTGTCTTGAATGCACTCTGTACAGCTAATGCACACTAAGAGTAGAAACACAGCTGTGCTTGTTACAACATTAAAGAAATAACAATATGTCACCACTTTTGGTGGTGACATAAAAACAAGTGTAAATGGAGGTATATGAAGGGATTTGTTGTGAAACTAATGCACACTAAGAATAGAAACACAGCTGTCCTTATTTCAACATCAAAGAATTTTCAAAGGCAACTGGAGGTATATGGAGCCAGAGGGAGGTGTAGATGAATGTGTGTCTATTTTGTAAAAGGCACTTTTCATACTTGTGGAACATTCTTTATGTGGGCTCATCCTAAAGATTAAGCTGTCAAGTACCTGTGTAAAGTACAAAAGGCTGTGGTGTGTACTTATATGCCTATGCCCAAATACGATAACAGACAAAACATGAATAATATATCCTCACCTTCTCAGAGCCATTCACAAGTGGAGTAGCAAGGCTCTCAGCTACCACAGAATTATAACCTTCAAAATTGGCCTTAGCCCTAACAGGGGCTGAGCTAGCAATGGCCCCATACACTAGATGAGGATACTGGAATTAGAGAAACATAAATGAATATAGGATATCAAAATATTATCATTTTGTAATTCAGCTTAATGACTGTATGAAGGTATTTACAGGAGTTGCTGTATGAAAATAGTACAGTATGTTATTCTCAGGCCTAATATTTAATAAACTGTTGGCATCTCTAAAACATTATCTACTTCATGTGAAAATATCCAAAACTAGCCCATTTTTTATTCTATTTCAAGATTTCCCAAATTTCAAACCGAATGCAACTGTGGAAATCATTCAAATTCTGGTCATGTGCCATGCCTAATTACTTAAATACTAAGATCAGTGTACCCTTTATAGTGAACTATTTTACATCTTCTATAGTTAGTTGCCTTACCTTCAATCTGAACCATGCAGACAAAGCCCCAGGGTAAGAACCACCGAAACAGACCCAAGTATTTTGTTCTGTTAACCCATATTCCTTTTCTGCAAACCGGTGAAATGAAGCAAGATCAGCTAATCTAAAAATCAAACCCTGAGTTAGCCAGTTTCTCTTAAAGCAATTGCAATGTAAATGGTAATAAGAATTTACTAGGGCCGGTGGAGCGCAGCCATTTTATACTGGTTAAACTGCACTGGTTCATCACTGGTTCATCTGTGCATTGGTTTAACTGTTTATAGGTTTAACTGCACAGTACTTACGCCTGTTGACTAGAGAGGTACTGCAGACTGCTCAACTTTAGCCCATCTTCATTTATGCTCTTTCCATAGAACCTGTGCTCAACAGCAAACATGAGAGCTCCATACTGCTTGGCAAGGACATATGTTTCACCTGGAATATCAAGAAAATGACATTTATATACAAGGCATGAACATGCAAAGTGTCACCACCTGCCATTTCTTACTTTTGTACAGAGGGCAACCAACCAACCAATATGTCACTACTTCTGGTGGTGACATAAAAAAACTATATGATTTCTCTATCTATATAACTTCAAAAAAGTAGATTAGTATGCATTAGAAATGTGATCCCCAAAATTATAAACTCACCTCCTTGAATTGCTAAGGATGAGATTTCTCCTTCCCCACCAATATAGAGAAACACTGGGCCATTAGTTTTCCAAAACTCCTTGTTCACAAAATATCTCTGCTGATATGTCTCCTAGAACAGAAGTTTATCATTTAAGTAACCGAGCGGTCAAAAATAAAATGTCAGAATAAGCCTTTGTTTTTAAGTCTTTGATTTTTCTGAGGGGATCAAAATGAAGAAACATTTCATTTGAGACCAATAAATCTTTAATTTGTCTCTATTTGATGAGATCAAGCTCCATACACAGAGCTTAAGAACTCTCCTCCTCCTTTCTTGAGAAAGAGGAAAATGTATACTGGATCTGCCATGGAGGCCTGCGGTTGAAGCATGGATGAGATTAGATAATAAAGTTTGCATGGTAAAGAAAAATAAATGATAGGCTGTTCAGTTGACTGACTAAATTGATTGCAAATTTTCACTTCCTCCGCAAATGTTCAACATTAGAGTCGATGGAAAAATATATTACCTTGATGGTAGGATCAAAGTGATCCATGGGTTGTGTGAAGTACATCTCAGGTAGAGGCTTTGGCTCAAAACTAGATGGAAATCTAGGATGATACATTTGCTTGATATTTTTTCGCATGACATTATCTCGATGCTCTTCTACTTGCTCACGAATCTTCCAATAGTTTGTACCTAAAATGATTAAACATTTTACTAAAACTGAAAGTATATGTTAACAATAAATGTTCTGTGATCTCCCAGAGATTTTCTTCCATGTAAGAAATTTTTTCATTTTTTGTTATTTTAACCATTAGGACAAGTTCTTAATTTACCAAATCAGAATTTAAAGGTTTTATTACCTAAAAGTAAACAATTTCAAATAAAATCACTTAATTTGTTTTCACTGAGTATTGCCTCATATCAGAAACACTTATGTAAAACACTTGAAAAAAAACATTATATCTTAAAACCCCCTTGTATTTAAAATCAATGTCATATCTTGAACTTAAGACGATGAAAGAATGTTTAAATTCATACTCGAACATGACTGTATTCACGCCTTCTATAAACTGTGAACAAAGTCAATGTTTCATCCAGAGCATAATCGAGATTAATGCCCTGGCTCTGTACTAAGTTTCATTCAGTGCAAAAGCTCAACCGGAAGTAGAAATGAAAAAGTGGAACTAAACATCGAAACTGACGATTTTGCAATATATTCTGGTGAGTTTTCATGTTCAAATCGTAATATTCACCTCAGAGCAGGGCTACTATTTTCGAATACACCGCTTAGGGCTAGGCACAAAAAAACGTTTGTGCCAAGCCCTGCGGACTGTATTCGAAAATAGTAGCCCTACTCTTCGGCCTATATTTCTTAATTCACATATGCAACACAGTGGAAGGGATATCAAAATGCTGAAAATTATCGTTAAAGTGTCTTACCAAATCCAGAAATGAGATCGATTTGAAGAGCTACTAGAATAGCAAACGCAAATTGTCTTCCAATCATTCTGCAGGTCTTTCAGCTCAGGAATGTAACTTTGATTGTTTCAGATTTTCCAAAGCTTCTCGTGCCTTCTTTCCCGAAGCCTTCTGTACCTCCTTTCAAAGCGTTGTGTAGATTTAAACAAATCTTTAATTCTACATCTAGCTCAACTTTTTCACTCAAAGTGAGATCAACGATACCACTTAGTTACACTTGCTGGATAAAAGGCATCTATTGAACTGCAAATCTGAAAGCTAAAAAAATAAAAAATTTGTTTTATCAAAACTCAACAGACAAGATCAACACGAGTTCCTATGATAATAATGTTTTTTCTTTAAAATTGTCAAAGAAACTCCAATCTGGGCTAAAACCAATACTCCTTAGTGGAGATTCACTTCAGATGAGCATTCTTATATTCTTGTTTATGATGTCGCTATCATCGATGTCAAGAAGAACGTTGATGTAGAGCTGATGTTCGGCATTTACTTTCTTCTAAGGCCACTAGATCTATAGAGATTCGAGAAATTCAGCATCACTGTACCTGTAAAATGGTGCATGAAAGTTGAAAGAAAACTGGGGTACTGTAAATGTAATGCTAAGTATCATCATATGATCAAGCATGTGATAAGTGAACAACAGGCAACTCCTCGAAACTTTGTTTATGTCATGTGATGCTCTTCAAATTAGTCATGTGATTGTGACTGCAGAAAACTTCCTTCCAAAGAAAAAAATCATAAAAATTTGTATGTTGAAGTAAAACAAACCCAAGCTTGATTTGATTCACACAAGAGCATCTTATGTTCAACCTATTTTGTTTTAAAAAAAGCTTGTAATTTTTTTCAATCTTAATCAATTAACAACGATGATATATCGAGAAATCGGAGGTACAATTTTTTTAACTTTACCGGTTTACAATTTTTACCTGGCGTGTCACGACAAAACTTCCGGTTTTACTTCCGGGTCCAAAATATTTTTAGAGTCCCAAAACATTGTGTAATCCGTGTAAAATACTTCACTCGACGGCTTAATAATCCTTCGAATCACCACTTTTCAACACCCATTATGTGCCATGTAAGTAATAATTGCATTTTATCAAGTTATTATTGAATTCAAATAGGCTAGATTATAGAGTTTCAGTTGCCTACATCATGGGCTCTATCAGACTGAGTACATGTACATTCCAGTCTGCAGTTTGACAAACGAGTAATCATGATATATTTTGATTGACAATGATGAACCATTAAGTGACTAAGCATTCAATTCAATAATCAATCTAATATGTTTTGTTCTTGCTTTCTAGTGAAACAACCTGGACTCTGCTGCATTATTGACTAAAATGGATAGACAGGAAGAAACTCATGCAGCTGATCCCGATCAGCCTGATGAATATGATAATCAGACGGTGGCCCTGACACATCTTCCAGATGTTTGCTTAGTGAAGATATTGTCCTATCTAGATCTTCCTGATAGACTGAACGCTGCATGTACATCGAGCACAATGCATGACATGTTCAACCATCCATCACTTTGGTACAAAGCTGTGATTCTGATCTTTGGGCGTAACAAGAATGAAAATGACAAAGAGAAGGCCATAGATCTTGCACTAAGGAATAAAGCAATGATCGAAAAGTTTGGACATTTCTTTCAAGATCTAACTTTGGTGTATTATGGGCATGTCAAGGATCCCTATCCAGTTGTGCAAGATGTTTTAAATGCCATCTCAAAATCATGTAGACTAGAATCATTTACATTGGATGTTGGTGCACATCTAACTGTCCATGAAATAAAGAGAATGACAAATCTAGGAGCTCGGATTATAAGTGACCAGTTTGAGCCAATAAACAATTTGATCAGTACGCTATATCGCTTGCGTTCTTTCGCAGTAAAATCGTGGCCTTATTACCCAGGTGTACAGACATTTAATTTACTGACATCCCTCTCCAGTAATACCCAGATTCAGAATCTAGAAAAGTTGAATTTATTTTGGGAGGATCCAAATCTGAGGAAGATAACCTGGGTGAGTAAAAACATTATTGGACCCAGGCCTGAAGCGATGGAAACATTTTTCCAAGGATATTTCAAGAACTTGACACACTTAGGTCTTCGTTCTAGCATGCTAAGTGAGAGTGTTCTCCTATCGTTGACTGAAATTGGGAGATCTCCATTGAAATCACTGAAGATAATGGTGGTCTATTCAAAGCAGAATGCTCTTCTTGCAATTCCAAATATATCCTCGGATGTTTGGAGGCAGCTTACATTGAGCTCTCCTGAATTGGAGGTGGAGGTTTCCATAGTTACGAGAGTACCATATATGGATCTTGCCGGTTTGCTGAAGCCTGAGGTTCCATTGGTTGCCATAAGTTACTTAAAGTTTGCCCAATGTGATGGCCAGGATTTAGCATCAATAACTGATAAATATCACAACACTTTAAAGGGATTTACAAGCCTTTGTCATAGTGATAATATTGATTCTGAGCTTGTTGCTATGGCAACTATGTGTCCTCACTTAAAATATTTTTGCTATCATGGTCAACTGAATTACCGCACAGCCATTGCTATTGCTAACCTGAAGGAAGAAAATTGGAAATATTTTGAGCTGGCTAAAACACAGATTGATCTATTTGAACAGAATCAAGATGAAAACCATGATGAAGTTATACGAAAAACTGAAAATGGAGATTACTACATTGTTAGCTTGGAGACTGCCTTTCGTGAACAAAATGAAACTGTCTCGATTGAACATCTGAATGGGGAGGTGTCGGCTGCCTTGAAATGTAATTGGAGCCCTATTGAGACTCTTCCTGATGTTGAAGAGAATAATTTAGAACACTGGAAATCAATTCACAGGAACATACTTTGGGGGGATTTTTCAACATAAAACCTGGTATTCAAGAAACATCTTAACTCAAGATTTAATAAATCTGTTAAAAGAGACAAGGTGATTATTTTGATGTTGTTCCCAAAAACATAACTGATTATGCTTCAGATTGACTATATCTCTCCCCAAAGTGAAACTGAATAGTGGATGTGCGCATGAAGCCAGAAATTAACTTATCCTAGCCTTATTTGTAGACCTGTTTTATTTCGAAAGCTTCAACACATTTGAACCCATAAGGGAATGTTAGTGCCTTTTAAAATCTATTTAAATTAAGAATTCACAAAGGAATTTTATTCTGTGTAAAAATATATATTATTTTTACAAAAAATATACATTGTATTATAATGTACGATTAGTCTCTGAACAATTTGCAATTGTCAGTACAACTAGTTTGAAACCATTTTGGAATTCATAGTTTTTACTGTAATAACCTCAATGAGTGATGTATTATTTGCATTTATAAAATAAATAGAATTTGGAACGAAGGTTGCTTAATGTTTTTTAAAAGATTGCTGTATTGACAGATTGTTGATGCCAATTCATCTTTTTGATCTCAGAAGGGAGTTTTGAACTGGTTTGTGAAGTATCATCATGTGGTATCCATTTTATCTCCCGATCCCTCCTTATCACTTTCAGGTGTAACATTGTCACTTTTCACTTCTTTCTTAATACTCTGTACACCTTCAGTTTTAGTATCCACAACTGTCTCCATTTTATCATCCTTTATATCACTTTTTTCATCGATAGTGTCACTTTTGTTATTATCATCTGTGTCTTTAGATTTATCAGCCTCTTGTGTATCTTTTGCAGTTACTTCCATTTTAGAGTCTGGTTTTGGTTCAATAGTCTTGACCTCCTCAGCATCTCCACCCTTCTCATCATCACTATCAGAGTCCGCCCCTGGGTGTTCTTCCATTTTCTGGGAGTCAGGTTTGGGGGTGGGAACAGCTTTAGACTCCTGGGATGGAACACGAGTTTGTATACGTTGCTGGGGTGGTCTATTTAGCTCGACTTGTTGCTAAAATAAAGAAGGTTAAATCACACATAATTTTGTCAAGATATAATTTCTATCATAACCCGAAATCAGTTTCAATTTGTGAGTCTTTATGTTTCATTGATTGAATTCATTTTATACTTCTCATTTATAAATATTAAATGAATATATAAGCCTATAAGTATAATTTAAATAAATCATTGAACACTGGTATGGGAGGAGGTCAAAAGACTTTTTATAAGAGATTGTCAAAAGACTGATTCTACAAGAGAAAAGACTAATTCAAGAAAGAAATGTGGTAAAAAGACTATTCTATGAGGGGAGGGGAGCAAAAGACGAATCCTTGTTCAAATACTTTCACAAAAAAAACATTTTGACCTCTTACCATCCACTATAATAAAAAAAAATAAACATAACAAAAACACATACCCTCTTTTGCTGATGCATCATTCTGCTGACTTTATCCTTGTAGTAGTCAAATACAAACTGGGCCATGTGTGGCATGTCTTCAATCACCAGAGGATTGCATCGTGGTGTCTGGTCACTAGGGCGCTCTGCTGGGTATGTCTCATGTGGGGCTAAATGAAGTTTTAATGGCCTTTCAGTCAACTGCAAATAGATATAAACATAGATCTATTATATTTAACAACAGTATTTATTTTCAGGAGATATTGGTCCTTGTAGTGGGTTTATGATTAAAAGTGATTTATCAAAAATTCAAATTTCTTGTCAGAGATATCACTCTACCCTACCATGTGACCCGTTTAAAAGGGACAGCCTACAGTGAAGTTGCAAACGGATCTCTTTTAAAGAAATACAGGCTACAGTATGTGGGTAGGGTGGTGTGATATGGATCTAACAACAAAATTGTTAACATCTTCTGGAAATTTCTTGAATGAGCTTCTTTACTCTCTTGCACAAAGAGTGCATAAGTGTCTTATTTGATTCTGGTTTCTTTAGGCAAAGATATAAAAAGCATAGCTCTGTTATATCTATGATTGATGTTTTTCATTAATATAACCTTAGGGCAAAACAGATAACTACGTTATAAATGGGCACTAATGTGTTTATAAGTTTCATATGGTTATACTTTCAATTATATTTACAGTTACTGTTAAATCATGAATCGTCAATTTGAAGAATATCAAATAAATTAAGACTGTGTATCTTAATTTCTCAACAAACAAAAGAGCATTCAATTAGGATGGATCAGTGAGCCAAAGGATCACTGTCTCTAAAATACTGGACAGACTACCTGTATTTAATACTAACTATACGGTATGAACTAGCTTTTCTCAAAACAGAAATTATTGATATAATAGATCCAGATCTGATCTGACATTGGACATTTTTCTGGATCATTTTGATAGATTTCATTCCTTATCAAGCCTTCAGTGGCAATTAAAGGGAGGCCTATCTATGATTTTTCATGGATTTTAGATCAGAAGGAACCAGAAGTGCATTTGAGATTGAAAGAAAATGTATATCACAAACTACACCTGTCAAACACAACTTATGAAAAGTACCACGAATATTTTAGCAATCATTGCTATTATAACAACAATTGGATTGTACTTTCAAGACAGAAAATCTACTGGAACATCTAAAGACTCATTTTGGTCCCTGAAAGGCTCTCCATGTAATCCAAAAACAAACATTGTATTTGTAAAGGTACATAAATGTGCGAGTTCTACATTAAGTAACATCTTCCAGAGATTTGGTGAGAAACATCATTTGAAGTTTCTCCTTCCTGAAGACAATTGCTATCTTGGGGGCTACCCGGAACCTTTTAAGATTCTCCCTGGATATCGGGGACACAAGTATAACATGATGGTCAATCACATGGTATTTAATAAGCAACCAATTCGAGAATTAATGCCAGAGGACACTGTATACATTGGTGTTGTGAGACACCCTGTATCTCATCTCCAATCTATTTATAATTATTTCAAACTTTGGGAAAGGGGCCTACCTGCTTTGGATCAATTTGAACAAAATCCAATACTGTTTTACGGAGGCGCAAAAACAGATTTAGCAAAGACGCAAGTGAAAAACTTCCAGAGTTTTCATTACAAGTTGGCAGCATCAGCAAATCCTAAAGCCACTGAAGTTGAACGATTTGTAAAGACCATTGATAGACAGTTCGACTTTGTGATAGTAGCTGATCATTTAAAGGAGTCTCTGCTCTTGTTAAAGGATTTCCTCTGCTGGAGCATGGAGGATATCCTATTTGTGTCTCATAAAGTTCGTAACAAGGACAGTATATCTGGTGAACACCACATTGACCTTAAGTTGGTTGAGAGAAATATTCAAAAATGGAGTTTGGCAGATTTTGCACTTTTTGAACATTTTAATAAAACTTTATGGAACAAGATTGCGAATATTGATCCTGATATGTTTGAAAATCAACTAAACGAATATAACAATCAACTCGAAATTGTACGTGAAACATGTTCAAAATATGGACTCTCGACCAAAAATAATTATGAAAATAAAGCAACATTAAATGAAAATAATTCTACAGAACACGAAGAATCTGAATTCTCCCGATGCTCTCTCATGTATTTGAACCCAGTGCAGTATGTCCAACGTCTTAAATTATTAGACAGCATAAACACTTAAATAAGGGTAGTTGAAAATAGAATATAGTTATAAAGTCGAGTAATCAGTGCAGGGAGTGTCACATATAATCAGCTGTATCAATGTGAACTTTTTGGGATCCTTTATTCTGATACCAGGTTATATGATCAAATTATAGCCAGCTTGAAAATCCCTCATTATTTTTCAATTAACATGCAGCTACTTAATATATTATCATATTTTCTGTTCATTTTGTGTCTTCTTAAATTTTTAAATCCTTCTTTACCTTTTCATCTTTATCTCTATTGATATCTAGGATTTTAAGCTTTTATTATTATTATAAAGTACATCTTACTTGATTAAAGGCAGGTGTGAGCTCAAAGCAATTCTGGAAGAGGCTGACTCTTGCAAAGATATAGAGGCCTAGTCTAGCCCTGGACATAGCCACAATTAAACGTCTTACATCTCTGAAAAACACAAAATAAAATTGAGCTTTTGTGCCTCACATGACATACATGTTCAGTTGTATTTGTCTTATTTTACACTACGTAATGTTTTGTGTAAATATTAACAAGGCATTAACATGACAAAATGTCACCACCTAGTTGCTCACAATATTATAAGTTCAAGTCAGATTTGAATTTCTGGGAACTCTGTAGATGATTTTGAAAAAAAATTGGTCAATTTGAAGCAAGTATTTTTACCCTGAGAAGGTCATTGAGGGTGAAATCCCAAATCCCAAATCAGACAGATTTAAACTTCTGAGAACTTGTAGATGATTTTAAAAAAATTGGTCAATTGGTCAAGTTGAAAAAAGACCCTTTTGACTTTGAGAAGGTCATTGAAAGTCGAATCTTTTTTTGACCTTGAGAATGTTATTGAAGGTCAAATTTATAGTCAGAATTGAACTTCTGAGAACTTGTAGATAATTTTGAAAAAAATATTTGGTCAATTTGAAACAAGTTGAAAAAATACCTTTTTGACCTTTTTTATCCTTTTTTGACATTAAAAAGTTCATTGAAGGTCAAATCTTAAATGTAAAGTCAGATTTGAACTTCTGAAAATTTGAAGATGATCTTGACAAAAAATGAAGTCAGTTTAAACAGTATTTGGTAAGTTATTGAAGTTTTAAGAATTTGTTACAGACGCCAACCACCAACCACCACCAAAAAATGGAGACCATAACAATATGTCACCACTTTTTAGCAGTGACATAAAAACTGGTTCTCAAGAAATTAAACTTTGTATATATTTACAAGACTCAGACAGATGTCGTGCCTATTTTCTTAGAACTACTGTATTGAAAATTGGGATGTCCTTTTTTCAATTCTAATGAATTTGGACATTTTTACATCTTAAATCTTCAGTAACTTCTATATTTCATCAGATATCTCAATTCTTCTTCAGATAATAACAATAGGATTATAATAGCCTATAAGGAAAACAAAGACATGCCTTTTCACAATATGGCTTTCAACATTTTAAAATCCCTCTTCCCTCTATTATAATTCCTTTAACAATGTGACAAACAATCTAATTACCTCAAATGACCAACAGCCCTCGTTCTGACCAATGACAGGAGAATATAATCATTCTGTTGCCCCTGGAAACGATCCACTGTTGTGATCTTCGCAGGCCAGCCAATCAGTGGGTTGGTTCCACATCGCTGAGCAACAACATCACGGATGAGATGTTTCTGCCCATTGTATGTAGTAAGAATAGAGATTTTCTCTGCAGGGTAGCCAAGAAGTCGCATATACATGAAGATAGCAACCACATACTCTGCCTCCCCGAGATTCTGAAGATAGTGATAGGATAATAAAATTGTTGATCAGGCTTAGGGTAGTAAACATATTGAATGTTACAGAACAAAGGGATTTTGCTTTATTCATTATTACGACAGGCTGAGTAAAAATTAAAGTTTACTCAAAATTCAAACACAAACAGAAAACACAGTTTTGTTTAACTTTAAAAATCAGCCCAACGTGACTGGAGTGTTTTTATTAGAGTGTATACAAACAAAGAATTCTGCTGAAATGGTATTAAAATGAGTTAATATACTGAAAACTATACACTATTCATTGACCAATCAGAATGGAGTATTGAGATTTAGTTGCCTAATTAGCTTAATTAGGTGGATTTGCTTAATTAGCTAATCCGATTATATTTCTTCATTCATTGCTTTTGCGGCACCTTTGCAGACTTCTTTCGCCAAAAATAGTAATATTTGAATGAAGCAGAATAAAGCTGCAAACAAATTATTGTCTACCTGATAGAAGTAAGGGTTTGGCTCAGACTCTCCTACACCATTGAAGTCATCAACATTCAGCAGTTGGAAATCGTAAAAGAATCCTGGGTTTGAGCGTTTGTATTCTGGCCATATATGGACATGCGGAAGATTTCCCAGTTTCTTGTATCGCCAGTTATACAGGTTGCAGATCCTGTGAATATATCAAAAATTATATTTGAAAAGACCCCTGTTCTTATTTCATATGTATATCTGTTATAAGCCACCTCATAAGTTGAATTTATTTTTTGACAATTTAGAGTTTGATATTTTTTATCAAAACATATAGTATCATGGTAGTATGTACAAATTTTAAAATTACATAAATTCAGTAATTCAAGAATCATTCATTTGAAACAGAAACATCTACACTATTAGGCTACATATCATTGTATATTTTTTACAGAATGTACATGGTATCATTGAGATCAGTGTGAATCTAGATATCAGAACTGTTTGCATACCAAACCTGAAGATAGTGACATATAACTTATTAGTACCATGGATAATGAATAGTTGTTATCCATGGACCAATCAAATAGACCTTCTTATCAATTCTGCTACTTTGGTGAACCAAAGAAAAGTATGTACAGTAATGATATACTGAAAAGAAAAATGGCGCAATATTTTGTAGAGAGCAAAAAGTTTGCTCTATTTTTGCCTCAACATTGTAATAATGACACCATAACCAACAGATGGCATAATTTACCAGTTTGGTTTGTTGCAAGTACAGAAGATTCATGAATAATGTTCAACTTACGTATGCCTGGCTCTACCTTGGGCATCTAGATCAATAGTTGGCACGTTCAGCCTCACAAATCGTGTAAACAGTGACTGCTCCATGTTGGAATACTTCTGGAACGCCATGTTTTTTATCACTGGGGGCAACTGGTGGTGGTCACCAATCATAATCCAGCGTTTCAGGCGATTATAATTGTCTTCAGGATTCTAAAATAACAAAACAATATAAAGTGTTTCATGATGTTCATATTGTTTTTACTGATGCACATATTAAGTGTACATATTCCCAAATGTATAAAGTTCTCAATATTACCATCATCATAATAAATCGTATCCTAATCCTACCTGCAACAGTAGTGGAATGAAAGTCTCTATCTCCAGAATCTGAGCTGATTCTTCCATCAATATGTTGTCATACTGAAACATGCATAAATAGTTACATCATTGGAATACTGAACATGTATTTCTAATTACAAGACACACAGTGATATCGAAAATAGAATAGCAAAATGGCTGCCATGTAAATTTACTAATTTACCCAGCATGCCCAAAACCTAATGAGATCTTTGCACTTAAGTCTGGTCTTGCATCTGTAAAGATTTATGTGGTATCTACCTGCCCAGACAGAACACAACCATCAGAACAAGTTGACAACAATATAGAACTGTGAATAAGTGGAATAATAATATTGCTCATAATTCATTCTCGTATATTTACAAAAATCAATATATTTCCATAATTTTTAGATATCACAAAAATCTATGCGATCTCCAAGGAATACTAAGTGTAGCTGAAGTATTAAATAATATCTAACTCACCTGGAATCCAAGCTCAACAAGATCTCGCCTCTTCAAGGCAGCATGGGTACATGTCATGGCAATAATTTTCGCTTCCTTCACCATCAAGAATCTTGAGCGGTCTGCCCCACTGCGTAGTAACTCAAATGCACGGAATTCCTGAAGAGGAACAGCAAATCATACAAATCTTGTCAGATCATTCTTCTTTCATGAATGATAGCCATGGAACAGTGTACCCACACGTGCTGATGTTGGAAACGCTACACTAATATGCTGCTCTGAAAAAATTGACAGAGTGTGCCTTTAAATCTCTAAAATAGGCAGGTAACGAATCTTTCAATTACCTCTAATTGAGTGAAAATCCTCTTGATATGTCTGAAGCAGCCCTCTGCAATATCCAGATCTTCCTCATATGTCCGTGCCTTGAACAGAGGCTGTGGGGCATTGTCGAAGAACTTGGTGAATGGGAAATGTTCCATTATCATTGATGCAGTTTTGGTTTGCTGAAAATTGAAATATATTACATTGAAGCTATTCATGAGAATTTAATCTTCTGGAGACTTTTTCAAATTTTGAAAGTCTATTTTAACAGACATTTATTAAAACTATCACACAAGAGTTTATCTTAATTCAAAGTTAGTTTTACTGTAACAATGTACGCCATATACACAACCCCATTTTAATTCAACATGCTAGAATTAAAACTTGCAATTTCAAGAATTTTTTAGAAAAAACAAACAAACAAAGTCAATAGTAATCCAAGAAATCAAAAATACTACTTGAGTCAACAATTCTGATTTTTGCAAGTCTAATTTACCTTTCCTTTCCTCTTCACCTTACTCAGGAACTCCTCCCACCTGGCCAGCACCTGCAATCAAATATTATGAATCAACATGTGGGATGTCTTTTTATATTCTAGAAACACTTCCTGTTGATGCCAAAGATTTACAGAGCTTACTTTTTAAGAAAGTCACTCTATTTTGAAATCACTGATGTGATATTTTTATATAATTAAATTTCAACCCCTCTTGTACTTTGAATGGCATTTCACTAAAAGTTGATTTTTATTCAACAAGTAGGTCCTGGCAAAAAGTCTATATATTTAATAGGGTGTCATCTACTTGAATGACCAGTGATTAGGTTACCCACCTGGTAGAGGTAGAAATGCCCAGCAGTCTCACAAGTGTAGGAAACATCTCCTGTCACCCCCAGACTGTCTTGTAGGCGAGCAACTTCAGCCAGCAGCTCTAGACGCAAAGCTAGCACAAAGTTCACACGACCATACCTAAAATGTACAGCATGATAAATATTACATGCTGTATTGGTATTATATTGGTGTAATAATACATATTTTTATAAATCACTGAGCTGTCTTAAGTTAATAGAAACAATGTTGACATGGCCATGACAAATAGTGCACTTCAATAAAATTTAACATGGGTACAATAGAGAAATGTAATTCTTTTCAATCAAAATTCAACAGCACTGGCTTTTCCAAATAAACACTGATTTGTGACAAATTAAAAAGGTCAATTTAGCAGTACAAAAATTGATCATGAAGACCTGAATTATGCAGACATAATGAATGTACCTGCTAAAGTCTTTCTCAGTCTCCAGTGCTTCCTCACCATGCCCAAGACGCAGCAAGTGACGTTCATCAATGTCAAGAGCCATGATCTTCTCAAACAACTGATTCAGGGCCTGGTTAGAGTGAGTCACGATGAGCGTTCTCTGGTCTGGGAAATTATGGTAGATGTTTGAGATGATCTGCACAGCTACATCAGTCTTGCCTGTTCCAGGGGGACCAACAACCTATAGCAAAAATGTTGTTTATTAGACCATGTAACTATCGTAAATCATGTATAATTGGATGAGCAATTTGCTTACTTAAAAACCTAAAAAAACAATAAATATGCGAGAGCAATGTTAGCAGATTTGTACATTTATTTCTTTTCAGGAACTCATGTTTTTGTGATTTGCAGTGCTTCTATTCGCTCCAGGAATACAACATTGAATTTTATGCATCCTGAATTTGTGATTTTACAACAAATCACAAATTCAAGATGTCCACAAATCAAAAGCATCTTTCAGTATCCTGTGCCAATTTTCTTTGTTTTCCCCTTTTAACTGGGTGCAAAGTATTTTCAAAAATCTCAACTTGCACAACTTTTATTCCACTATAATTATAAGAGATAAGCCCAAACCATGTAGTAATGACTGGAGGTCAAAGATCTCCAACAAATGCACCTTTACTCTATTTGGTGATTCACTTACCATAGTTAGACCTGGCTGCATCCCAGACCTTATAGCTTCTACCTGGGTTGGTGTGAATGGCACTGAATTTCTGCAAAGGAAACATTTGAAATTAATAATTGAACCAGCTATTACTTGTATGTAAGCTCAGGCACTGTGTCTCATCCTTGAATTACTAGATACTATATTAAATATAAAGGTTTTCAGGAAAGAAGTTAAACCACTTAAGCTAGAGGGATGTCTCTAATGTTTCTCAGAATCAAAATAATAACTGTCAATGCTTATACACTTGAATCTTTGTCAATCCAGAATTCAATGTGAAAAGTGTACACATACATGATGCCATTTTCCATTTGAAAAGCACTGAATGACATGTGTGATTTCTCATTCATTCAATTCGTAATAATTTTTCATCAGACTCATCATGGAACTTAAATACTGCGCTCTGAGCTGAATCAAAACTTGTCAAACCACAATTACATGTACATTATATACATGTATATTAGTATCAATCAGAACACTACTTACTTTTTTGGTACGTTATATGGGTAAGGTCCTCTGTTAGGTATGACATATGGTTCCACAGTGATGATCTTATCACTATCTGTGTTAGCATCATCTTCTTCATTCTTCCTCTTGCCTGATGTCTTCTGACTCTTAGGGAATGTCAGTCTAAAAAGTCCACAATTAAAAAGTATTCACATTTTAAGAAAACCTAAGGAAAACTAAGAGGTACATTATACGTGAGAGCGAATTCACCTTGATACTTTTAAAATAAAAACATAAAAAATTGATTTTAATGTGAATTTCAAAAAATGTTTTGATCTAAAAATAATTATATCTAAATAAATAGTAGATGCGCAACTATTACATGTATATGTTAAATCAGGCTTACTTGAAGGGAGGTTTAAGCTTTGCTGGATCATCCACTGAGTATTTGACTTCATAGTCTGGAAAGCTTGATCTCAGGTGGTCAATACTGAGAAATGTATCCCACCAATCTAGATGCTGGATCTGATTTGACATGCTGAAATCAAACAAGATTGAGCTTTGTTACATCTATGCAAATAACTGTTATTAAAATCATATTTTTAAGAGCCTTTAAAATTACTAAAATTACTATGACTCCAAATAATATACTAGTAACTACAGATAACATTCTAACTACAGAGAGCTACTTTCTCCTATATCTTTCTTTCTAATTTCCTTAAAATATACTACATACTTAGTGTATTTGGCAGCTCCTGGGTCACCATACCCCAGTATAATATCATGTAACCAATCAGGGACTACACAGTCTGTGTTCATCAAATCACGAATCGTCTCCAATACAGCCTTAAAGTTGTTCTCTTTAGGCTTTCTGCGGATCATTATGTTGAAGGTTTCATACACATCCTTAGTGAGAGAGTAATAAGATAGGTTAGGCATAATTTAAAAAATATATTTCCGAAATAGTAGTATCATTCAGCTTCTCCTTTTGGATAACATTTCTTTAACATACAGGTGTGATGCTGTAAAAGTATACACTAATTTGAAGTGAAATATTGTATGCACATATGTGAGGGATCTCAATGAGGCATAATATTCAACCATACCTCTGAACCTTGTGTTGTCTTAGTCATGTCCTGCTGGTATTGGTTGGGGTCCAAAAACACTCTGAATGTTCTTGTCTCACCGTGCATCTCAGGTTTTGGATCAGGACCTAAAAAACGTCAGAAAATTATAATTTCAGAATGAAATCTAATATATATAAAATTGTTTCTTTTATTTTTCAGTAAAACCAACAATGTGTATTTGCAAATAAAAATAGTAGTAAAATGTAAGATGTTGGCATAAGTATCAGCCATATATGTTTTTTGAGAGTTGTTTCTTCGATGTTTAAAAGTGATAATTCTATCAACAATTTTGATATTTGTGTATTGAATGTTATTTCGACATATATTATGTTTTTTGCATCAACATCCATTGACTCATTATGTAATGGTTTCAAAAATACAATGTTTATTGAACTTGGGAATGTGACACTCACCCTCTTCAATGACCTTCCCTTCCATGTCCAGCATGCCTTCAATTTCACACCCTCTTACATACTCCAGCCCCACTTGGGGGATAAAGGGCTCCTTTGGGTGGTATCTATAGCCAATCTTCATTGTGGGTCGCACCGTCACAAGAAATGCAACATCATGCTTTCTCAAACCTACAATCACGGAAAATGTTAAATATTATACCATGTTCATGTTAAATATTATACCATCTTCATTCAACTTTTATACTATTATCTGACAGTATACAGCAATGAAACTCAGGGCAGAGATGATCGATTGGTAATATCATCAAAAATGATTATTTTCAAAATAATCAGGGGTGATGGATACTAGATTCATGATGGGGCTCAAATAATCACACAATAACATAAAAACTATGATGCCTATAGTTATAACCTCTGAGATAAGACACAAGAACACATGCTTTGGAAATATTTGAAAAGATATGCATTTCAGACCTACCTTCCCACTCTGCCTTTATATTTGGTTTGAGATTAAGATTCACTGTAATATCTGCTCTGACCCTGGCTGGCCAGTTCTCTCCAATATTGGGCTTTGCAACCTGAATTCAAACAAATCATTGAGTACTAACTTATTTTTGGGTAACTTTTATATTACTTTGCAGTGTAGTTTTCCATATTTTTAAAACATGTAAACGTTAAATATTCGTAAATTTCCAAAGTATATAAAATACACACTTCTAGCTTTCATTAGTTGAGTTGGAAAAAAGTTGAGTGAAAGTATTTGAAAGTGGTACATACCTCAACGACATTGAAGCCAACCAGCGGCTGAGCCATCCTTGCCCAACCACCAAATGTAGCAGACCCATCCTCAGCCTCCCTGTAACATAATATGGACATTAACATCTAATTAGTACACTTAATCATCTGGACTAATCAAAACCTTGCAACCATGGATATGTGCATTGAATGATTGCAATGTATGGGTTCGAATATTATATTTAGTACATTTCAGTTTGTATCACACTTGTTAAATTGTGTACTAGCCTAAGCACTCAACTTCAACTCATATTGAACTGCATATGATATAACTTGTGCATGGTTTTACTTATCAATGACGGATTGACCCGAGAATACAATACTCAGCTGAAATCTATCATAAACTGATATCTAGAGAACTCTAACATAAAGCATCCATATGGTCTTACCATGGTTTCATCCTACTGACTGCATCCTCTATATCTTGGCGAATTTCATCTGAAATTGAGATTTGAATTTATTTCATGTCAAGACTTAGCTTTTAAATTATTTAAACTATAAATCCTCCCTTTTATGATGATACATCAAATAATCGTAAATCCACTTACACGTTGACTCAAGCCTAAACAGATTGAAGTTTCTCAGCAAATAGTCATGCAGAGTGAGAAACTGCAAGTTCAGTTTTGGTAGAGCAAGACAGCCTGGAAACACATATGCCAGGGGCAATTATACAAGGGGCATATACCAACACATATAAGGGTCAATTCTCAAATAAAATCTAGGCAGGACCTAGCTAGCATAATAGCCTAAAATTACGAAGAGGAACTAAGTTCAACATATAATAGACAATTTCTAAGCTTAATCTCATTGAAGCACACTCCGGATGAGCGAATAAGATTAAATTGTAATTGCAGATTACATTATACAATTAAACATATTAAATACTAATACATAGGGTCAAATATGTTCTCTTTGTTCCTGAAAATAAATTATTAGGATCCAAATCCAAAAACTTTTATAATTGTCAAATTTTAAGAGACTAAGCCAAAGTATTATTGATATCAAGTTACCATCGCCAGAGAAGTAGTCACTAGGAACAATGTTTTCATTCCATATTATAGCCTCAGTGGGGTAGAGGGGCATCTCATTTAGTGCTTGTAGTTGAGAGGAGCGTCTTTCATGTCTTGAGATCTACAATGAGTAACAGTACATTTAGAACTCAGTGGCCATCTCGATAAAAGCTTGTAGCAGAGAGGCCTTACGTCTTGATCTTTATGACAAAAATGTAAAAAAAACATTTCAGGATATAGGCTAATAGTACGTTTCAGATAATGAGCTTATTTCAAGTTATTGTCTTAAGAAGTTGAAAAAAATCAGCAAAAATGAAATGTGTGTACGTTAAGACATGGGTTTTCAACTATGAAAGCCCATGGGATATATAACAGATTGTATCTATAACTTGGCTACATATACGATGAATACAATTTATATTATGAGCCTAGATTCCAAAATATTTCACCATGATCATAGTTTATTTCAGTTAAATTGTCAGATATCAAAATCTTACCAGAAGTTCCAGCAGCATTTTTTCAGTATAAGGACTCTCTTTTTCATCACCTAAAGGTGGCAGCAGGTGTAAATAAGTGGCAATCTCGTGAAGTTTTGTTGTGCTGAGTGGAGCGAAATGTTTCACCAATGTTTCTCTGGTATCTATGCTGGCTACATTGGCCAAAGCAAACTTGTGTAACTCCGGGAAATTCTTGAAAGCAGCTTTCTACAAGCAGAGATAAAGTAAATTTACACACATATTATATTTTATCATAACAGTTATATGAAATTAATTAAAATAGCACCCAAATACCACAACATTTCTATTGAAAATCTAAATGAAATAAAGCTGATTTATTACATATTTATGCAATTGGGAGCATTTAATCCATGAACAACAAAGAATCTCCACATTACAAATGCCATCTTCTAATTCAGCATTGTTGTAGATAAGATGGTAACTTGACACTTAACTGAGGCTACATTGACACCAATGACATCTAACCATTTGGTGCCAACTTAATCGGTAGCACAATGTGTGGCTTTAAATGACCCTGAATTAGAGAAAGTGCTATGTAACAAGATGAAAGTACCTGTAGTGAAGTTATCTGGTCATAGTGTATGTCTGTCATCTCATCATCTGTCAGTGCTTCACCTGTCTGTTCATTGATCTCAAACCCAGCATAGAACTTCAACATATCAAGCAACTGAAGTAAAGTTAATCATGGTGTGAACATGGGCTTGGGAACACTTCAAAATATTCCTACTTTTCAATCCACTTTTTTAACATCTCATTGAGTAGCATCATTTATATTTTGCATGATTTGAAGTTATGACACTTTTGTAGTTTAAGTCCAAACATCAATAAAGACACCAACAAGTAGGCTGTTTCAACCAAATGAGCTAAAAACCATGATAAATTCACAATGTCACATGCCCCAATACAAAATTTGTGAAAAAATAACCGAAACACAGTTCAGCAAAGTACACGTAAAGGAATACAGTAAATAAATATGCACATTACCTGTGAAAATAAGCGTCCCTCCTTGAGGCTGGCTAAACTGGACAATTGTGACTTGACAACGACATGTTTGTCATCCATCAACATATTAAAGAACCTCCTAGTGGGCAGTAGGGCCTCTAAGTCTATCATGAGCTCGATAAACCTCTCACAGTAGTGGACTTTAGACATACTGACCTCTCCTGTAAAGGAATGCGAAACATTAAGCTTCTTGAAATATATTGGAAGAGGTAATATTCTAATGTTGATGGAAAAATCTTATTTTCAAAGTTCTGCTCAAAGTACAGTGGATTTTCAACAGGGTGCAATGTAGTTTGTATGCAAAGTCTTAGACTACAAAACATCAAGTATTTTTTGAAATACAGTGAAACCTGTTATTTGGAACACCTCTAGAAGTAGAAAACTTTTGTTAGTGGAACACTTTTCAGAGTCCCAAGATCAACTGACCTAATGTTAAATGAACCTCTATGAGTGGAACACCTCTCATTTAGTAGAACACTTTTAAGAGGTACCAAGGGTTTTCCACTTTGACAAGTTTTACTGTACACTGTTTAATAATTTCATATTACATAATAATTACTGTACATACCTTCTTCTTTGATAGAGTCAAGTATGTTGTAATACTTCTGTATATGTGCCGCTAGGAAAGTTCGTTCAACTTCAACTTTCTTTTTGGTGTCCTCATCAGCTTTGGCATCCTTTTTCTGTATGGCATTCCAGAATTTCTTGTACCGTGGATTTGTTTTGAAGATGCTTTCGCGCCGACCCTATAGAAAATCAATGCTTATCTTTATCTACCATTCAAAACAAGATTAGGGTTATAACCACCTTGCATAGAATGTAAATCTGGATTACTTGAGAATGCATTTTATTGACTCTAGCACATTTTTATGAAAAAAATAATATGTGAATTAATCTAGGGGACATACCATTAACATATATATTTTTATACATATTGTACATGAAAATTCCTAGATTTAAAATGCTACGTGTACTTTTTATAGGTAGGCCACTACCATCTAGTATAAGTGGAATTCAAAGTAAAGAGCAACTTACTGGTAGAATATTCATCCATATAGGTAGAGCCACTAGTCTCTGCACTCGTTCCCTGATCAGATCTTCTTCCTAAAAAACAGAATGGAACATAATGTTGGGTCATAATGGCCAAGCTTATAAGACAAAACAAGTTGAAGACAGGAAAGGAAAAAAACTGCAATGATCATGCATGTAGTTAACAATAAAATAAAGAAAAGTTCACTATTTACTTAGGAAAATGAAAAAGAAAGAAATGGCAACACTCGGGATAGAAAATTCAGCCAACACTTAGTTAACAATTAAACAAAACATATAATATAATGGGCATTTTCAAAAGATTGGGATAATTGAGTGCTATCTGCCTCTTTCAATTTACAAGATTGCTGCCATATAATATGATGTTCTTCAAGGTAATTAAGCCCAGGCATTTGTAGGCAATGGGAACTCACCAAACTATTGAAGCAATGAATGAGGAACACCAACAAAGCAGTTTGTTCCCGCAGACTGACACCTGTCTCCTCAAGACTAAGTGACATCACACGCTCAAAGAATGCTGGGAAATTCTTTGGATTGTTTTTAAAAGGCTGAAATATCACATAAAAACAATTAAGTTTGAATTTTAAAAAAACATACACAATAACATTTATTCATTTAATATATGGGACATAACTTAATTTAACTAAAACATAGAAATCTGCAATTCTTTTGCGTCATGAACTTCAATCATTGTCACATTTATATTAGATTTTATTGTAAAGAATTTTGGTGTTTTATTTCATGGAAATGCGTATCCATATAATAGGATTCATCATATTTCAGATTTACAAGATATTAATCATTGAATATGAAGATTATTTACCTCCCATGCTGGAACACGTTCCCTGAACTTCTCATTCACCATGACAACTATTGACATTATATGAGAGTTTGTTGCCTGGAAAATAACAGAATCACATCATGTAAATCCTTAAGACCTTACAGAATAAATATTATAGAATAGATCAGTTCAAATTTGAAGGAAAGTGTCTGTACACACATATGAGGTCCAATAAGGTCTAAAAATCAAACGGTTAATTTGCTGTGCTTTCTTTAATATGTTCCGTGATATCTAATGATTCTATATGGAGGGGTTTGGATTTCTTGTAGAAAGTGGGTAACATTAACAACTTGATTATTTATTTATAGCATTCATACCTTTTCAGTAAAGTTTGGCCACATGTAATTCTCCAGATATTGGCTGAACTCTAGCAGCATGACACGTCTACTGGCAAATCTGAAGTAATAAAATGTATTATCATGACAAGTACCAACAGTCTACATTGTACACCCTGTTTTCCCCCCAAGATATTTTCTATAAGTAGGGGCAAAATCCTCAATATAACCACTCAAAATATGCCAAATTTCCATAGTTTCTTATTTTCAATTGAGTGCAAATGGGCTTCAAGTGCGCGTGGGCACAAATCTATATTTAAAATCTCAAGTGGGCGCAATGTCTATTGCTTATATTCTAATAACCTGTACAAACAACATTGATGAAAACATCACAAATCTAAATTTTGGTATTATATAAAACGACAGGGCACTTGGTGCGTGATGAGATTCAAAGGTGTTCTTATGTCATAAGTATGACATGTCTTGTGAAAATACATTATGATTTCCATGAGATTTTCCATATCTCACCCACATTCTATTATGCTTTGCAAATTTAACATGCGTGCAACTGCATAGAACACTTACCTTGTTGCCAGTAACTCCTTCTTGTATATATCCTCAACTATCTGAAAAAGAATTTAAAACACCTAATTGTATTATTTTCATATAATGTTATACAAGAAATCATATTAGTCAAGAAAATTAATGAAAGGAAGTCTTAAAGTACCCCTTTGAGCTTTTAAAGTATTACACGCTCAATCCGCACACTGAAATCGCAGTACCGTCATATGGTACTGTTTGAGTATGGAGTCGTACAGTGTTCACGGTACTGTACAGTATTGTTTTAGTCTACAGTACCATATTTCACGGTATAGTAGTCAAAACAGTAATGTATGGTACTGTTAAAGATTGGTTGTGTAAGACAGTATAATAATATGACAATTCCATATAAGGACAGTTCACATGCAAATGATAGTTGCTGATCGTAAACTCAATAGATACAACTGTTCTGACATCAAGCTTAGAAATGTATCATATCTGCATCTCCATGGAAGTAATTTCGTAGTTTTATTTCCATTTTTAAAAATATTTTTGACCTTGTATTTGTCAAGTAGGTTTTACACTAGATTATCTTTTTAAATAATGTAGGCAAAGATTTGAAACTTATAATACACCTAGTTTATGATTATCATGCATACCTTGGGTTCATAAGGCAACCTGGGAACATTACTGTATGGAGCCCAGTACTGGTTGGCTAACTGAAAGTATAAATTACAAATAACATTACAAATAGCTATTACTCGTTGAATCAGTAAATTCCACTCTATGAAATGTTATCATTATTTCAACCTGACAATTTCACTTATAATTTCACTATGTCAATGATAATCAAATTATAATTAAAGCCGTAAAAAGAACTTACTCTTGTAATGATATCTGATTGGATCTGCTCTACTGTTGGGGCAATTGCCCCTTTCTTTTTGCCACTCATCTCTGGTTTATGACAATGCAAACTAAAAAACATAGAAGCAAATCACGATGTGAGTCCAGAATCATAGTTTGGTAGATAATACATTATAATACATGTAGTCCATTATACAAGCCAGATTTTTCAAGCTTGTTGCTAAGCTGCCTTATAAATTAGCTCAAATATATATACCTTTTATTGACTTAATAACCATGGCATGTAAATGACATATCAGTCACTACAGTGTACAAAAAGCTACAAACTACAACTACATATCACAAAACTACTTTACATCAGTTTCACATGTCAGGGTAATTGATAACAGAATATCAGTGTGCATGTGTTTTTAAAAATGTTTACTTAATATTAATCATTTTCCAAATTTTTAAAAGAGTGACATACAAATTTGGCTAAATGAAAGTTAACATGAGAGCTTTAACTAGAATCTAAGCACTCCAGATTTTTTGTCTCAATAAAATTATTAACACACAATACTTTGAAACATCCCCGAAATGATGTGGCTGCTGAAATAATTGTTGTAGGAGCAGATGAGCAATATCTCTCTTAACAGATTTGTTCTCACAATTTGCAAACCTCCAGGCAATAATGTTTCCTGAACAGTTTTTGTTTTAAATTGCTAAAATTGCTTATTCTGCTAAATTGTGAAGATATTTCTGAGCAAAATTCATTAAGTTTTAACCATTTTAACACTTAAATATCTACTTAAAATGTGATTACATGCTGATTATTCATAATAGAAAACCTATGCTATTGTCAACATTTTAAAGTTCATAATAAACTCTTGAGATTGTATAATTTGCGTATACCTACCTCAAAAATATTTAAGGAGTTCAAAGAGTAGTATTAGACTTCTTAGAATCAACAACATCGAAACAAAAAGGAATCAATATATATTGCTTATTAACTTTAGGTAGAAGAAAACTGTATTTAGTTGGGCATTTGGTTGACAACTGAATTACAGAGTTTGAAAGTCAATATAATATTTGTGATCTACTCTGTACCTAAATATTATAGAATGTATAAGGGGAGATCTAAAAAGTATACCTGATTTCACAAGAATACAATTGCCTGGGTGCATGGATGGACAGATGAAGTCACTTTATTTGTTGGAAATATAGAACGTTAAACTAAAAAAGTCACTCATAATTATTACAAAATGAATGTGCCTGATTTTAATGATCAAGAGAGGATCCAAGTGTTGATTACTAATAGGTAGTTTAGATGAGTCACAAATACTTACAATTTTGAAAGGATTAGAGACTTTATACTTAAAATTTAGGAATATTATTCAAGATTCTTTTAAGAATAAACACATGAGTAACCTCTTTTTTGATTGGAATGGTACAGAAACTAAGGACTGTAATTGTTCCCTCTTTTGCAGAACTGACATATCAACGGAGAGAAAACCTATTCAACATCAGACTTGGCCACCACCCAGAGCAGGCAGTTTTCCTCCAGGGTGAGTTTATTTACATTAGACCCTGGGCGATCTGTAATCTGATCCGGTTTGATCTGATCTGATTTTGCCATGGTAATGATGCATTGTGGGATTAATCGGAGTTTATCGTGACATTGGTGAATTTGTACAATCTTTTTAATAAATATTATCCTAATTTCAATCATGGGCTTTCAATTAGAAAGAAGTTGGCTAGTTGAGAGCTCATGTCTCAATCCACCTACATAAGTGGATTAATTTTTGGATTAAATTTATCCAAAGCACTAGCGATAAACAGCACCACAGACTATTAGGTGACATGATAGCACCTTCCATATGGATATATGTAACATATAACCATCAATCTTGGAATAAATCTTGGGATAAATCCTAGGATCGTACCAAGTCAACAAATATTTATCTAGATCAATAATCCAAAATTTATCCTAGAAGATAAAAATTTATTCAGATCGGATTACGGATCATACCAATTTACAGTCGAGTGAATTGGTATGATCCGTAATCCGATCTGAATAAATTTTTATCTTCTAGGATAAATTTTGGATTATTGATCTAGATAAATATTTGTTGACTTGGTACGATCCTAGGATTTATCCCAAGATTTATTCCAAGATTGATGGTTATATGTTACATATCGGATATGAGGTGAGATGTAGCAATAGAACTGACAATGGATGTTCCGAAAGGGATAACTGTACTCTCTGTTCCAGTACTTTGTGATTTGGTTTTCTGTATAAAAAGTCATTTTTCTCCTTCCCTTCCCCATTGGAGCGCCATCTGGTGTTTTGGAAATGAATCGGGACTAAATATTTATAAGGTAGGTCCTAATTTATCTGAAAACATGTCAAAGTTCAGTTGGAAATCTCATTTTAAGCTGGTGACGGAGTGATTTTGACCTTGGTGATTTTACCAGAATTCTCTGAGAAATCTGACAATAGAGGGGGTTAGTGTCTTCAAGTTTATTTATCTCAAAAATTCGGTGGACAACCCATGCATGGTAAGATTGTTATGGCAGGCTAGGCGAGTCTCTCCCGAACACTGTGGTATGTTGCACTAGGGTTGGATACTAATCGTTAATAAGATACAGGGTAAAATGTTATAATGGCCAACTATGGGAAACTCTTCTGGAGTCTCCAACCTAAACGAAACAATAACGACTAGAAAATGGGCGATAATAAGTTTTAATTAAAATGCTTCGAATATAACTCCTCAAGATGCACGAATCTGATTTTAAATGAATAAAATATAGATACCTTTATACTCAATGGTATATGATCCTGAGTGTTAAATCATCAATTGCCTTCTCTTTACTGCCCTTAAGCTGTTTTAGTGCATTTTATTGCGTGTAACTTTATTTTCAAACGTTCACGCCGGAAATCAAACTAACGCATGCGCACTGTGTTTGACAGAGTTTCATGCTTGCACAGAAGCTCAGAAAAAGACCTAAAATACCAATTAATCAATGTTTCTACAGTTAATTTGTTGATACACGTACCAGGTAAATATCTAACATATAGAATATGTATCAAAAACAGGATATCTGTTTTGCCTGGCTCGGTAAATGGAGAAAGAATCTCAAGTTTCAAACCGGAAGTTTTGTTTTTTTAATTTTATTTTTCACGTTTTTTTTATTTTTGTTTCTCTTTCTGAGCTTTTGAAGAATTTGACGGGGATTGATGCATTAGCGATTTGATAATTTGCTTTTGAATTTGCACATTTGACCGGGGGTTGAAATGCGCTCAGTACTTCTTCCTGTTTCTATGTCTGAAACCTTTCAATTGGCACTAGATCTAAAGGCAAAGGTGTGTAATGTCGACGTGTGGGCTAATGTCGACATAAGAGACGGGGTAACTTCGACACTTACTTATTAGAAGTAGAGTTTCCGTTTTCCGCCATGTTTGATTTCTGTAAAAATTAAAATCTCGTGAGATCTCGATCTATGGGAGAAAAAAAACATGGCTTCTCCCTAGATCGGAAATAAAAGCAAATAAACAATGAGGTGTTGAAGTTTCCCCACATGTCGAAGTTACCCCAAAATGATGTCAACGTTACACCCCTTCGCACTATAATGCTGCCTCAGGACTTGAGTCAACCTTTCTTCAGAAATTTTTACTTCCTAATAAATATACCAGGATTGAAAACAGGCAACCAGCGATTAGGCAGAAGGTCTTACGATCAACTCTTCATAAACAGGCATTATTGGTTTACTCTTGGAAAACATGTGCTTGTGACTGATCACGCGATCATAGATCATATCGTGCTATTTGATAGGACATTGTATAGACTGATCATGTCATCCATTGCAAAAACTCCGACATCTTACCAGTCGACAAGAAACAGTCAAATGAAGCTAATAGATACACTCATAGTAATAATTTTAAGTGATTGGAAAATATAAGACTCTTGTTAATACAGCTGTTCAAGTACAAGTCTCCAAGATGAGCTAATTAAGGTGAGAATCGGAAATAATAAAGGTAACTTTATTTTTTGAATTCCTGTTTCTAATCTTAGTGTAATTATACGGAGAGAAGTTTCGAAAGAAACATTGACTCAAGTCCGTGCCTATATTTTTGTTGAGTACAACAGGAAATACATTCAATTTACTGTATATCAATTGACTGTTTCCTTGATGAACTGGGAATGTGATGAGCAAGGTGAGGAAACAACAACAAATTACACACCAACTACCAAATTAAACTACACCTACCTGCTATTAATGAAAATACTCCATGCGTTTCCACCCCCTGTTTGTGATTGTTTGGAACAAATCAATTTATTTAAGATTAATTTGTACATTTTAGACTAGATTTTTCGAATTTGGTCCTCTTGGAACCATTTTATTCACTGGTCTGTTTAATTCCTTCAAATATTTCGTTCATTGAGCTTCTATCTAGTCAATTTCAACCATCAAAAGATGTATGGTCAATGACAAATGCTTCATTTATACTTCATTCCTTTGATGTAATTACCTGAGCTAGATTTGAGGACAATGCATTGATGAGGTAATTCATACTGCATATTTGGAACTCTCAACTCTGGCTTATAATTGAAATTCCAGGAGTCAATCGTGTTTTTTTGGAAATTTTGGAACTTCATGTAAATTTAATTAGCTCCATGATGATAATTTTTCATTGTAGGTCAAACTAATTATTTTTTCATGAATGAAATCAGTGAAAATGTAAAATGTTCCAAACAATTGTTGTTATGAAATTCAAAAGCACATTACAATACAATTATTTATCAACATTTTTAAATGTTTGAATCAATGCTACATGTATATGATTTGATGTTCCAATCAAAGCATTTATGTATACGGAATAGTGAGTCTATCGTGTCTATGGAAAGGTTTGAACATGGTTATCCATGCTAAAGTCTGAACACGATTTGAGTAAAATACAAGTTTGTAGTCTATTTTTATTTGTTTATTTATTAACCATTGATTATTTTTCCAAGTAAAACCAAGTAGAATTAGTCCGATATGTGTCTGTTGAATATGCCATTAATAAACTCTTGTTATTATAATGATTAGGCTACACAGTCATATTTTTCTCTAAGTTCAGGAGATGATGATAATTCCATGTTTTTATTTCAAAAGGGAAATATTTTTTGGAAAAAATTAATTCAATTTCCAAAAATTGCAAAATATTAGCATGAGCATTCAAGTTATTGCACCGTAATATAAATGTTATATTTCCAGCCATAGAATGGATGGTAATTATATTCCATTTGGTGGGGGAACACCATCCAGAGGGGGTCAGTATGGCAGTGGAGGGGGTTCAGGCGGTAGGAGGGGGAGAGGAAGCCATCATTATTCTGCCAGAGGGGGCTATAATGAATGGGGGCAGTACCAGGCTACTGATAACCAACGTTTGTATTTACCAAGTCAGCAGGATGATTACAGTCCAGGTTATAACCCAGCAATTAGGAACACACCTACCACTCCTGATAATTTCCAGTCATATACTGGATCCATATATGGTAATCCACAGTCATATGGCGGGCATTCTCGAAGTGGAGAAAGTACTCCATATGGGACACCAAGCTCCAGCGGGACATCACGTCGAGGACGCAAAGATGCTTCACCTGAGAGTCACCTACCAAAAGCATACAGGACCCAAGCAAAAAGAAGTCCCAGCAGAAGCCGCAGTAGGAGTAGAAGTCGCAGTAGTTCCTCATCAAGTTCATCTTCTATTGAAGAAATCAAGCCACAACCTAGACGTCATTCTTATGAACCACCAAAGTACAGGACGTATCATCCGCCTGCTTCAGGAAAACGGAAAGTCATCAGAAGATCTGATTTAGACATGATGACTAAGGAGTTTCTCGGACAGCTCTCAGAGAGTGGTGTTTATGTAGGCCCAGATGCCATCGAGGGAAAGCTCCTGCAGCATTACAACATACAGAGGTTGAATGAATTACAAGGGATCTACAAAGTTGAGGATATTCAAAGTGCAAGAGAGCATCTATTCTTGCTAACCAAAATTAACACCTTCATTTACGCCTATGTGAAATCCCACGCTATATCAACCTTGTATGACTTGAGTGGTGCTTTACTGAATTTTTTAGACCCTTCAGAATCGAAGAAAGACTTTAAGGAGTTTGGGTTTGGACCTCTACAAAAGAATCCGATAATATATGAGTTGTTTCAGTTTCCCCATGAAGCAGAGGTGCCTCAGTTATCTATCCTTGATGTCATGGTGGATCTGCATAACTTAATGAGGCGAGAAAATTCGCAACATAATAGAGTGGAGATTCCTGCTTTTATGGAATACCTGGTCGAGAAGTACAACACGCCAACACCATATGAACTGGGCATCAAAATCAGGAGCTTTGGACTGGCAATTATGGTAAGTTTAATATCGATACATGTACTGTTATTTATGAGTACAATCAAATATTGTGATTAGTCTGTGTTGTCCCCTGAATTGAAGTAGCAGGAAGATGTTTTTTAAATATCTTGTTGAGCTATATTTAACGTTTGCAGCCCCAGGGGGATGTGATGAAATGTGTTAAGATCGCTATAATTATCATTGTTATTACAGTGTATCAGAAGAGCTGCTAAAGAAGAATGGACAAAACGCCGTGGCTTGGTGCTTCAGTTATTTGACAGAATCAGTTATGACGTGGCTTCAGCATTCCAAGACTTTAGAGACAACGTTTTCCAGTCAACTGACGTTCAACTGAATTTCAATTACATCGCTATGCATCCATTAGAAGTACTTGAGGACGTGCACCACCGTTATCGCAACCTCTTGGAGTTAGCTTATTTCACAAATACACATCCAGGGCAACAAAAGATGCACAAAAAGCGCAAGCTGATGGGGTGTGTTGACGCTTATTTTTCAGCGGTAGCAGGTGAGTATTAGTAGTTGTATATATAGAGGATATCCTATGATTTTTGAGGTATATAATTTTTAACTACAGTATTCACAAGTGGATAAAAAGCCTGAGGAAGTCATAGGGTAATGGTATATCTATCCTATGGATTTCAAAATATATCTATCTGTGTTCTAAAAATAAAAGTGATGTTAGTTACCTAATTATTACAGTAATCAGACATATCTGCTTTTGTTTCGTAGTTTAAAGGGTCTTTGGGTCTTTCTTATAACACATAAAAAACTATTTTTTAACACAGGTGACAAGAGGCATTAATCAACAAAGAATCTAAAATTGAAAAATGCTATTAAAAATCAATTTCTTATGTTTATTATTGTTTAGGGGATCCAATGGCTGTGAATTTGTTCCATTTGTCAATCATGTCTGGCCAGAAACAAGTTGACTTGTATGATGAATACACCAAACTCGCTAAACTCACTCAACAGAATGGAGACAAAAACGAGGATGGAGAAATCGAGATCCTTGATGAAAAGAAGTCCAAATCTCCCCACTTAAGTAAGCTGAAGGCTATATTTATCATATTTTATGAAGTGTTATGCATGAGATATTAGAGGTGTCACGGATACCCAATTTTGTTCCGATCCGCGGAATTATGCCCTCGGAACGGAACACGGAACAAAAATTAAGAATTATGGTTCGGTTCCGGAACAAGAACATTTTACCCTTTCATAACTTCTGGCCCTTGAATCTCCACAAAACAGCATTTTTCTTTCAATATTTTGTCTCAAAAGAGGTTCATTCTTTTTACTCCTTCTCTTTGAAGAGTTTTGAAGAGCTTTTCGCTACTAAATAGACCTAGATGATCAGATTATTTTAATCTAATACACTCAGTTACTCTGTTCCGAAATTGTTCCGTTCCGAAGCAAAATGTTCCGAACCGAACCGTTCCGATTCTTTTTTGTTCCGTGACATCTCTATGAGATATACAAAATGTATTTAAACAATTCTAATAAATTTTCTTACACCAAGTTATACAGATCTAAAAATTGATTGTAACAAATGGCTGGTGGTGACATTTTGCATATACTCATACAGTATGTGATTTTAATTTGTAGATACTCTTGTCACCCAGTTCAAGAAATACCTAGCACGCTGCCTGGAGCATGGTAATCTTACATTGCTGCATTTTGCAAAGATTGAAGAAAAACTCATGGATGAATATCATATGACGTCATTTAAAAGGACTGGTTTTGGGACATTTCTCAATTTTGTCACAAAAAATATTGAGATAAAGAAGGTGATTTTTAGTTAACATAGATGTACTCTAGTTTTAATTTTCCATTTGATTTTTAAGAAATTATTTTTAAAATTTGACATTTCTTGAAAGAGTGTTTGATTAATAAGATATTAAAAAATGCTCACTTGCACGAGTTTGACTGTATGAATTAATTTGTATATTTCAGTTGATTGAGGAGTCATGTGGACTGTCACTTGGTGGAGGACAGGTTGCTACAGATTCACCATTCAGTCCAAAGTACCAAGAAATCTTGGCATTTGTCAAACAATGTGGAGTAGTTCCTTCCAATACAACTGGGGTATATAGTTTTATTTCAATTGAAGGTGTGAAGGTTAACATGTGTTAATGTGTAGAGACCAGCTCTTTTATGCCTTGGGATTTTTCTTTGAAGGGACTAAATATAAAAGAAATGAATTGAGCTGCAAAAAAGTGGACACTAATTAAAGTTTGTTATATTTTTCCATTACTCAATGTTGTGCACAAGAAAAAAGGTTTCGATTACACTAGGCATACATGTAAACAGAAAGATATCATACATCCTTAGACTGGTATGTGAATATTTGGAAAAGATGTGGATCTTGAAAACAAAAAATGTTGTAGCCTATTGTCCTTCAAAAAATCTTGATTGCCCACCTCCATTTCTAAAATAATGCAAATTCAAATGGCTTATATTCCAGTACAACCAGGTTGAAGAAGCTTTATGTAAACACTACTGTGTAAAAGATGTGAAAGATCTTCATCACGGTGGAATAGCACGCCTCATGAACTCAATGGAGAAGCAGAAAAATGTAAAGAAAGATGGTGTAATTTATGAATCGGCCATGTGTGTGAAGCCAACTTCTACCAGGTAGGTGGTATAGCCTGATGAAGATTAATTTGGTACCTTGAATCAATATTGGGAAAAGAGAATTTGACAATGACATTGGAACCATTTGAAAATCCACTTGCCCCAGATGAAAATTGTATATTTTTTGATAATAATAATTTTGTAGATTACTTATCATTAGATAGAATACATTACATATAGCTTGAGAGTTTACAACCCAATTGAGTAAAATCATTTTGAAAACCATTGACAGTTAAGAATCTTTACAAAGTTTACTTTGTCCAGTGATATTGTGTCTGTACATGTACAAATAATCAATATGCCTTACCCTGTAGAGACCAAATGCAATAAGTCTGATGAAACTCCAGAAAGTGTCTTCAATTTAAGTGTGTTTTTGTTATTTTTCTAGGCAAATCACACCCAAGAAGGTTGGACTATTCGGCCAGATTACTAAAGATGATGCCCTTATATGTCTAAACAACTGCCCTCTATTGGAAGATCTGGAAGAATGGTCCAATTGGAATATTGCGTTTGAGCCAGAACTGGGAACTCTGAAGACATTTGTGGACAAGTACTCTGGCATCCATGCTATTAAGTTGCAAGGTATTAAACTCTTTGACAAGATCAGGGTCGAGGCAGTTCATTAACCTGGTAACCCCTTAGTCCAGGGGTGTCCCCAGGATTTATCAGGAGGGATGCTACTACATTTAAGAAAATCTCCATCATCATAGATGAACTGGAAGCCAAGCTTCTCCTTTCTTTTGCCAAAGCACATACTAGTTATTCTTTCCTCTGATTCTCCTCCTCAGTACCATTAACAAAATTCCAAGGGAAAGTAACTCAAAAAATTGCCCCCTCCCCCTTCAGACACCCGTGTTAGTCGCTGAGATACTGTTGACCCCTAAGTGACCACAACTGCACTCCTTATGCCTTACTTCCATACAATAAGTGACAGTTTAATTGTAATAAGAAAGACTTTTTTTTTGCTAATCAGTTGATTAAGTCAATGTTTCCTTCATTGTGTGATTTTTTATGTATGTTATAGATGGTAGAATTGCCAGCATAGACATTGGAGCTATTGAAATAAAACCAGGGGTCCTGCTAAAGATCATCAACAAAACATCACCAATGGAGTTTGCCCGAGCTCTGGAAAACTGCAGTATTAGTTCGACATGTGGCCACTTGGTGTCTCTTATTGCAGTAAATAAAGGTGTGGAGAACACCCCACTAGCTCTGTTAGCCAATCACATGAAGACAGGTTTACTTGGCATTCAGGTAAATGCATTTAGTATGGGAAAATAATTGTTTAAAGTTGAACTGTGTTATGAATGTTACATACCAGGTAGATTTTTTAAATTATTGATATTTTTGACAAAATCATAATTTATTTTGCAAACATTCATCAGCAGCAATTTTATGTTAAAAAACTTGCACTCGGTAATAAAATAGCTAAAAGAGATTCACATTTCTATCATACTTTTGAGTTAGAATGTCTGGATCTGTTTCAGTCAAAGGCATTGAATAGCAGAGGACCTCATGAACATAGTAGGGACAAATCTAAGCATGTTGTACAGTTTGTTTTGGAGCTACTGGGTAAACTACCTCTCACAATATGTCAGACTATAGCTGATCAGGTAAGAATTATCATTCAAATCACATGTAGAAATCTTGGAAGTTCCTATAAGCTAGAAATGTAGATACATGCATGTGTCTTTTTCTCCACATTCACTACATTGCTTGCTCCTTTTCCCAAATGAGGATGTTTTGAAAGACAGGGGATAATTTCTGACATGAGGCTAATATGTTTTATTCGACAATCTAACTAAACCTCCCTCTGCATTAAATGTTCTACCTTAGAATAAGATGTTCAATAAAATAGTTTAAAACTTTTAAGAGTCAGTAACTGAATGATAAATGTCCCAATAATAAATATTTCTCATTCGCAGGTTATTCTAGAGCCACTAAGTCATGTTGTTGGCTCAACCAAATCAAAGATGGCCTTACTTGAATGTGCGAATCGACCAAAACTTCGAGGACGCCTTCAAGTATTAGGAGCTTCACTTGGGGTCCAAGAATGGTCTGATAGCTTCCAAGAGAGACTAAAAGTTCCAGAGCAGATTGTTCAGCATGAAAAGAAAAAGGGAAACGAAGACCCGGAAGATGGTGAAGTCGACTCTGATGAAGAAATGGTAAGACCCCATGGCTCAGGGAATGAACAGAATGTACTGATTGGTTTTTGTTTTGAATTGTTTTTCTCAAAATATTTAGAGCAAGTCTGAGACTTTTCACTGGAACTTTCTCTTAATTTCAGAATCTTTCGGGTTAATATCATTCCTTATCATATCTATTTTCTATATAATTCTTACATTTCAAATCTTATTCAATGAAAAATTTGGTTCATTTATTTGTTTAGGTGTTACTGGATGATGAAGATGACGATGAAGAAACTGACGAGGAAGAAGAACAGGACATTGAGGAGGAGGTGGAAACAATACTTGATGAGGAGGATGAAAAAGAGGAGAATGGTAAGATGTTTTATCCTAAATTACCCAGAAATGCCTTAATATTTAATCCTTTTAGATTGTCAGGTGTCAAAGTTAAGAATGATGATATGGCAAAAATGAAATGAAATGGAGTTGATTAGTCTAGTTACAGCTATAGTATAAGGTACAAAAAGCTGCATTTGATAGCTGTACTGTGAACAATATAAGAAAATTGCAAAGTAGATCAACATATTTTGCAGATGAATGCTAACAGTAACAGTACATACATACATATATTTCTATATATATAGAAAGTATGTTTTTTGCAGACATTGAAATTATAGATGAAGCTGAAACACCTGCACTACCAACTGCAAAGAAGAAAACTTCCAAAGCCAAAACTCCATCAAAAGGACCTGTGGAGGTTACAATTCCTAAACCAGAAGATGAGGCTAAAGCAAACCAGATGGAGGTTGCTGATAATACCGAATCCAATAATAAGAAGAGTGAATCTGAAAAACCAAGTCCCATTAAAAATGATTCAGATGCTGTAGCAAAGGATGAGTCCATCGAAGCCAAAGGAGAAATCATAGAAATGACTATAAACCCTGAAGCATCTGTAACTGATCAATGCAAAGCTCTCATAGATACCATTCGTCTTGAAGAATTTGGTATTGATGTTGTTCTCAGTGAACACGGACAAAAATTAATGGTTAAACAACAAGAGAGACTGGGACGAAGTTTGGATAGGCTCTCAAAGGATTTATACTCAAAGGACACCCATTTTGTACTGGAGTTAATCCAGAATGCTGATGACAACTCATATAGTGACACATTGTTGACTAATCTAAATGATGACTGTCCCGCAGTGAAGTTCATAGTGAACAATGATTGCATATCTATGTTGAACAATGAGAAGGGATTTCAAGAGAGGGATATGCGAGCTATTTGTGATGTTGGTAAAAGCACAAAAGGGAAACATAAGTTTGGTTACATTGGTAAGTCAAATATGATAATCAAGCCATTTTTGGTTTCCATGTGTAGATGTAAGTTTAACTTATTAATGTTGAACAAAACTGAAGAGTTGCTAGATGACTCATGTCATTAATTTTACCGATGATTGGTCCTTTGTATAGTATTAATTTTTGCCAACTTGGTTCATTTTGTGTCCAATATAACTGAAAATGCTAAGATACATCATTATGAATTCATGCAAAATAATAATTTCAGGTCAGAAAGGAATTGGTTTCAAATCTGTGTTCCGAGTGACTGATCGTCCAGAAATTCACTCCAGTGGCTTTCACATCTGCTTTGACACAAACAGTGGCCCCATGGGATTCATCCTCCCTCATTGGATTGGAGGTGAAAGCCTAGAAGACAAGCAGGTGAGGGATCATATCAAGACATTTAAAATGGACTCAACAAAGTTGTTTTTTTGACTTAAACTCTCCCTAAAAATGAGACCATTTTGATTTGCTTAATTATATATCAGAAAATCCAAACAGACTTCATATTACAATGTACAGATGTATATTAGTTCTTAAGTGTTATAACTAGTAACCCAATTTAATTTCATATCATAATTTTTCTGCTTATATAAAATCTGATAGAATTGTTCGTAAATATGTCCACTCCATTTTGCGTGTTAAATCGCTGGCCCTTCTCAAAATGATCGCACATATTTAGGAATCTAATGAATGGACCACAAGGATCAATCTTCCTCTGAAGCAGTCTGTGCAAGAGATGAACCAGAGTCAGTCATTGGCCGCGAGATTCCACGACGTGCATCCCTCGTTGCTTCTCTTCTTACATAGACTCCGTAGTATCAGTATTGAGAATAAGGTAATGTATTTAAAGATGTATCTTTGAAGATTGATTCCTATTGCTAAATGTCGCAAAGAAAATAATTCACTTTATTATAAGTGGATAGTGAGGGAACAAAGATTCTATTTGCAAAACATCTATGTTTATTGTTTATTACAGGTGGAAGGATTTACAAGTTGCATGCGGCGGAGAGACATGGGTGAAAATATTATAGAAATAGAGCATTCTGGGAAACGAGACAAATGGCTTGTCCTGAAAAAAACTTTGGATGCGTCTGAGGTAATTTGAATTTATTTGAATTCTTATGAACCCATACCTTTCTCTCTGGGGTTATAATTCATATTTGTATCGTAGATATTGATCTTTAAGACATATTCTGAAAATATTAGTCTAAGGTTAATAGCGAGTTCTTGTACTTGGCTAAGAATATGAAAAATCGTGAAAGATTTGAATATGTTTGCCATTTTTGAAAATTTCAGTCAGAATGGGTTTATAAGTACCCTTCAAAATAATCCACATGAATACATGTGATTTACCTGTAATACACCTGTCCTCCTTTCAATAATGTAGTTAACGTTTCAGGTTTCCCTTCAAGCAAAGTCTGGAATTGATGTAGAGTCAACTGAAATTGCCCTTGCATTCCCCCTTCAACCTGAGGGAACAGACCTGTCAAGGAGTCTGCCTTCCAAGCAGCCTGTCTTTGCCTTTTTACCACTCAGGAGCTATGGATTCCGCTTCGTTGTACAAGGTATGAAATATGTTTGAGATTTAAATTGTGCTATTTAGTATTAATGCCTCTTGGGCATCATTGATGAAATCAGAAAAAGTGAGCAGTTTTGAATTTTAGAATAATTTTGACATTTCATTTCCTGTCATATCTTTTGTATAGGAAGTCCAGAATTTCATACCTGATTCCAGGGATAACATAGATTTAAACATTAAGGTTTGCATGTCATGGGATGAGTTATCAAATGCATGGCCTCTGGCCTGAGACTGAAGATCACAGTTAAAATACATGACTAAAAGTTTGACAAGACCATAGCATTGATTTTGGTAATGACCCTTGTTTCAGGTGACTTTGATGTCCCATCATCCCGTGAAGATGTTGATAGAGATAGTTCTTGGAACCAGTGGTTGAGGAGTGAGATACATTTACTCTTCATAGAGTCCCTAGATTTCTTCAAAGTAAGTCAATCTTCTTGCCATTATGGTTAGATATTAGGAGTAGGGTTTAACTGTATTTAAGCCAGGCAGTGTCTACATATTGACAACACTTGGAGATTTATTTCGTGTGTATATTATAATGTTACTTCATAACACATATGAAACCTATTTCCAACATTTGAATGAAATATCTCTGTATGGTTATTTCAGGAGCACCCATTGTTCAACCCAATACAGGCAGTATGCAGCTTCTTCCAGTTTGTCCCCTATGAGGATGAGATTCTAGATTTCTTCCGACCTGTCGCCTCCCAGATTCTACTTCACCTTAAAGCCACACCTTGTCTGCCAACTACAGGTGAGCTAGATTGTAACTATAATTACTTTTACAATATAATGAAGCTAACTGGGTAATGAGTTGTATGTGGTATATTCATGATTAAAAACATGAATTGTCAATGAGATGTGTATATTTGCTGTAACCTAGTCTTATGAATATTATTTCAGCTTTTGGTATTGAATCAATTTTCAATTTAAGAATAATCTATAATCATACAGGGCAATTATTTCTGTGGTGACATATTGTTATAGTCTCCAACCTTTTTGTGGATTTTGTTTGATGGTTGGTGTCTGTAACAAATGGCAGGTGGTGACAATTTGCATGGTAATCATCAACATAATGCCTTGTCTTTCCCTAGGTTTGCAATGGAAGCTACCATCTCAATTGGTAACAAGCACTGATCCTCTGGTACGGGAGGTCCTCCCAAGTGATTTACTGCAGGAGTGTCTCAACTTGGACTACCTCCACACTGATGTAGCTAATGTGCTCAGCCCAGCTATGATGGAGTGTCTTGGTGTACAAACTCTTCAAACTCAGAGCCTCATAGAAGTTGGGAAAGTTCTATCTGCTAGGATGGCCGAAGATGGCTATGATAAACAAGGTATTATCATTCTTCCAAGATTCCTCCATCCTTTCCACCATGAATATGAAAAAATTATTCAATGGTTTAAAACATACATGATTTTATTGAGGTATTATCGCTCATGATTGCTCAATCGTGACTTGAAAGTGGTTGCATAAAAAAAAATTCGCTTCAATGAATGTTATTTTATTTCTTTGTAACTAGGTTGATTCTAAAAATGTAGGTATGCACTACATCCCTAAAGTATTATTAAAGATATAAGATGAAACTTTTCCTATTTCAGGCATGCACTCCTTGGCAAAATGGTTAGTTTGTATCTACCGAAGTTTGGATGAGTTTTATGACAACACAGACATTCTGAGACAACTGCAAGCATTCAAGATTATTCCCCTGCAGAATGGAGAGGTTGCATGTTTGAAAGATACACCAGTCTATTTCACCCCTAAGCAGGATGAAGATGCCCCAGTGGAACATCAAGGTAAAAATTGTGTGAACCTTATGAATATATTAGCTGAATTGTCAAATGGTAAAGACTAAATAGTGTCACAAAACTGAGCAACAAAATCACACCCCACAATGATATTATGATAGTAGGATCCCTGCTTGACTTTTGTATTAGCGCAGTCAGATGTCCCTTTGGTAGTTCGACTTTTTCAGGAAAGCAACAAACTTGGCACAGTTGTAGAAACATATGATCTGAATGAAAAATGATTTCGGGGCAAGTGATTCGGAGTGGTCTTCATGGATTTTAAGCCTCTGACCCCCACCCCTATCAGGCGGGGAGGGGGTATATTATAATAAAATAAATAAAAATAGTTGTAAAGTATATTTCTTTAAATGACTTCATTTGGTCATTGCTTTGAGCCTGGAAATTGAGAAAAACCTATTTTAGAAGTGGTGTTTAGGAAGGAAAATACATTTTAACCCAATTATCTAGCGTGAATTCATCTTTCAAAGGGTCAAATATAGGACATCAAGTACTGTATTTCAAGAATGTGATGTCTGATCATCCTGAAAAAATTCATACTAATAGAGATATAGGTGTTAATCCCTCATATGATATATGGCTTGTGTAGCTCATGTATTCTTTGAGAAATAAATTATCGAAATTTGGATATTAAAGCCCTTGCGGCCTAGGGGTGACCTTATTTTACCTTAATAATTTTTAAGATACGCGATGTTTGGGCCTCATATGAATTCTAAATGTTGCATTAAGTATTGTTTTGTCATATTATTCCTAATTAGATGTAAAAAAAGTATTGGAAATAAAAAAAAAATCAAATTTTCATTTTCGGTTCTAAAGGGCCAGGGGTAACCATATTTTACCCTAATAATTTCCCAGATATGTAATATATGCATCTCAAATTAGCTCAAGATGTTGCATATAGTTCTGTTTTATCATACTTCTTCCAATAAGATATAGAAAATGATGGGTTATATCTAAAAAATCAAAATTTTCACTTAAGCTCTTGATGGCCCTTGGGTAACCTTATTTTACCTTAATAATTTTCTAAATATGAGACATAAGTCACCTCAAATGAGCTTAAGATGGTATATTTAGTCCTGTTTTATCATATCATTCCCAAGGAGTGAAAAAATGATTGGAAATTATAAGAAAATTACATTTTCATATTACACCCCCAATCCGCAACATCTTCTTGCAGCGCTGTAAACAGTACTGAACAGTGCAGTCAGAGTACTGCACTATATAGCAATGTACAATGCTATTCTAACACCATCTGTTTTGGACAGCGTAGTACAGTACTGTTTTTACAGCTCAGTACTATTTTAGAAAACAGCTGTGTTCAGTACTGTATTTACAGCACTGTTTATGAAACCATGCTGTTTGATGCAGTTTGAGATTGGTCATGTTGGTAGTGTAGTTTATGATAGGTCAGGAATGACCTAATTTTACCTTAAAAATTTAAACAAAGATATAAGTTATTGAATGATTTGAAGTGCAATACAGGATATATTCTGTTCGAGAAATTCCGTATTGGAACGAGACGAAGTCGAGTGCCAATACAGAATATCGAGACAGAATATATCCTGTATTGCACTTCAAATCATTCAATAATGTTTTTATCGTGTGATCCTCTGAATTGCTACTGAGATTGTTCCCTCCGTACCTATATTTTCTGTATTGCGACGGAGATGATCAATGGGGACACTCTCAGTACCAATACAGATTGGTACAGCACAAGAATTGACCAATCAGAAGGCTTCATTTTACAGATCATACGATAATATGTCATATTGTCTACTCAAATGAGCTCAAAATAGTGAATATAGTCTAGTTTTGTCATATTATTCCTACTGAGATATACAATAATGATTAACAGTTATAAAAAATGAACCTCAACAGCCATTTATTCCTTTCTAGTACCAATGGCAATACTATCTAGTTTTATATAAGTGAACATTTTCTAAGATATGAAAATGTTTGATAAGTCCAGTTCATACACGCACGAGTAGTAGCATTGTAAAGATTCTGAATATTATCATTTTTGAGTATATAATCCAAATCTATAAAACCTAATCAAAGGAGTCACAATTTATGGATTCTGACAGTCTCTCCTACAGCTACATAGCTCAGAGCAAATCAGATCTGCTTTCAAACATTTGCATCTGTTCTCTTGACACAGGTATCTACCCCATGACCTACATTTTATGTTGTGGCCTCAGTATCAGCAGTGGGAGTAGGCCAGCCACATTCATGTGGTGATAGAAACTGTGGCTAAGAATGCATCAGAATGAATAAGGACTCTAGTCTTCTAATTTTAGGGTATCAAAAAAGATTTAAAGCTTAAGAACACTTGCGTAACCTCTGGGTACACCTTCTATTCCTGCAAATCAGTTGACTAAGAGTAGTAGCAGAATGCATCTAGAGATTGTATGAAAAATGGTAAGGGCTAAACTTCGTTCATGGCCAAGTGGCCTTGAAATATCTACGTTCTGGAGGAATTTCCCCTCACCATAAGCCATATGCAATCCAAATTGACATTTTCAGCACAAGTTACTGCCAGTTTAAACCACATCAAAATCAACTGCATTGACTATGATTCTTATTAGGTCATGACAGAAGCAGTCTTTGGCATGATGGTGATGGCAGATACTTCACTATCGGGCTAAGATATTGCATTACCTCATTGTGAGGTCACAATCTTCTTGCCATCTTCCTCCAGGGTTTCAGTTTTGATGCCTGGAAGGAAAACAGCTCAAGAGGAATCAGCTGAAATAATGTTCATCCAGGGGGTTTCTTTGGAAAAAAATAAACATATATGTTAGTCTTGATGAAATATCCAAACTTGAATATATTTTGACACTGGTCCATGATCGTTGAATGGCCCCTTTGCACTAATTGTTGCAACTTTAAAATAGCACTAGAGAGACTTGTGGAACTGGAACAAGGATAGTCTAAGGAGGAAACTGAAACCCTTGAAATGGATGGAAAGAAGATAGTGACCACATAAATTAAGGAGGCAATGCAATGTTTTAGCCCAACAGTGAGGTTCTGCCATCACCCTTGCTCTTAAGAAGAAGCAGATTCAAGGATATTTCTCAATATTTTCAGTTAGACTGCTTCAATCATGGGCTTCAAGAGAAAGAATAATACTCCTTACATTTAATTCTGATGTGGTTATCCTGGCATATATGTGATGTTAAAAACTGAAAAAGTCAATTTGGATAGCAAATGGTAAGGGAGAAAACATATCAATATCTACCTGCCTATGACCAAAGTTTAATCCTCCCCATTTCTCATACAATCATTGGATGTGATGTTACATCTGTATTCTACTGCTATTGGTAGTGCTAAAATGGAATAAATGGATTGAGATTTAAATGTCTCACTGAGTTTTCTAATTGTTGTTAATCATTATCTCAGTAGGAATAAAGTGAAAAACAGACTATTTTCCCCATTTTGAGATCATTTTATCTTGAAAATTAATAACATTTGGCATTCTTGTGCCCAATCATTGACTGTCATTATTCACTTACAGAATCCTTGACAGAAGCAGCTCACCTTAACCCCCCCCCCCCCTCCCCCCATCAGGCTAAGGTGACTGGACTTACTACCCTTTGCATTCATTCGACTTTCCTTCTCAAAAGAGAGCTTCGTCTTCGCTCTATCAGTTTTCAATAAATCTCTGAACTCACCGCGCTAATCAGAGTTTGTTGTCGAAATAAGGACGTATATGGTCATTTTCTCTGACGAAATCGCATCATTAATGTACACGCATTTAGCACTTGTTCCTTCAAGCTCACTGATTGGTTGAAAATAGGTCAGCATGGTTTATTGCAGCTTGGGTCATAAATGCTTTAAGACCCAAGCTGCCAATGGCATGGTCATGGGGACGGGGCTACTAAACTCACTCCATCCTTTGCTTCTATATTATGGTAATATATGATAAAATCACCTCTGACCTGTCAAAAGCTAAAAATGTCATTTTTCAAATTTCCATTATTTTTTACATCTCCTAAGGAATAATATGACAAAACAAGAGTATATGACACAATTTTAAGCTCATTTGAGATGCATACGTCTCATAATTAAGAAAAGTTCAAGATTAAATAAGCCCCCCCAGGCCATCATAAGCTAAAATGAAAATGTCAAATTTTAAGAAATGCCCAATCATTTTCTACATCTTATTGGAGGTATTATGATTTAACAGAACTATATGCACCATCTTGAGCTAATTTGAGATACATATATTACAAACCTTGAAAGTTATCAAGGTAAAATATGGTTACCCCTGGGCCCTGGCCCTTCAGAAGCGATAATGACATTTTTTTTTTTTTGAAAAGTTCCAATAATTTTTCAATCCAATTAGGAATAATATGACAAAACAAGACTCAATGCACCATTTTGAGCTCATATGAGACCCATACATTGCATATCTTAAAAATTATTAAGGTAGAATAAGGTTACCCCTAGGTCGCAAGGGCTTAAAAATTCAAATTTCGATAATTTTTATCTCAAAAAATACATGAGCTACCCAAGCCATATTCTATATTTGTGATGAACACCTATACCCCTATTAGTATGAATTTTTCCAAGATGATCAGACATCACATTCTTGAAATACAGTACTTGATGTCCCATATTTGACCCTTTAAAATATGAATTCACGCTAGATAATTGGGTCAAAATGTATTTTCCTCACTAAACACCACTTCTACAATCGGTTTGTCTCAATTTCAAGGCTCAGAGCAATTTACTTCAAAACCATTCTTATTTATTTTTTATAATGTACCCCCTCCCCGCCTGATAGGGGTTGGGGTCAGAGACTAAAAAATCCATGAAGACCACTCCGGATCACTTGCCCCGAAATCATTTTCCACTCAGATCAAGTGTTTCTACAACTGTGCCAAGTTTGTTGCTTTCCTGAAAAAGTCGAACTATAAAGGGCTCATTTCTGGACATCTGACTGCGCTATATAGGAATTTCATGAATGAGATTAGTACAATAACGTCATTTCAAAGGGCAATATAGTGCAATATTGGACCAAGGGCCATAGCCCGGCAAGGTGGTAATAATTATAAAGTAAAAACCATGAAAGTAATAAATCATACTTCAACGTTTTGTTGAATGACACCCATGTGTTGTTTGTTTGCAGCTCTATTTACTGTAGTAGTGTCAGATCTGATGATAATTGATGAGAAAATATTTGATGATCTTGGCCCCGTGACTAGATCTCAGCTTGCCAGAATGTTGGAACTGCTCGGTCTCAAGGATTCCACTCCTAGGGACATCATTAACCACCATATAATACCCATCTTCAAACATGGTGCATGGCAGGTGAGTTTTTCAGACATGATGCATGGAAATGAATTTGAAGACTACTTTTAGACATGGGCTCTTTTTAGATAAGGCTCATGATAAGATATTGTTTCATCCCATTACATTTTACATACAAATTTAGATTCAGAAATAATCGTGATTAACATCACTTTCATTTGGACATGATGCATGGATGATGGTTTTTAAATGTACATACTTGCATATTCTGCATACCACAAATCACATCCGTCTGTTTCCTTTGGTGGAAGTTCTTTCTCCAGTGGGCTGTAGTGAAGTTGAGATTTTAAACAGATATGATAGATAATCACATGAACTTGTTTTTTCCCATATACATTTGTACACAAAGTGTTCATTGAATTTTAAGACATTGTGCATGATCCATTGTTTACAGGAGAAAGCAGAGGAGATCCTCATGGTATATGTGATGTTTATCAAGTACTACTACTTTGAAGACTCCAGTACAGTGAACCTTGATGAGTTAAAGCCAATCATACAGATCATCACCAACAAGGGCCTTGTTAACCCTGCCACGGAGACCATCCACTTCTCGACACTCTATGGCAACAGTAACCAACTACAAGAACTTTTCCCAGGTAAAACTTTGCCCTTCCTTCCCCATCGGCATCAAAAATTCGGCGCTGTTCCGGCACCATTCCGGCACTGAAACCTTTCGACACCAAAATTTGGCACCGGACTAGTCAGTTCATTTGGTGCCAGAACGGCACTGAAATTTGGCACCAAAACGCATCGAAAATCAGATTGCATTTTGGGGGTGTATAACACATATCCATGGGATTATATCAACAAAATGCATATTCACTTTGTCTTGACCTTTCCAAAGAGTCCATCACACAAACAGTACAAGTGGTCTCCAACTTTTTTGTGGATGATGTTCGGCTTGGTTGGCATTCGGCATCTGTAAAAAATGGCAGGTGGTGACATTTTGCATGTTAATGCCTTGTCCAGAGATTGACAAGCATTAAAGCAGTTAAAATATCTACAGGACAGTATTTTATTAAGATCATGTGCTTCTTTTTGCAGGATATGAGTGGACAGTATTAAGCTCAGGTTATATTAACAAAACACCTGGAAGTGTTCATCAGTTACATGAATGGCGGGAATTCTTCTCAAAACTAGGAATCATTGATTCTTTTGCCATCACTCCAAATGAAGTCAGACTGGATAGAGCATCTTTGGTGAGATTACACGCATTTTCTTTATAACTGTAAGCTTCCAATGCAAGACAAATATTGATCTAATTGTATTTCCCTGAGGCCTGTCTAATCTGAAGGCCACTTGGACTGGCCAGCAAAAATAGTTTTGATTAGCACTTGTTCACAGTTTTTACATTGTTATTTATAACAGATTAGAAAATGCAATCGAAAGGCATTTAAAATCAAAAGGTGGTCAAATTAGAGGTGTTTAGACACAAACTACTTTGTCACGTATGAAAATAATATTATATTTCCAATGTAGCACAAGGTGCAATATTAATGCAAAAATTTTAGCTATATGCTTTTCCGTTTATTCTTTACAGAAAACCTCTCATTGGGCTGAGCTGTCAAATACATGGCCTGAGACAGAGGACGAATTTATCATCCATGACTACAGCTGTGATGAGATCATTGCACTCGTCTCGAACAATCAAGAAAAAGAGTCGTACATTCACCAGATGCGACGTCTAGTTGACATGTTGAATAGAGAATGGACTACACTATACTCGCGCTACATTATGACATACGTCACAAATAAAGAAGGAACTAAAATAACAGACACGGAAGCTTCATTCGCCCTCTTTTTGAAACAGTTTCCATGGTTACCAGCTATTATACCCCAGAGTGAGGCTCATCCTGGAGAAAAGGGCACATCAGTTTCAATGCTACTGAAACCTGGACAACTCTGGCTTGCATTGCCTGAGATTAAAAAACTCTTGAGTGATCATGTCCCATATCTGGATGTTTCTTCGGTAACAGGGGAGAGCACATTGTGTCACTTTCTGGGCATTTCATACAATGTCACAGTCGATTTTATGAAAGAAATGCTCATGAAGTGGTCGCTACGGCCGGGTGATTGCCGCAAGCCACAACTGTTCAAAACATCTGTTGACCATATGATGAATGTCTATAGGTTTTTACAAGATAACCTACCCGCTATCAAAATTCAGGAATTCTTTGAGGAATGGCCAGTGATATTTTATCCTCCTGCAACGGGGACAGCTGTCTCATCCAATCAACTTCTTGGAAAGTTTTTATCGAAGCGTGAAGTCTACTGGTTTGATCCCTCAGGGGTGTTCTCTAAATATGAACCTTTGCTAATTGATGGAAATGAAATTGATAACAGAGCAAAAATTGCTATACAGCCAGTGTATGGAATTCTCAGAGAGTTCTTTATGCATACAATTCACTTGACTGAAACCCCATCTATGGATGAATATATAAAACTCATAGTACGCATCACCGAGAAAAAACTGCCAAATGCTGACAAAGCTGGGGCAGATATTCTTGCCGTTATGTCAACGATAGCCAACATATACCTCCCAGAGGATTCTGGGAAGATATCTGAGGATGTTGCGGAAACTGTGAGTGTCATACAAGGTGCTCAGATCCGGCAGCAGTTAGCGAGGGCAAAAGTGTTCCCAACCAATAAGAACAGTTGGGTGTGCCTCGATGAAACACCTCTACTCGTAGATGATAAAAATTTAGAAAAGTAAGTATAATATATCTGATTTTAAGTAACCATATCATTTACTTAATTGTAACATATTTTCATGCTTAATTTTGCCTGATTTATTGATTTCTGATTACATTTTTCTGTCCCACCAAGAAGTGATGATTTTGTGACTCGTGTTTAGATCAGCATCTGTGACAAATTGTTACATGCAAATGTTTTAGCATTTTTACCTGCATGTCTATTTTTTAAGTATAAAAATATAATCATTTTTAATTCAGAATGTTTGGTGTTAAAGAAGGTGTCCACCTATTAAACTTAAACCAGACAAGTGTCCCTGTGAAACGAGGTGAAAAACAAACAGGTATACTTCTTTAAAAGAAATGAAAATTTAGGTTTAATTGTGCTTTGTTTATCTTTTGTATGGAGGGTTATTTAATTTTTATAACATATTTTAAAATACATCTTGCCAAATGGCTATACTGAAAAACGTACTTCAACCTTAAACCAATTCTGTCCAAGTAACTTTGTAGGCAGTATCATGAAATATGATATCATTGCATTAAAATTATTTTCATGATTTACATTGTGTGTCCTTCCATTGCAGAGAGTACAAATAAATCATTAGACTTGTTCATCAAGACATGCCAAATAAAGACACTGTCCGAATGTGTTGAGATCAAATACTTGACGGAATCATTCTCACCTTGCCCAAGTCTGCAGGCCTATATGCATCTGATGATGCCCCCTCTGCAGACATTTATGCATGCTAACCACTCACAGGTGTACACCAGTTTGAATGAGAAAGATATTGCAACTAAGTTAAATGGGCTGCAGTTTGGACAGGTAAGTAAAAAGGCCATTATATTTATGCCGTAGTTAGAAAATCTCAGAGCTCAAACAATAGTGTATATCTGAAGGCCTCTTTCTCCAAACCAAAGTTTGAGGTGAATGGGCTACAGGCTATCACAGATGCACTTACATTTAATTTTCTGCAACAGGTTTTTGACAATTTACTGGATCTATGTTTGACATTATGCGTCTTTATACCACCAGTTCCAACCTTTTCCAACCTTTTCCTTTCATTTTACATATTATAAAAAAGCATTTTGACACTTGATTGTATGTTTCAGGTTGAAAAGCTGGAGGCTGTATATTCCATCAAGCACCGACCTGACATCATCGTTATACAAAATGAGAAATGTCGCATCAGAGACACTGAATTCTGTGTACAAAAGGATCATGTCGAGACATATTTTGAAATCAACAGAGAAATCGCTAAATACTTTAGTGATGATGATGCAACATGTATGCAAGAAATAAGGTACGATGATTCTTTTCTTTTTTTGGGCGGTGGAAAATATCTGTATTTGGTCATATTTTTATTGATTCAAAACTACAGTCACTGATATAGAATTAGCGAATTCAAAATTGACAATTCACCAGAAATCACATCAGGAAATCATGTACATGGCGATGCAGTTATCCCTGTATCACATCAGAAGTCAGTTTATCAGCTCAAATAAGAGCAAATTCAAAGTATTTATTGTTATCATTAGTGGACTTAATCTATAACTTTGACCTTGCACGACCTTAATTATGATGGCCTTGATACATAATATAAAGAATCCTTGACTTGCAAATGTAACCTGGCAATAGGGAATTTAAAGCACATTTTCAAAAGCACATTTTACCTGGAAATTTATGTTTCAGAAACTTCTTAGTTGAATTGATGCCTTCAATCCTCCAGACCTCGCCTTGTACAATACAGGAGGTCATTGATAGACATGACCTTGACCCTTTACCAGAGTCAGAGGTCAAATGGGAGGTCAAGCCACCAGTTATAGAAGAGGGGGTTCCTGAAGGCAAGTTATATTATTAATTACAACTAAAATAAATCATTAAACATTGGGTAAAGTGTTCAAACATAATAAGCAGAAAGTGAGAGGCAATACTATAATTTGTTAATGATTTGATTATTTTAAGAGAAATCCTTGAACAATGTTTTTATCCAATGATTATTCTGCATTTCATTTGTTTCATTATTCAAAAATCAAATGAATCCATAATATTTCTGTAACTTGAAATTAGAAACTATGACCCGAGTTGATGCAAGTATAAATACCATGTTCTATTGTAGAGGGTGAAATTGATGAAAATGAGCCAGTTCGGAAAAACCGTCCAATGACCAGCTCTGTTTCCTTCTGGCCACCTAAGGCTCCTAGTATGGAGGGACGAGATGGGACAGGTAGGCCTATATATCATATATTATCTCAGCTGTTATGAAAGTTAAATCCAACATGTCCCATTGTTGCAAAATGAATTATTTTACCAATCGTGAATCTAGAAAAAAAATTGTAAACTGGATGTGATCATTGAATCACTGTATAATTTGATGTTCACTCAATATTTCAGAATCCCTATGTACATTTACTTCATTGATAGATTGATAGAGAGATTTGGAGAGAATATATGTAATGAAATAGCGAAGTGGATTTGATACAAATTAATAAATGTGACTTTGCATTTGTTTCTGTTGTTATTCTATGCACTTTCTTAAATGAAACAATGGGCCTGTTGGGAGAAAGTATCATAATTTAAGGGTTTTAATTGATTTCCACTACTTTAACAATATGATGTTATAATATTTTAAGGAATAAATATAATTTTAATGATGGTACTGTATATCTGAAGGAACATGCATATGTCCTATAGATCTGTTAATGAACTCATTGTTTTAAGTCTGCTTCAGTAAGACAAGGAAAAAAGAGATTGTGATTAAGTAATTTGATGATATCATATAAGGCCTATGTTTCAGAGGGAAGATAATAAATAGATGTTTCATTTTTTCAGAAGCAGCCAAAAAAGACCCCAAATTAACCCAGTGGCCACCTCGACAACCCCAAGTCGGTGAAATGCCTAATAAACATAATGATGGAGATATGACAATCAGCGAACCAGTAATTCAAGAAAATACAAAGGTTGGTGAAGACATTGAAGATGATAGTGCTAATGGAAACAATACAACTACAACAAAGGATGAGGAGTACATCCCACTAACAATTAACAATGCTGAACAACAGGAAAACTTAAACAATGCTCAAAATCAGAATAAACAAACAGTAATAGATGAAGAGTCTGAACCTGTAGATGTGCATCGGAATGATGAAACTAGGAATTCTGAGCATGATAGAAATAGATCACATTCTCTAGATCAAGAAGCATCCTCAACTCTTGCCCCTGGGGAGACCGAAAAAAGACCATATTCTCAAGATCATGAGGCATCTAAAGGGCTTACCCCAGGAGAGAACAGGAATCCTGATCATGGCAGAAAAAGACCATATTCTGAAGATCAAGAGGCACCATATACCCTTGCCCCTGGGGAGACAACCAATGTGGATTTCCAACCACCCACTAAGAGAATGCGTCATATGGGTGAGTTCCTATACATCTTCATAGTAGATATTGCATTTAATTTTAATTATCATAATATTTTAAGAAAAGTTTTAAGCTAGGTTTCATGGCAACTAAACATGTATTCCAAATTGCAGACTGCCTGAGTAGTTTATTCTTGATATAAATCTTACTGATCTTATAATAAGCCTCAGTCACATTTGATCTACAGCAACCATACAGTGGCCATAGCTTCCCAAAATCAAGAGAAGTATGCAGCATAAAACATAGATAAGCAATATGATGACGATTTTCTACATTGATATTTTGAAGCTATGACAAATGTACATAGAGCAAATGTGACCAATGCTTTAATAAAGTAACTTTTTCAATATTGTTGAAACTCCTTTTTAATATGAAATTTGTTTGTTGCAGATGTACCAGAATGGACTGAAGCTGGGTCTGTGGATGTCTATGAAGACCTTGATCTCAATGAAGCACAGAAAGAAGAGGCCCCTGAAGACATAAAAGATGTGGAGGAAGCAGAGGAACTAGCCGCTGCAATTGGACTATGGGGAGAAAAACTTGTACATAAGTTCCTATTGAGCACTTATGAAAACACTGATTGGACAGTTGAATGGTGCAATGAAGAATCAGAGTCTGGTTGGCCATATGACTTTAGGATCATATCAAAAAACCCAACTGAATATGAAGACATTTATATTGAAGTGAAGGCCACCAAGGAAGATAAGAAAAACTATTTTGATATAACACAGCGGGAAGTTATGTTTGCACACACACAGAAGCAAAATTATCATCTCTATCGGGTTTATAATGCAGGACAGGTGGATAGCGTCAGACTATGTCGTCTTCAGAACCTCTCTTCTAAAATTCAACAAAATCTCGTGAGGCTTTGCATGTTTATATAAGTGATTTTAAGTGATATAAGTGATAAGGGGACCAGGTCAAATATACACCGATTGTTTCTATATATATTTACATTAAGAATTTTTCATTAATTTGTTGAATGAGGCTATAGATTAGGCCATGTTAACACATACATTTTATTCTGTAAATCTTGAATATTTCCTTTTTACAATGTGACCCCACTGAATGAATGGATACAAAGCTCATTTTTGGTATGCTCAACAATTAAAAGTTAAATGTTCATGAGCTTTCAATTTGAATGAGACGAAGGCATGTTTAGGGAAATGAGGAGGTCTAATCATTTGTTAAATAAATTTTACGAAAAGAAAATTGACATTAAATGGCCTCTGAGCAAGATTTGGTTATGACATGTTACTGACTGGTGCGTACATTGCCATGCAATGTTTTGTTAATTGTTAATAAGAGTATCTTGTTGTGTCACAGCACTTAAAGTGAATGTAGTACAAAAATCATTTGACCAAAGGAATTATAAATTGCATTTCTACTGTGATGGTTGACAGTCAACAAAAAGTCATGGAAAAAAAGAGGAAATTTTTGGACTAATAATAAACATTAAGATAGTTACAATAAATGTTGCAAAACTTGTATCATTTAGGTTTATTTCAGTATTTTAAGTCAGTAGATTGAAATATATTTTTTATAAATACATGTATATGAATTGTATAGTTGGACAAGTATAAAATTGTGACTCTTTTTGTAAAGAATACAAATGGATTACAAATAAACAGATTGAATGAAATGTTTTACAATAATAATAGATACAATTGTAATGTTTTGACATATCAATATTTAAAAATATGGGGCTTATATTTACATCCACTCTAAAGCATGCAGGGTATCATTTATCCTCAAAAATTGCTAATTATGAATGGACAGTGCCACAAAGATAATTGGTATGTAACAGTTCATGAAAATAACAAGTACGAGTATCACCCAGTCATTTCATGTCAGGGAGATGGGCATGGAAACACTTTAAAACATGTTAAATTGAGAATAGGAAAATTATACCATTGCTAATGGGCAAAATTCGGAAATACTGAATGAATCATCACATTAATAGTAAATGTGAACATTATGTGACCTAGATATGTTTTTCAGTCTATATTTATTACAATTAGTTTATTTCATACAATGTAAAAGTCTGCTGCTAAAGTTTTGATTTCTTTTGAATTTCAAGATATTTTGATCGCAATATACGTCGTAAAATTTTGCCACTTGGTGATTTGGGAATCTGTTTTATGAACTGTACACCTCCCCGTAGTCTCTTTTGTGGTGACACCTTCTCTGAAGATACAAAAAATGATATTTATAAAAATGATTTTTATCACTTGAGAAATTTTAATATAACATGATAAACTGTATGGAATAATTCACAATTCAGGTCTTTGCTTGTTAAAAGTGATATGCTTTCTAAACTTACTTTCAATAAAGTTTAGAACATTCTCTGCAGAAACTGTTTCATTTGGTTTGATGACAACAAACGCTTTGGGAATTTCACCAGCAGCCTCATCTGGGATACCTATTACAGCAGCATCTGCTACTTTGGGGTGGGACAGTAGAAGGTTCTCCAGTTCTGCAGGGGCTACCTAAGTGTATCAAGTTTTATGAATTTTAAACCAGCTGTTGAAGTTAGAAGTTACCCTCAGGAAATTATGCCATGAAGATCTTTTGTAATCAAGCAAAAAAAATATACTCAATGTGGACTGGAACTTTTATGTTTGACTTTTCAAAACCTATATTAGGTAATTGATAAATTCTTAGAAACTAGGCTATATTCAATTTTTGAATGGTTCAGAAATATTGTCAGGCTTTACTCCTGGCACTAATCAGTGCTAAGAGCCATTCAAAAATCATTTTAAAGCAAAAGATGCATATGAGTATTTTAATGTTAAGGCATGTGATACAACTGGACATTATACAAAATAACAACCAGGTTGAAACAATGGTTTAAGAGACTTTAAAAACCTTTATATGCTTCATATCAATGAGAAATACCTGATATCCCTTGTATTTGATAAGTTCCTTTAGACGATCAACAATATAAAAATGCCCTTCTTCATCGTAATGTCCAATGTCACCTAAAATCACAAATCAACTAAAAAGGCCTATTTCATTATATTATACTTATGAATGAATGTAAATGTATGGTAGATGAATGGTAACTTTAACATCACAATAGGCTAAATATTGGAAAAGTGATGCTTATTTTTTTCTTTAACTTTAGTATCAACAGGAACTACATACAGTAAAACCTGTCTTAGTGGAACACATTTGGTACCTCTAAAATGTGCTCCACTTAGGCGTTCCACTTATAGAGGTTTATTTAACATTAGGTCAGGTAGTCTTTGGACGGACTTTGAAAAGTGTTCAACTAACAGAGATGTTCCAGCTTAAGAGGAGTTCCACTTTACAGGTTTCACGATAATTTATCAATGTTAATTGAAACAATTCACAAAATTTGACAAACCTGTGTGAAAGAAACCCTCTCTGTCAATGACTTTTGCAGTTTCCTCTGGTTTGTTCAAATATCCCTTCATCACTTGTGGACCTTTAATCCACAGCTCACCATCCTCATTAACACCAAGTTCTTTCTCTGTTTCAGGTTCTACTACCTTATGAAAGGTTATAGTATATTACTTGTTTAGTGCACATAACATCTTAATAATTGGTATTAAAGTTATGTTCCACCTTGGAACATTGGAGTGATAAAATAAGTTTAACAAACCAGGTTTGACTTTTACATCTTGGGCACATGAGGCTTTGTTATGGTCATCCACAAAATGCAATATTCTTGTGATTCTGTGTTGCATTCAATTGGTGATGAGGCATTTGGGACTGGGACAGACAACCGCTTGGTTACTGATTAGAAATCATTCTGATGAAAGGTAAAGGGTTTCATAACCAAGATCAAATGAGACAGATTTGATTGAAACACAATAATGATTAAACATACATGCTTACCTTACACTGTGTGTTTGGCAGAAGTATTCCAATTGATCCATCTTTCCAGCCACTGTAAGGTGACCCATGGGTCGCTGGACTTGTTTCTGTAAGACCATAACCTGGAAGGGAATTACCTCTACCATGAGATTGAAAATGGTTGATTGATTGATTTATGTGTTATAAAAGGTTTCATATGTTGCCCTTCAATTTTCTGACCCTCTTGCATTTTTGGGGTTTTGTTATGTCACCACCACAAGTGGTGACATATTGTTATATAGTCTCCCAACTTTTTATGGATGGTGTTCGGTGGTTGGTGTTCAGAGATTGGTGTTAGGCAGTCAGCATTCAGTGTTTAACAAATGGCAGGTGGTGACCCCTGTAAAATGATTATGAGAGATCACATCTTTCTAGGTCTAGATGGTCAGAGTATCAGAAAGACATAAGTTGCAAAATGGCGCTCAAGGAAGAACAGACGCTTACCCTGTCGTATTGGTGGAATATTCAGGCGTTTAGAAAGCTGTTTACTGAGGTGTTCCAGTAAAGGAGCAGCCCCACAACCAACAAGCCGCAGGCTGGACAAGTCATACTTGGACACACTTGGATGTTTCGCCATCAGCACAGCAATGGGAGGCACGATAGATAAATATGTGCACTAGATTAAAAATGTCACTATTTACAGAAGATGCATCATTGACATTTTCATGTTATTTTGTACTTTCTGGTAAATGTAGGTGAAACCTGATGGCTATGTTTTGGATTTTTTTCAAGCAATATTTTGTTAATATCCAGGTGAATTTGCTTTAATTATGTTTCATACATATTTTTCTAATATTGCTAATTGTGCTTTATGATTTCACATCTTTAACTTTCCTTGGAATAGATAATGTCACATTGAATATTTCTCATGAAGAGTATGTCTCACCTTATGCTTTTCAATTAAACTCAAAAGCATTTCCAAATTGAATCTTGGCATTGTAACAATCTTCTGTCCTCTGTAAAGCCCATTGATCATGTAAGCCATTATCCCATAGATATGGTACATGGGCAGCACTGCAATAGTGCAGTCATCTGGTACTGGGGCGTATGATACACCAGGGTGCCTGAAAATAATAAGAAATGTAGTATACCTCCGATAGTGTAAATCATGTTTTATGTTATCTAAATGGACCTTCTATTTACACATTGTTCTCCATTAGTATTATGGCATCTCACCACATTGATTGTTAGTTGCTACAAACAAACATGTGAACAGTTATGTACCAAAATATGTATCTGAATTTGTATTATATATAAATCCAAAGAGGGGCATGGTTCAAAAAATGATATTTTTTAGAATTAAGTAAAAATCTGTAGTTACAGGCTCAATGTGTTACAAAGTGTAATCATTTTCTGGTTAATGAAACCGGATAATGAAAGTTAAAAGGTATTATACCAAGCTAAATTATTAGAATTAATTCTTACTGTCTGACTAGAGTATTTGAAATCAAATTGTGATGAGTCAGCATGACACCTTTGGGTAACCCTGTAGTTCCACTAGAGTAGGGAATTAACACTTCATCATTTATTGGGTCCACATGAACAGTCTTAGGGCAAGCCTTTTCATTGTATCTCATCAGCTCATCCAAGGATGTATGCCCAGTTGCTTTGTCGAATGTAAATACTTTCTAGGCAAAAGAGAATACTATGAATGGTTTCAACATGTTTAACAATACCAAAGTCTAAGTAAAAATCATGATTTAATGGCATATTTATATTGATGTCAATATCGCAAACCATTTGAATTTCCCTTTTACATCTACATTAACTACTGTACAAGCATAAAGCACTTTATATTTGAGAATATGCATGTTAAATGGGCTGAATCTGTGGATTGAGATGTGATTTGTACCTTTACAGAACTGCATTTGATGGCGACATCTGTTACTTTGGGTAATACAGCCGACTGTGTGATTATAAAGGATGCCTTGCAGTCCTCTAGCTGCTTGATAAGTTCACCTACATTTAAACATTTAGTTAGTATATTGTTACATTATGTAAGGTGCTATGCAAAAGTACAATGAGATGAAGGGTATAACAACATTGTATCAAGGCCAAAATATCTCAATTAAAAGGAAAATAAAAATATTAATATAATAACAGAGGGCAATGAACAAATAAAAGGTTTATCTTAATTTTTATATTTTTGTTTTTTTTGTTTTAATTTTTTGAATACTTTTTGTCAAATCAACCAAAATATCCTTTGTATAAATATAATATTGAGAGGTCTAATAAAATTGTGCATATGCTATTTTGTTCCAACAAGGTTCGGAAAGATATTTTATTTATTTCTCAAGAAGTGGTGAAAAGGAACAAAAAACAATTCCTTAAAAGCAAAAAAAATGTTAACAAAAACACTTATATAAAATAAATATAAATAATTTTCACATTAAATTGTTGTCAATCAGTCAAAATTACATAAAGGACCATGTTTTCAATAATTGGTCTGAAAAACATTGTTGAATTCAGTTCACCATATCGATACCAATCCTTTAAATTCATTCTATCTGGAAAGCAATTGGGGGGAGCAGTCTGTATTTATTTCAGTCAAAAAAGCAACCACAACTTTTATCAAAACAAAACAAGACCAGATGACAAGTTATTCAAAGAATAACTTATTTAAGGACAGTTTTTAATTTTTAATTTAATGCGACAGTTATGTCCGCCATTTGTGACAACGGTATCTGACTTTACCATAGTCAGGCTATTCCGGTGTGAAAGTGGGCCTTTAATACATCTTACTTCTAAGAAAAATGAATACATGTAAATAATTAAATACTCGATTGAGTTCTTTTACCTTCAGTATAGAGGGGGTTGGCTGTAGTCACCTTCCCACCTATACACACAACTCCATACAGGGCTAGAACATACTCTGGGAGATTGGAACTAACTATGCAGACAACATCACCCTGCCTAAAGCCATGCTGAGTTAGTCCACTTCCTATACATCGAGATAGTGTCTTTATTTCAGAATATCTGTAGCTTCTCCCTGATGGCCCATCAACCTAAATATAGCAAACTGAACATGACTTTTGAGAATACAAACATGAATAAATACCAGATATACCAGTATATGATCACTTCTCATAGTTTCTTTACCACTCCCTTCCATTGACTGGATGTCTTATTATCCCATCGAACGAAGTTCGGAGGGATATAGGGAACGCCTCCGTCCGTCCGTCTGTACGTATGTCCGTCCGGGCAATAACTCAAATACCGTTGGCCCGATTTTATTCATATTTTGTACACATATACCCTATGGGGGTAGAAGTTCTGCTCGAAAGCCGATTTTCAAAATGGACGCTCATTTAAAAATGGCGGCCATTTTAGTGCCGATTTTACAGTAATTTAGGTGCAATATGTAAAACTGTAATAGCAATATGTTTTAAATGTAAAAAAATTATATAGGACATTAATAAAGCTAGAAATGTAGATATTAAAAAAGCACATGGCAGCCATCTTGAAAAATGGCGGCCTTTACTCGTTATTTTACGATTTTTGCTGTAACTCGAAAAGTAGTGGAGCGATTTTGTTCACATTTGGTATGTGAATACTGTAAGCATGGCACACTGTCTAATGACACTTTTGGTAGAAGGCGGCCATTTTGAAAAATGGCGGACATTTTGAAAAATGGCTGCCATTTTAACTTATTTTACTATAATTCGAAAAGTAGTGGAGCGATTTTCTTCATATTTGGTACGTGAATACGTATAAGGCCATAAGAAGTACATTCTTTGTTTTGCGTCCCCTTGCTTGCACGATTTTGAGTAAATCAGAAAAAACACACATTCAAATAGCAATTACAAGGGTTTGAAAGTACCATCGCATTTCATTCAATCAGACAAAATGCAATCAGAATCAGACGAAATGGCAGAACATTTGATGTGCGTCAAAATTGACAGTGTTATTGGTTACTTTAGCATACATTGTGTATTTTCTTATTTTATACCCTTGAATAATAGCTATGCTTAAATATATTGTGTTTGTAATCACTGCAAATTGGTATGTCATCCCTTTATATGCCCATAAACAAGTTTGTGTTTTTTCTTGAGTTTGTGTTTGTTTTCCTTGTACCCTTGCATGATTTGGATTTTGCCAGGACGCAAAACAAAGAATTTACTTCTTATGGCCTAAGCATGGCACACTGTCTAATGACACTTTTGGTAGAAGGCGGCCATTTTTCAAAATGGCCGCCATTTTAACGTTTTTTACTATAACTCAAAAAGTAGTGGAGCGATTTTGTTCATATTTGGTAAGTGATAAGCATGGCACACTGTCTAATGAGACTTTTGGTAGAAGGCGGCCATTTTTCAAAATGGCCACCATTTTAACGTATTTTACTATAACTCGAAAAGTAGTAGAGCGATTTTGTTCATATTTGGTATGTGAATATTATAAACATGGCACACTGTCTAATGAAGGTGCCCGTTTTGAAAAATGTTCGATGGGATTCGCTACGCTTTGGCGTTGCCGTTGTTCTTTAAATATGAATTTATTACATCATGGTATGGTAGAATACATTGTTCAAATCAATTAAATGTTGAATGAGATTTTTCCAAACCATTCTATTTTGCATGTTTATTGACTGACCAAATTGCCATCAAGAGGAATTTGTTCTAATTCAAACATTATAGAACAAAATGAAAATAATTAAGGTTCTGATGAACATGTCATATCAAGGCACATATAATGATACCCAGAAAAGGAAATAATACCAAATAAAATCAGTGCTTACCAATGCAACTCTGGTACCATATTCATCCAGTTTGTTGAATATAAAATCTGATAATGATAGGTCTTCTGGTATGGCTACATCAGAAAGAATACTTGAAAGCACCATGATATAGTCTAAGGCCTATCTAGAGACAGAGGTACCTTTGTTATACACAACAGTGATATACATCATGTAAAGATTACTGAAGTGCAGCAATCACTATGGAGGTCAAAGGTTGTGTTTATGTATACACCAAACAGATAATGATAAAGGGTCAACTTTTTGTGAAGTTTCACTTATTAACTAGAATTTATAATCAACATATCATTACAAAATGTACATATAACTTTAACACAATTCATTTTCCTTGGATAAACATTCATGCTTTAATACATGTATTTGATGAAATAAACTAAGATTGAATTCATTGCACTTGCTTAACTTTAATTTGAAGCAATTCTATGAATGAAATACTCAAATGTTGATTACCTTGACCAATAAATATGATAATGATAAGATTGTTAGAAAAAATGCTCTAAAGTATCTTTTAATCTTTTAAACATCTTTTAATTTGACACTTTGCCATTGGATTAACAAAAGTAAAATAAATAAAACCACAAGACGTTTAAGTAAGCTTACTAATGCTTATTTATTTCAATCATTTTTGATCATCTTTAAAAATATATTATGCTTTACTTTTTAACACTTAAGTTGCATATATTGCATATCGTACCAATAATATAAATGTAATTAATAACATGTTTCACTTTATTCTGACTTTATAATAGTTAACCCTGGAAAATAAATTTCTAATAATAAATTTTGAAAATGAAATGAACATTTTTCCAAGTGGATGATGGAAGATAAATGTGCTCTTCCGCTCTTCCATCATCCACTCGAAAAAATATTCATTACAAAGCGTTGGCTTAACTTTTTCAAAAAACTGATTTTGAATCATATTTAACATTAAAAATCACTATGTGCTCACATCCATCATCAAGCCATTTGTTCAGAATGATTGTTAAAAATGATTTCCCTAAAAAAACATTCACTATTAAATACATTGATATTTTATAGAATACACAAGTGACACCATCTTCGCACACTCTAGTCTTCACTGCATTCACTGTGAATGACAGAAGCTGAGTGAACGAAGATGAGTGACACAACTTTATTATAAACATTCAGTCATTTATATTGATGCTACACAATGAGGTACTTTTGAAGATCACCTTGATTTTTTAATTCAAGGTCAGTCAGTCAACAGAAGTCATGAAAGCCATTCTTTTCAAAATATAACGTAGGCTCTAGTAAACTAATAAAATGTTTAGCTTATGATGCCAAAGATTTCGGAGTCAGAACACAGAATAATGGAAGAGATTCTAAGGGGAAAATTATGCCGAGATGACAAAAAAGCCTGGAAAAAACATAATGACTCGAAAGTAATAACTTTTAAGGGACAAGAAAGGATAAATATAAGTTTTGAAAAAATATCAGAATTCTACAATATATTTTAATAGCTCCCACATTTTTTTCACTATAGTCTACTATCCCTTCTAATTCAAAAAATGAAATGGAACTTTCATTTATTCTAATAGTAAACAAACATATTTCTTGAAATGTTGAATTCACAAATAAACCCAATGATGAATTTAACTTAAAGTTAATTTAACGAAAAATAACATGAAAATTCATTTTACTTTATTTTGATCTTAACAGAATTCAATAAACTTGGCACTGCACCAAATTCAGTTTAGGAAATTTTATGCAATAAAAATCATGAAAGATACTTTGCCCAGTTGAAGAGAATTCTTAGTCGAGATTATGCCATAATAAATATTTTGCATCTCATTTAGAAAAAATCCTCATGAGATCCCTGGGATCAGTACCTGAATACAGTAAAACCTGTGTATATTGAACTTTTTTTTTCAGAGAAAAAAGGTTCACTTGGTTGGTGTTCATTAAAGAGAGCATAATTTATACAAAAGTCAGTGGAGTACAATGTATGTGCGGAGGAAGGGTGTCCACCAGAAACAGGTGTTCACTAGAGAGAGGTGTTCACTTAGACAGGTTTTACTGTACATAAGTTATATATACAAAATGAGTCACTTGTGTTACAAAGGTCTGGTATGTAGCACCTGATAATTAATATACTAGTGATAAAGAGTGGGTCTCATTAGTTTTATATATAAACTGACAACTATGAGTACAGCCACTTAAATATACAGTATGAAAATATTCACAGTAAAAATTAGTAATGTACATTTTTGCAAATTATGAAAAATTAATTGAATTTCTAAAAATCATTTAAAATATTATGACAGACAATTTATTGAATATATGGAGTATAATATAAAATAATTTGTTACAAGTTGTTCTCATTTCAACAATCTAATAGTACAAAATAGAAATATATCTCTAGCTAAATAATAATGACTATGGATACTATTCAGAGTATAGCACTTATTAAAATATATACATGGGTAATCTATATGTAGCCTACATAAATATAATTGAATTTTTATTTTATATTTAAGTTATGCATGCTGGATATATTGAACAGCACCTTAGAGCAATATAATTTCATGAACTCAAGAAACAGTACAACGATCTCCCCCGCATTGAAACAAAAAAGCAGGTGCTGAATATAGTTTGCACCCATTTTAGATTTTAGACAAGAGATAAAACTTTAAAAAAAAAATTTACATCCAGTCAAAAAAAATATTCAGGGGAAAATATTGCATTGTGTTTAATGAAATTCATCAAGCCATAATACAGAATATGGATTTGTTGTCTCAAATAAAGTAAAACTTGTTTCAATGAACACATTTTCTTAAACCAATTTTAATCTTCACACTTTCTTTGTTCTAAAACATTGATATAAAGGTTCAGAAACAAGTTTTACTGTACTTGACTGTTGACTCCCTAGTAGAGATATTTACTGCACATGCTTCATAAGGAACTCTCAAAGCGCTCATACCCCTGTAAGTTTCTATACAGTTGTGGTGGACGAGGACGTATATCTTTGCCATCACTGTAGACCTTACTCAGAGCCTCAATCAGCCCCGATGTAAAATTTGCTGCATGAAATGTATATGGATCATGTGCCGAATTTAAACTAGGTGGCCACTGAATGGCAGCGGAATTGTCATTGGGTGGGCATTGGTCAGATGATCCAGATGGAGTCTCAGTCACAGTAGGCCATTGATCATAGTTGTATGTAAAGGTATTTCGTGCCGTGTTGTGACCTGCAACTTTAACACGAACTGGTGATTCCTGAAGGCATAAATATATTGAACCAAGTAAAATATCATGAAAGTCAACAGAAAATACATATTTACAAATTTGATGCAAATTCTAAATACATGTAGTAGTCTTGCATTGATCTCTTATTGTTAAATTGTTCCTAAAAAATCAAAAAAATAAATACATGTACTAACAAACCTGGTAGTTTAATGTTGAGTGATCCACAAATGGATTGTTTGGAGAATAAGCTGGTTGCACAGGTTCTGTTGGATTCACATGTATTTCAATTTTAATTTCTGGTTTGTCATGAGCTCCAGTTGTCATACCAAAGGGGCTTGGAGTCTTTTGATTTTCAAAGTCATTCCAGGGATCATTTCTTGGCTTAACAGGCTCAGGTGACCATGGGTCATTTTGTCGACTATTAAACGATTTACTTGATCTGACGTTTTCATTGAATGTTCCATTCATAGAATTGTGCTCTGGATATGATGTTGAGGCATGGAATGATTGATGTCGCGAATGTGCTTTTTCATGACGTAATGGAATGTCATCAAATGCTTGTAAGTCTTTATGACAAGTGAACGATTTACTCGATCTAACTTTCTCACCAGATTTTCCACTCCATGAATTATGCTCTGGTGTTGAGGTAGATATAGGGGATTGTGCGTGTGTTGGATTTCTCATACCAGTATGCCCTTTTTCATGACTTAAGGGGATGTCATCAAATGCTTGTAAACCTCCTAGACTTGTGGGGGATTTTGGTGAATTCATATGTATGTCTCTATGCCAGCCTTCCTTCACACCTTGAGTTCTATCATGGGCTTTCTCTTGAATGCCCGTGCTTCTATGGACTTCATTAAAATCTGGAGCAGGTTCAAATTCAATGTCATTTGCATGCCTGTATTTCCCGTAGACCTTAGGTGGTTTTTTGTTTCCCCTGATCCTTTTCCACCATTTTCTCAATTTCGCAAATCTCTTTTTCTTTTTAGGCTGCTCTGGTGCAGGTGCCTGACCAAATGTTCCGAGGTTAAATTTCAAATCTGTTATATCAGGGTTGGGAATTTCTTTATCCCCATATTGGGAATGTCGACTAGCGATTGTCTCTGCATGAGCTAAATGTAACTCTAATTCACTTCCAAATTCACCATTTTCTTTGAGCGTCCTGTATCGATTTCGCTTTCTTCGATTTTTCAGACTTGTGAAAACTCTGTATTTACGTCTCTTCTTTTGTTTTTTATCCAGCATCTTGATTTACTTGTGGATTGAAGCATTCACGACCTGGAAGTAGATCAAATAATTTCAGATGCATTTTCACCACCTCTATGCAGATGGAGCTTGTGGGAAATATTTGGTGCAGCAGGAATGAGTCATTTTTGAATTTAAATTTGTGATATTTCTGAGACTAAGTTGTTTTGGGTCTTCAAATATATCTACATATTATGTGTATTTGTCTATTTGACACCCAATATCAATAAAAATGTGAAAATAGTAACTGTCAATCATTCTGTATAGCGATGTAGTATGCATTAAACCTTTCCCCGACCTATATATTTTGAAATTGTTATTTTTATACCGCATCCTCAGTATTCATGAAAAATGGTGTTCAAGATGTACACTATCCTTACAAATTATTTTTGCATCTTGAAACCTGGACAGTTGCTTTGTGACTTTATTAAAAAATCAGAAATTTTCATCAGATATGAGCCCTCTCTAAATATTTGGTGCAGCAAAGCAAAGTACCAAATATTTAGAGGGGGCTCATATCTTATGAAAATTTTTTAAAAAGTTATACAACTTAATCTACATCTCATCATTGAAAGAGCAATATTTTTCAAAGGATGTTAAAAAAGCAATGGGGCAATCGCCTCGTCGACCTCATGTTACTAGACTGATTTGAAGTATTAATGAAAAATCAGAACCGGTATGTGTGACGGGTTCGTGTTTATGTACCTAGGGTCCATAGGTGGAGCAGCAAATTCATGACAAAATCCACTCTGCAGAACTGATTACGAGAGATCCGTCAAACTTCGACGTACAGTATGGGGTTACTTTGTCAAGGGGCTACTTCGACCGTGAGGTTATTTCGACAATTGTTGAAATAGCCCCATGACAAAGTAGCCCAATACGTTGAAGTTGGACGGATCTCCCCTAGATCTTATTTTAGATTTTAGTCAGAAATCAGGAAAAATTGAAAAAATATCATGATCATAAATAAACACTTACTAGATCTAACATAACATAAGAGTTTAGACCATCTTTCATCTGAAAATTTAAATTCTAAGTATCTTAGTATAATGGGGTGTATATACATTACCTTTTGTTTCATTTACCACCTAAAATATAGATAAATTGGAGTCTAAATGTGAACTTGCAAAAAAGTTCCAAATATTTTTGTTGACCTATTTTTCCTTGGATAGGTGTCGCTGTTTCCCTCCACGCACGCGCATTGATCCACTTCCTTTTTGCGTGATCTTTTGTTTTTTGAAATTTGTAGAATTCTATGGATTTTAACAGATAAAAGAAGGATTGAATAAAAGAATAAAGGCTGGCACCAAGATGTCGAGGTACATATTTATCTTTCAGGGAAATTTGGGCTCATAATTTGCCAAGTAACTCGAATTCTTCAAGAACGGCAGATGTCATAATTTCTTTTCATTTTTCATGTTTTTTCGCCATAGCATTAACCATTATGCAAGAGGAGTGAAAGCCCCAGAGTTTAAAGATGACAGGCATAATTACCTCTCTTGCTTACCACCTTCGTTCGTTCGAATTTTCATCGGCTAGTTATCAAAAATTACACTTCGATGGGATGTTTTAATTGACATAGGCATGTTCCGTACACATTTCCTTATCTTGATGTGAAATGAGAAGCTATGGTATTGGTTAACACGCCAGAAATGAACATAATATTATTCGAAGCGTATTTCGAAAATTTTGAAACCGCCATTGATGATGTCATTTGTTTGTCGACTTTTGACCAATCAGTGACGATGTCATCTCAATACAGATTTACATTAAAGGCGTATGTCATCTTTGAACCCTGGTGTTTCTCCTCCTGGCATTATGCACAGGCTCAAGCTGAAGGAAAAGTAATAGTAAACAAAATACAAAATATCTTTTATAATGTGTTTTCTTCTACTTTTTCATCACCCTATGGTTTTCGCAATCACCCATCTGCCAACCAAATAAAGGGATACAGAGAAACTGCCACCCGAAACCATCAGTTCATTTGTTAGTCTGTTCGTCAGTCTAAGTCTGTCTGGTTAATGGTTTTAAGGTACAGCTGGAAAGTAACATTTTGGTAAAAAATTGCTATACCAGCACATGTTATTTTCTGGTACAAAATAAAGTACGAAGACATGTGTCAATTGCCTTGCTTTTTTCAGGAAAGTATCATTACACTGTCTTCTTTAAGAATATCTAGAGTCCATTTCACTGCTTCATTTCGTCAGTAGAACGGCAAAAATAAGAAATTGGGAGACCATTGTGCAATAATATATGGAAAAGTATATACATAATGTACATGAATGACATTTGTATATTTCAGATTTTTTAGTTTTTTGTGCAATAAGCCTGTGGCGTCTTGTAATTTGAAGAATTTCAGCCATGTTAATCTTATTGAAAATAACATGGCAGAGAAACATCCAAATATAAGAGGCCACACACTTTATAAGCCAAACTAGAAGCAATCCAAGATATACAAATGTCATTCATGTACATTATGAATATACTTTTCCATATATTATTGCACAATGGTCTCCCAATTTCTTATTTTTGCCGTTCTACTGACGAAATGAAGCAGTGAAATGGACTCTAGTAGGAGTTCAATGGGAACTCCAGGAAATTCTGATATTTCACAATTTCTTTTTTCCAAATTTTCTTTCAAAGTTTCCAGACAACACAGGAGATACCATTGACCTGTTTCCAGGTTTACTAAAAGTAGACAATGTAATGATACTTTCCTGAAAAAAGTAAGGAAATACACACATGCCTTCATACTTAATTTTGTACCAGAAAATAACATGTGCAGGTATGGCAATTTTTTACCAAAATGTTACTTTCCAGCTGAACCTTAACCCGGGGTTACAGTAAAATTTTAAATGTTAGGAACTACTTTGAATTTAAAAAATAAGCAATCAAATGACTATATTGCAACAGTATATAAAAAAATAGAAACATACGTACTTGTCCTAACTTTTGTATATTTCAGATAGTTATGTACAGGGTGTCCAAAAAAAAACAGGACCGTAAGAAAGTTGAATAACTCAATCAATTTTGCATATTTTGCCTTGAAATTTGAGAATTATTTAGTTCATTCAATGTGAATTTTGTTCTGAAAGTTTGATGATAATCTGTTTATTATGTCAAAAACTACAGTCCTTTACAAAACATGCTCAAAGTGGGCACTTCTCCTCTCTATGCACAAACGAACCCTGCGAACAAAGTTGTTAATGACCCTTACCTATACACATTAATGTGTATGGTAAATATTGGGGTAGTTATTGCCCTCTTAAGATTGTTAGGGGCCTGTCAGTATACACATTGGCTTTGAGAAATCCTCAAAGATAAAAATTTGGGGGATTTAGATCAGGCGAATGGGCTGCCCATATGGTTTGCGTTCTGCAACTGATGAGCTGACCACCAAAGCATTGCCTAAACCATTTCAGCATATCATTTGCAGTGTTTGGGTGGTATTGGCTTGTTGAAACCACTGCTTAATTATCTCCTTAGATGTCCCTTCTGGTGCTTAGTGACCTCCAAAACTTGGTGAGAACTTACTGGTCCTTGTTCATGGTGATACCAAGTCCCCAGTCACCTTCGAACCAAAAGGGACTAATGATTCCATGTTTCCTCATTGCCACCCAGGGAGTGCATTGTTCAGAATGCAATGGATGCTGTAACACTTTATCAGAAGGATGTAAGCCCCAGTAGCAATTGTTCTTGGAACAAACTTGTCCATTCAGAAAGAAATGTGTGTAGGAGGATCATCAACAGCTTTGTTCGCCGGATTGAATTGTGCATAGAGATGAGATTTGCACATTTGGGGCATGTTTTGTAAGGAGCTGTAGTTTTTGACTCAATTAATAGATTATTATCAAACTTTCACAACAAAATTCACATTGAATGAACTAAATAATTCTGAAATTTCAAGGCAAAATACGCAAAATTGACCGAGTTATTCAACTTTCTTACGGTCCTGTTTTTTTTGGACACCCTGTATAATGTGCAGTAATGCTGTGACCTTTTGTAATTTAGGGAGTTTCAGCCATGTTAATTCTTCCGAAAATAACATGGTGGAGAAGCATCAAAATATAAGAGGGCACAGCTATGATAGCTAAACTACAAAACAAACCAAAATATACAAAAGTTAGGACATGTGTAAATGTTTCTATTTTTACATATACTGCTTCAATATGGCCGGTCCTTTGATTGCTTATTTTTTAAATTCAAAGTAGTTACTAACATTTAAAATCTTACTGTAGAACCAAATCCTCGATCAGTTATTGTGCGATAATGTCTGTATGGAATACTTTATCGGGTATGATTTAAAGTCAAGTATCAGAATATAAGGATAACTGCAAACTCTAGTAATGGTCACACGTTTGTCATGCTCTGATTTTGAGTCTCAATGGTCTTTATCTTAGCAGTTTCAGACTCTCTGCCATCAATGTTATATCAGAAGAAAATCAATCGAAGCATGTCGTTACATTTAAAGGGATGTAATGTTTGTAAAATGATATACATGTACTTAACTTCTTTTGCAGCCAAAATCGAGAAACAAAGTACCCAGGTATTACTAGCCCTCTGTCCCTGGCAGAACCAAAAGAATTTGACCTGCAGCTCACAGAGAAACTCGTAGAGACATTAAAACCTTTCAATGTTTTTGAGAGTGAGGCCGAGCTTGCACATCGGATGAATGTATTGAGTAAGATCAACACGTTGGTCAAACAGTGGATCAAGGACGTTTGTTATAAAAAGGTAAGTTAGGATTCTACAAATAAATATTTGTGTCTGAAAAATGAAACATGTGAAAGGCAGTATCTGTCATAGCTCCCGAGTCTTCATACAAATAAGTAAGCATAAAAAGATTTTGAAACTGACCAAAACTGACCTGTCGTAAGGGAACAAACTGCAACATCCCAAACAATGATCTAACATACAAAAAGCATTGTTTAATGCATCCTCTTCTACCATTGAGAAATATTATCACAGTCCAAAGCCATAAGAGACATACTGAAGTCATTTGAGTAAATGTTGACTAAACTTAACTTGGAACATAAACTTTAAGGGTACAAATACTAAATATCACAGATACTAGTTTTCTGCATGAAAAAAATCAAAATTCTGCAAAAAATTCTGCAAGAAAAAAAGCAAATTCTGCAAGGAGAAAATCGAAATTCTGCACAAATTTTCAAAAAAAAGTCCAAATTCTGCAACCTTTTTCTTTCCATCGAAAACGGAAACGGAAGTCAGCTACTTTCTAGGTAAGAACTGCGCGTCATTAGCGAACTCGCTTTAGCGAATTTAAACGTGATAGAATGTTGAATTTCACGGTGAAATCGTACTTGTACTCAATAATGATTGATTGTTGGACATAAACAGACACTCTTCAAATACCCCGCAAAGGTAGGATATCGTAAAATATGTAATTTCTGGAAATTCTGGTAATTCCGCGGGATTTTCATGAAAATCAGGGATTCTGCAAAAAATTGAAGTTTTGTCAAATTCCGTCCACGCCGCGGAATTACGGAATACTAGTATCTATGAAATATGACATAATGTGTACAACAAATACACACACCCTATACAGGCAAAAGGTTAGATACAAGCCAGTGTTTATCCCATCGCATCTTGAAGAACAATTAAAAAGAACAGCAATACCATATCAAAAATAGTTGTGAACATTATGAATTATAAGATGACTGACAGCTTGTAAGCATATATTTCATAACCATGTCTGCAGTGATCTCCCCAGGATTTTTTCTCGGGTGGGTGCAAAATTCTCATTTTCACAATTAAGATAAAAATTGGTCAAAATTTGCCAATTTTTCATGATTTTTCTCATTCAACTGGGTGCAAATGGATTTTCAGGTGGGTGCAAGTCTATTTTCAAAATCTCAGGTAGGACTGGTAGGTGCTGCGCCCATTTGCTTTAATGCTGAGGAGATCACTGATATGTAATTTGATTTTTCAGATGTGAGGAAAATCCAATGTGTAATAGACTACATGCGTGTAGAAATAATCTTGATTTACATCATTTATATTCAAAATTCAGTCAAAGCGATGTCATATTTGAAATCTGCATGTAAATGTACATCTAGAAATATGGTTTCGAAAATTGTCTATCAACTTTGAAAATTTTTTTTTTTGAAAATGTGACTTCTTGTTCGGGTTGATTCCTCATAGACCCCATGTTAGAAAATCACAAAAAGTGAATTATCTTTTCTTGTATTGGACAGATAACATTTTCTTTTACTGGACATATTTTAATTTGCATAACTATTAGATACATAAGGGTTATATGAAAATTGAACCACGCAAATAGATGTAATTTAAGTTAAAGGGAACTTTCTACTATACCCACCATGCTATCTGACCCGAACGAGCCACCTGGTGGTGAATCTGGTAACTACCTACTCGCATCTGCATTATTGTATGCTTATTTTGTAGAATATGCCAGCAACCATAGCAGAATCAGTAGGAGGCAAGGTGTTCACATTTGGCTCATACAGGCTAGGGGTACATACAAAAGGTAAGTAGAGTCTTTACAAATGTATTTATGAAGAAATAGCTTATTTCATATGAACAAGTTTCATGAAATATACGAATTTGTGAATTGTTTGATTTCCTGTATCTGTATCTTTAGTCTTACTTAGGTGGTTCAAAAAGTTTTGCAGTTGATGCCATAACTTCAAGGAAAATAGGACTTTTGCAATGAAACTTGGTACACATATGTGTTATATATTTATACATCATATGGTAAAATTTGGGACCTCAATTCTGATTGGTTCTTGAGATATGGTTGCTATGGTAACCAGATTGGTGGGTACCATGTTCAACCCGAAATTACGTTTTTCCAAATAGTTTTCTTGCTTGAATAAACTCTTTGTAAAATGGCAATTAGCAGGTGTAAGTGTCTTTGGGTGGCTATTTTTCTTCAAATTCTTCAATTTATCTAATTGTCTCTATGACATCACAATAGACAAGTGACACGATAAGTTTCTTTGTGATGTATACTGTCCAAAACCAAAATGACAGAGGTCCTTGGCCTTCCTTTTTTGGGGTTGTCTGAAAGACTGTCACGCTTCCCCTTCTTGAAATCGTTGTACCATCTCATTACAGTTGTGTAATTTTTGGCATCATTTCCAAATGCTCCCTGAACCAGTTCATAAGTCTCTTGCAAAGTCTTGCCATTTTGAACCATGCACTGTATCAGATTTCTATGCTTCCATTTCATCAATTTGGTTGGTGTGGAAACATCTGCCATTTTGGAAAAAAAAATCAAAATTTCCTCACTTTTCCATCTCATACATTGTTTTGGGGTGCCATTATGAAATTTTACCAATAGCTTGCTCAAGCCCTAGAACTGTGACCATTCGTCCAAAATTGACTTGACATAAATGAATTTCAACAGTATGTCCAAGACAGGTATAGTGTACCACCTAATACCTAGAACTGGCAAGGTCAGTCATTCATAAAGGCATCTACTGAAATCTACTTCTGTAGTCCAATAAGTCAATTTATGTATGTCTTTATATTACAGGAGCTGATATAGATACCCTATGTGTCGCCCCCAGGAATGTTGACCGAAGTGACTTCTTTACAACATTCTATGAACTCTTGAAACAGCAAAAGGAGACCAAGGATCTTAGGGTAAGTTCTCCCACTGTCATCCCAGTCACAATGCTCTTAAAATTGTTATGAAAATAGAACTGAGTACATTAGAAGTACAACTACTCCATGACTTATCTAGAACATTTTGTTGTTTTTTTGAATTGATAATAAATGGGTCATTTTGACATTGACATGAACACACAACTCCAATTCATTGACATTTTCAACCATGTCATGGATTATTCATCGACTCTCAAAAACTCGCTACCTTTCATGTCACCACCATAAGTGGTGACATATTGTTCGGCGTTAAAAATTCGGGGTTTGGAGTTCAGCGTTTGTAGCACTTTTGCAATCACTAACAAGGTGGTGACTATGTCATTTTTATCGTACCTAACAAGAGGTACGATATTGTAGTCAGCTTGACGGGCGGCGTCTCACTTTTCAGCTTGTCTACAGGTTTCCAGCCAAATCATTTGAGGGATTCATCTGAAATTTTCAGGGATGTGTCTACATATCAACGTCAAGAACTGATTAGTTTTTGGGCATTCTGGGTAAATCTTAATGTGGCCATTTTGGATTTTCCGTCCTAAAATCTTCACTTTCAAGACTTGTCTACAGGTTTCCAGCCAAACCATTTGAGGGATTCATCTGAAATTTTCAGGGATGTTTCTACATATCAAAGTCAAGAACTGATTAGTTTTTGGGCATTCTGGGTAAATTTTAAGGTGGCCATTTTGGATTTTCCGTCCTAAAATCTTCACTTTCAAGACTTGTCTACAGGTTTTCAGCCAAACCATTTTGAGGGATTCATCTGAAATTTTCAGGGATGTTTCTACATATCAACGTCAAGAACTGATTAGTTTTTGGGCATTCTGGGTAAATTTTAAGGTGGCCATTTTGGATTTTCCGTCCTAAAATCTTTACTTTCAAGACTTGTCTACAGGTTTCCAGCCAAATCATTTCAGGGATTCATCTGAAATTTTCAGGGATTTTTTTATTACGTATCAAAGTTAAGAACTGATTAGTTTTTGGGCATTCCGGGTCAATCTTAAGGTGGCCATTTTGGATTTTCCGTCCTAAAATCTTCACTTTCAAGACTTGTCTACAGGTTTCCAGCCAAACCATTTGAGGGATTCATCTGAAATTTTCAGGGATGTTTCTACATATCAAAGTCAAGAACTGATTAGTATTTGGGCATTCTGGGTAAATTTTAAGGTGGCCATTTTGGATTTTCCAACCTAAAATCTTTACTTTCAAGACTTGTCTACAGGTTTCCAGCCAAACCATTTGAGGGATTCATCTGAAATTTTCAGGGATGTTTCTACATATCAAAGTCAAGAACTGATTAGTATTTGGGCATTCTGGGTAAATTTTAAGGTGGCCATTTTGGATTTTCCGTCCTAAAATCTTCACTTTCAAGACTTGTCTACAGGTTTTCAGCCAAACCATTTGAGGGATTCATCTGAAATTTTCAGGGATGTTTCTACATATCAACGTCAAGAACTGATTAGTTTTTGGGCATTCTGGGTAAATTTAAAGGTGGCCATTTTGGATTTTCCGTCCTAAAATCTTTACTTTCAAGACTTGTCTACAGGTTTCCAGCCAAACTTTTTGAGGGATTCATCTGAAATTTTCAGGGATGTTTCTACATATCAACGTCAAGAACTGATTAGTTTTTGGGCATTCTGGTTAAATTTTAAGGTGGCCATTTTGGATTTTCTGTCCTAAAATCTTCACTTTCAAGACTTGTCTACAGATTTTAAGCCAAACCATTTGAGGGATTCATCTGAAATTTTCAGGGATGTTTCTACATATCAACGTCAAGAACTGATCCATTTTTGGGCATTCTGGGTAAATTTTAAGGTGGCCATTTTGGATTTTCCGGCCTAAAATCTTCACTTTCAAGACTTGTCTACAGGTTTCCAGCCAAACCGTTCAAATTTTTACATTTGTTACACAGTGATAAGTTCTAGAGCTGATTAACTTTTCTGCGGCCATCTTGCTTTCTTGGTCAACAAGACCACAATGCTGTGTTTTAGGTACGATATTGTTCACGTCTGTGCCTTGTTTCTTTTTGTTTTCCATTTTAACCCATTAGTCTCCAACCCTTACATCAGATCACCCTTAAATATGATATATTGATCTCCTCTTGCAGGCAGTTGAAGAAGCTTATGTTCCAGTAATAAAGATGGAGTTTGACGGCATTGAGTTGGATATGTTGTTTGCTAGACTTGCCCTCCAAGTTGTACCAGAGAACCAAGAGCTCTCCACACAATCTATACTGAAGAATCTGGACCAGAAATGTGTACGCAGTCTCAATGGTATGCCCAGTTATATGGATGAATAAGAAAGACACTAGACATATATGGACAAATCACTGTTAAGTTTCTGATGAAATTAACTTCAGCTCATACACCACGATGCTCTTTTTCACCAGAAAAACATACTGTCCTTCCAAACCTCCTTATCTAACTAATTTGTTTACACTTTTTACTTTCTAATACTGTTTAACTTTACATTATACTTTTTCATCTACCATTTTGTAAGACTAAAAATTAACCAATTTATTTTCCAAATGCTCAAAAAGTCAAGATTGTCTATTATGTTGTTCAAGTGAATCAGGTTTAATCAATACAACATGTTTCTATGGTTACAGGATGCAGGGTAACAGATGAAATCCTAAGGATGGTTCCTAACATAGACAACTTCAGAATGACACTTAGGGCAATCAAACTATGGGCTAAAAGTAAGTGCATTCATATAATCAACATATAGGCGCCCTGTGTATAGTATTGGGCTTTATTGCTTCCCAGATGGTCTTGTCCAGATCGTTATGGTCCACTTATCCCTAGGCCCATTGGTAAACTAAGTATTATAATGTATAAAAAATTGTCAATATTGTTATTTAAAGTAATAATTGCAGAGGTAGTGAAGACCTATGTTAAAGACAGAGACGTTCAATCCATTTTGATATATGTATTATAATTCTACATTATATTCTTTCAGAAAAAGGTATATATTCAAATGCGCTAGGTTTCCTTGGAGGTGTATCATGGGCCATGTTGGTAGCTCGTGTATGCCAACTCTATCCTAATGCAGCTCCTAGCACTTTACTCAACAAGTTCTTCTTAGTTTATACAAAATGGTAAGTTATATGTTCAGAAAATTAAACATTCAATGTAACACAAATGTTTTAGCAATGCCTGAGTGTCCAAAATAATCATTTTATCGTGTGAAACTAATTTAATGAAAGTTCAGATGTCCCTCCCTTTGTTAAACTTTGTTGATCATTGCAGTTACATTATACCCCACTGAATGTTCAATATTTTATCTATGGAGAATTTTTTACCTCCCCCTCCGTCATAATGAAATATTATACTACTGCTATTGCAGGGACTGGCCTAACCCTGTGTTGTTGAAGCAACCTGAAGAAGGCAAGCTTGGCTTCCCAGAGTGGGACCCTAGGGTAGGTAGCTCTTGTCTTAATTCAGCACAGTTGAAAGGGAAATATGGGTAGAGTAATGCCAAATGATAACCTCATGAGTCATGATCATATGATTGGGAAGTGAGATAACTCATTATAAATCATAATCATATATACTCATAATTGCTTACATAAAAGGATTGAGATTTGAACTTACTTCTCATCAAGAAGAGATGACATGAGACAGTACCACTTTAAATGATTGATATTAAGGAGTCAGCTTATGATACAGTACCACTTTAAATGATTGATATTAAGGAGTCAGTTTCTTTGTATTTCAGATCAACCCTGCAGACAGGTACCACCTTATGCCAATCATAACTCCAGCCTACCCTCAACAAAACTCCACATTCAATGTGACCCTCTCTACTCGTACAATCATGATGGATGAGCTGCAAGCAGGTATATTGTCAATTTAAATTGCTACCATTGTAGTGTTATCTTATGGTACTGTTCTGTTGATGTTGAGTGTGTTCTCTGTTTCTTCGCTTAAGCATTTTTGCAATAAAAACACTAGTATTGCACTTCAAATCATTCAATAACTTATGATATTTCAGGTTTAGACACAACTAATGCAATCCTAGAAGGAAAAGAGGAATGGGTGAAACTATTTGAAGATTCCAATTTCTTTCAAAAATACAAGTAAGTATTATTTTACATTCTATAGCCTTATTGCATCTGTTGATATGGTTGATGAATTATTATTTATTTGATAGATCTCGTAGCACAAGTTATGGCCAATTTAGGAGTTGACAAAAATATGAATAAAATATGAATAAATGGAACTTGAAGGAGTTGGAAGTGTTGGATACTCTTGTCAACATGAGTGTCCAAGGCAGTATATTGAATAGTCAAGTTTTTAATCTAGGCTACAATTGAACAAATTTATATCTGATTTTTCCGTCATTTCTGCACATTTTGGATTGTTGCAGTTGTGTACTTGGTACATGGCAAAATGAACTGAAATACATCAGATTTGTCGGAACAACAAGGGAATTTGGTAAATCAACCAAAGAAAATTGTAATATGACTTTTTCATGAATTTCAGACATTATATAGTTGTAATAGTGAAGAGTGGTACAGAGGAGCATCATTTAGAGTGGAGTGGCCTGGTGGAGTCAAAGCTGCGTATCTTAGTGGGAAACCTGGAGCGCAATTCTTACATACAATTAGCCCATATTAAACCTACCTCTTATGGAAAAATAGACAGGTCAGTTAATTTTGGGCTCAACCTTGAAGTTTTTCCATTTGAAAACTAGTGGTGTCATATTTTCAATGTCTCCAACTTTTATGTGGCTGGTGGACGGTAGTTGGTGTTCAGCGTCAGAAAGAAATGGCATGTGATGACATTTTGCATGTCAACGCCTTCTTATATAGAGATATTTTGTGCAGCATACAGATTGATTGATATAAACCTCTGCACGCATACTTTACTACACCATTTTACCTCTTTATAAATTTATTCTTTGTTATTTTAGCGATAAGGACAACCATATAACAAAGTGGTTTGTAGGTTTACTCTTCAACAAAACCAACAATATGAACTTAGATCTAACATATGATATCCAGTCCTTCTCAGACACTGTGTACAGGCAAGCTATCAACATCAAAATGTATGAGGAAGATATGAAAATTGAGATTAAACATGTAAAAAGGTAAGTCAAATTGCTCATTGATTCATAGTTTTTCTTTTCACTATTTCATTGAATTTATTTGAGTTTTGTTCAAATTTTCCAGAGCAATGAATTTCTGTAACTAAAAAAAAATTTGGTATAAATTTTTATAAATTAAGGAAATGTGTATCTGTATCTTAAGAAAAGCAAAAAAGTTATTTGTGGATATGCCTGCATAATTAAGTTTTTTATACTGCTCCCCCATAACATGGTGCTTTTTATATTGGTTCAGCTATAATATATTTGGGGTAAGCCAAGACTTACAGAAGCAAAACTAGAATTATTTCATTAAACTTTCGTGCATATTTTTTTTATTCCAGGAAAGAACTAGATGCCTACCTACCACAGAGTGTTTTGAAAAAGCAGAACATAAAAACCTCAAAGAAAAGCATAGTAAGTCTTCCTAAGGCCATTAATTACATAAAATAAATGACAAAGAAAGCATTATTTTAGGTCAGGTTTATATTGCTTTTATATACTAGGTTTTACTTATATTATATATAACTTGTCAAAATATGTGATACAGGTTTTGTAATCGAGCAACTTATTTTTATGGAGAACAGGAAAGATATTCTTAACATTTAATTTATTTACCCAAATATATTGAATTTTTACTTTCAGGAGACTATCAAATTATCTGACTCACCTATAGTGACCACCACTCTCCAGACAACAGTAGATCTAACAAATGATACCCCAAGTAGTGTTCCTGTAGACATTAGTGGTACAGAATCCATGGAAGAGTCCCAGAGGTCCAAACCCAGTGAAAGTGAGAGTGTTAATAGTGACATCAGTGTTGTGTCTATGAAAGAGGAGGCCAATGATCCTAATGTTAATGGAGAAACTAAAGCTAGTGCAATCCCACAGGTTTGTCTAGTTATGTTACATTTAAGGTGGTTATACATACACTGGTAAATGATTATCATTATGAAGCAATAATGTCATGGACATTTTGATGTAAAATCATATACAATTTATAAATTTTTTAAGGCCTCAGTGTGTAGTACTACCTCAATTTCAATCGGTAGCATTAACATAGCAGATATGTGAGCTATTGGACACCCAAAGAGCATAAACTGTGGTGTAACATTGTTATATTGTTCATGGTTGAGAATTTTAGGCCAGATCATTAAAAAAACATTATGGACAGGCACTCTTAGCTAAATCTCTGGTTTGTTATTATGTAATTGCACCCTGCAAGATATTTGTTAAGATGCTGAAAATATTGAAACCTGGGTAATATTTTTAAGAAGACTATACGTAAAAAAACTGAATTTAAATCTGCTATTGCGATGTAATGTAAAAATACCTATCACAATAATAGATTTTAAGCGACATGTTTATTCTTCAGACTGATGTGCTACTTGTGCCAAAGAGACCTCATTCCCCTTCAGTACATCACCATGGAACACCACCAAAGTTTCCCAGAATCAATGATGAAGAAGAGGTATTTCTATAATCACTAATAAGTCAGTATTTAAATGTTCATCTGTTTGTGCTTGAACATAGCATTTAAAAGATGTAAAATACCATTCATACAATTTAGAGTGTCGCCTATATGCCCTTTTCTTTGATTTACCCTAAAATAAGGCATTAGTAATATAATATCTCAGATAAATATAGGATATCTTATTTATCATGTTCATACAAATGCTCTATTCATTTATCCCATAGTTTACCAATAAAACTAAGCCCATGAATCAAGCATTTCAAAACAACATTCATTCATTTATTATGTGACGTCATAGAATCATCACGAAACAATACATGTCACATTGGCGGGAGTTTTCAAATCCATGCAAAAAGTGATATCTTTGGAGTATTCTCCGTATTCCACAGATATCGATTTTTTCCACACATTTGCAAAATATCATATAAATATATTTACATGTTATCAGATTTGACCTCAACTATGGGATAAATAGATATATCATGGTACACTTTCTTATTTCTCCAGTAAACCTTGAAGCAATCAAAAGCTACATCGGTTGAAAGATTGAAAATTACCATACACTCCGTCTGCTCTCGTTTCAGAAAACTTGAAAGAAACAGTATTTATTAAGTGTTCTACTGTTTCTATTGCATTGTTTGTAGGGCTCCAGTTCTCCCATGCAGATTGAAGACAGTATGGGACATAAACTTCCAATATCTCCAACAGGGCCAACTACTGAGAGATTTGTAAGTACATTCTCCCACAAACTCAGTACTTGTAAGTATACCTTACTATGTCTATGTCGATAATCTGCAAAAGGCTAATAAGCCCATATAAAGCAGATATATAATTTAACCGTGATTAGATTTGAATAGAATATAATTTAAAACCTTAACATTTAAAAATAGATCTACAACTCATTTTAAAATTGAAAAGAACCTTCCTGGTTGGCCCCTGTAGCCCCCTAGGAAGTCCCTTTATGTTGAAATACCCTGGGGCGACTGTCAGGCTACCGCGTTGACATCGCCCAACTTTACCAGTAGTGCAGGCTTGTTGCTGTGCACTGGGGGCCTTTTACATTATTATTACTATTACATATACATCAGCTATAGATCCATCATTATTCTAACATATTTGCTGTCATTTCATTATGTGTGAACATGTGACTATACTCACAAAATGTAAAGGTGCTACTTCTATATTGCACTCTTTAAATATAATCAGTATTTAAAATAACTGAATAATTTGTATCACTTAATCTTTAACCCCCCCCCTTGTATAAAGTGAAGAATGGTTTTAAACAGTGTACAATGAACTTTTTAGGAATTAGAAACCAATGTTTTATATTGTAGTCTCCAATAGCTGAGGAGTCTGGTCCAGTTCAAGCCCCAGCCAATATAAGCACAGAGAAAACCGTTATAAAATCACAAGTGGAATTGAAATGAAGGATTGAAGCAGAGCAAAGGGATTGGTGTGAATATGATGACTAACCTAGCAATGTGCTGGTTTATGTCAGTAAAAAAAGCGTATAGCCTCAAGTCGAAGAACAAAGAAGTGTAAGTACTGGAAAGGAGAAGGAAATAAATACCTCACTTGATGGAGGACTGGATAAGACAGTGAGGGTGAAAAGCCAAGAATGAAATGACGGAAACGGAATGAAAGTTTGCAGGCAAACTACTTGAAAATGGGTCATGGGATCAAATCCCTTTAGTACACCAATTTTCTCATTATAAAGTAAAGAAAGTTTGAAAAGTATGATATGCAGAATAACCTACTATTTAAGACAGGAATAATGTTTGCTGGCAAACCGAGTGTGAAAAGTTCAGAGGTTAGTTTGAACAAGCATTTTTGCCACAAATGTCAGAATCTGGAATTAATGATTTGTCATATTGAATTGGACTTGTATGAACAGCCATAAGGTGATGCTGTTTCAAATCCCAAAACGATTCAAGGAATAGCCCAGTGTATTTGTATGGTTGCTAGCTAGAATACTATGGTATATTGGTTCTGTGTTCATCATGGACCAATAGAAAATGACAAAACAATTACGAAGGAAATTAATATTTCAATGGATTTCATGCAGAATTAAGTGGCTCATTTTATCCTAATATTTTAACAGTATTTTAGTAACAATGTTTAATAGTTATGTAGGAGGAGGTATTATTTGTAGCTTTTATACACTATTGTAAATTGAATTAAAAAGTGTCAATATGCTTATTGTCCAAGTAGCATACACCAGAAAAAAAATTGTTCATTAGAATGATTTAGTATTATATATCATTCGAAAGCTAGGTTTTTCTGATGTCTGTTTCTTTGTCATAAGCTTCATAGGTTATCTAATTTTGGTATTACTAAAGCACACAAGATGCATTAGGTATGTATTTTATACAGGATTTCAAATAAGATCTTCTTTCCAATGTAATGTTACATAAGGTTTTATCCATCGCTGTTGTCATCCTTTGGGGGAGGGGGGGGCTTATTTGACAGCCTATACTTTCAATATCCATTGATCAACTATTCGTATTGTTAAACATAAAAATGTCTATTCATTTGCATTCAGTATTTTATCAAGCCAGCTTATTACATGTAGGTTGATAGTGTACCAATTACCAATTCTTTTACATTCAAGAATAAAAGCACAATTTCTTTGGTGTTTGTTCTCTTTTAGGTGACTATATATTGTGACACCAACACAACTGTATTCCTGTATTATGACAATCTGTAATATATTTATTTGCCAATTTCCCATTTGAGACTTGGGAATCAAAAAATTAGCCCTACTTATTAATGAAACTTCTTAAGCCATTGCTGTCACTTGCATTAACACTAACACAAATGTGAGTGCATATACAATGGTCTTGAGTATTTAATGATAAATTTTGTCTTAAAGCATCTTGTCATGGTTTCTTAAAGCATCTTGTCAGATCTCAGATCACAATGACCAGCAGTCAACCATAAATACAATATTAATGAACTTTTTATTTCAAGCAAAATGTTTATAGTTTAGTTTATTAAAATGAAATGTCTGACTGTCCCTTTGTTGTGTTGTGTGCCAAGTAAACATTGAATAGAATGCTGATATATCGCATACTTATTGACATTCGGTCATGACGCTGTTAATATAAGTTAGTGACATACTACCTTGCTAATAAAAGAATGAAATAAAAATATCACAAATATTGGTAAATTGCAACATTGTGTATGTGTCAGGCTCACATGCTGTCATATACCTATATACATATTGTATTTCTCAAACTTATATGTACTGTTGTACACATACTTATTGTAGTTCAGTACACAAACTTATAGGACACCATAAGCGACATGTTTATATCAACTGAGTTATTATAAATAAGTCATTCCTCTCAACGTATTTATAGTATAATCAATATACTGAGCACACATAATGTTGTGGAATGGCAATAAATCAACTTATTGTAGATTGCATTTCTCAAATGATAGGAGGAGACAAGAGATGCAATTGCAGTTGGCTTTGCAAAAGCACAAAGCTTCAATTGATACACTGCCAGGAGCCTTGTATTTGAACAAATGATCAAGAAGTGACTTTGTTCCCAGAATCTCTGCTGCTAGTGGAATCCCAATAAAATTGTGTAATTTCATCCTTCAATTTGAAAAAAAGAATTAATGAGTTGACATTATTTCCTTCTTTAAGTGTAATGAATGAAGTTTCCCTATATTGGGTAACCCACTAGTAACAGCAGATCCCTGGTTGAGCAGTCACCCACCCTCTCCTCCACGTAAGAAACAGTCTAACATGCATATACAAGATTTAATGTACAAATTATAGATATTAAATAAATTCTATTTTACTCAATAAAACATGAATTATTTGTATGTGCACTTTATGATTTGTTATTTCACATTTCACTGGCAAACCATTATGTATTAATGGCCTTTTTATTTAGCATTTGCCAATTACACAGATGTTGAAATAATGGTCTTATCCTTGTCTCGCTCAAGTCGGTATTATATTTTATTTATCTTTTTTCAATTAAATACCGCTGAAAATAAAATTTCAAAAAATAGAGACACCAACTTAATAAAATTTCAAAAAATGAAAGACACGACTTAGGCTAGGAGTCTTATCCTTAGTATGAAATCACTTGTAGTATTGATCAGTATGGATGTCAATTTTTTGTTCCTTTGAAAAATTATCTTGCAATGTTTATGGGGTTAAAGGGAATGCCTCCGTCTGTCTGTTTGGGTGATAACTTCAACACTAATATTGTTGTTCAGATCTTATACAATGTACCTTTTATGAAGCAAGTACTGATTGGAAGCTTGTTTTCGAAATGGTCATTTGTTTGAAAATTCTTGTGTGGATTTTACATTGTTGTTCATTCAACTGAGAAAGGAGGATTTAATAGAGATAGAGAAGTCATCGGTTCTTTTGTCAATCCATACATTATGCGCATTAAAACATCTGCTTGGAAAGGAATTTCTAAAACAGTTCTCAGTTTAAAATGGCCACCATTTTTTCATAAACTGTGATTATTGATACATGATGGTACCTTGGGAACACGACTCTACTCAAGAAAGATTTTTTCAAGGTAACTGCCAAATTCAAAATGGCAACAATTTTTAAGGAAAATGGGATTTACTACGAGTCACATATACGATAACAATTATTGGGTCTGATACAAATTTATTTTCCAAAATAGAGCTTTGTGAACAACCCTCGTATGTAGGTATTGTTAGTATTAAGTGCAACCTACAAGACAAATAACGCAATATTTATAATGCCGACTGAGTGTCATTAATGTCAACATTTTATCATTATCCACTCCTATGTCAAAGGATGATATCTCATAAACTAATAGTATTGATTATTTGATGAAAATGATAATAATAGACCTTCATTTCACGGTTTAGATGGAAATTAATCTTAGAAAGACTTGTTCATTGCAGGATAATCGCAATATCTAGATTTCTAAAACATTATGTAAAACCTGCTATCTCTGAAACTTGTAATAACGTAACACATCGCGAGGCTCAAAGAAAACATAAAAACTAAAACAATAAACTAAACTCCTTTTAGCAAATGATAGAAACAAGATATCATCCTAACCTTTTATTTGATCTAATATATCAAATCAAATCTAGATTTAAATCTGTATTTAGGGTCGTATTGGAGACTCATTGTTTTCCTTTTTTGTCTTTCCTTTGTAGCCATTTTATCATATTAAAGCCTAGACAAAAATTGTTAAACTGACTTATTGTAAAGCCAATGATAATTCTAGGAAGTAAAATTGTATTACTTGGAATACAGCGTTTTAAGAGCACCTGCCTTTGTACAAACACGATGGGGTTTATATTACTCACAAGTTGCCGGAGCAAAATCAATCATTATTGCCTTCTATTTATTTGTTTTGAAACATCTATTATTGTTGTTACTTTTGATTAATATATATACATCAGCAAAAATGTCCGATCTGAACAAAATTCGATTGAGGACCGTTTTACGATTTTATAAAAATAACTGTTCTCCAGGTCTAACTTTTAGAAACAACATCAAGGGAAACTAGATTATTATTATTATAGTACAAGTATAAGATGTTCTTAAATATTTATGAGAATATCCCGTATATGATGCAGCCGAGGGAAGAGCCCGAGAGTTCTATATATATACACGGGTCTTCCATGGAGAGTTTCGTGTGATGTTTTAGGCAGTAGAGAAAATAGCTCGAGCGTTTTTTCGAGGATATGATTTTTTCACGGATATGATTTCTAAGTATTAGATGGCCCACACCAATAGAAGAGTAAATTATACATTTAAATGGAAGGTGTCATACATTAATGTTCCAGGAAAAACATCCAGTTCTTGTAAAATTGCATCTGACGGCAGGACTCCTATGGTTTGATTAATGTCTAGTGTGTGGATTTTCATTGCTTATACACCTTGGTGAAGTCGCACTTTCTGTCTATTTATCTAAATGTCATTTACGTGTGAAACCAGTTTATTATTATAAACCAACGAGTAAGACAACATAGCGATCGTGTTTTCAAACTGGAAATACTATGGAAAAAACGAACATGAGAAAATAATTGAAAATACAAACATTATTTAACGCTATAAATTACATAGAGAGTGAGAAAATTGGAGACATATTTTATATTCTTATGAAAAACTATAGGGAACCCACTTGGTTGGGATGAGAGTTTTAACAATAGGAATGGTGAACAATAAACCGATTGTATTAAGGATATATTTTTATGTACAACATAAGCTTTTATTACGACTAAACACAAAGGATGAACACAATCAGAACAATATGTAAGTAAACATATATTTTGATGAATTATTTGTATGGATCGTGTTATCAGGTTATGCTCATTCATTATACCAACATTGGCATTATACATGTAATTTCAATCTATATGGTGTTCCAGTTATTATTAATTAGAATGATTTGATTACAGATGTTGATATCTTCTTTCAGGTCTTGCGACTCTTGTATTGGGGGTACATTCAGCCTGGCTAAGTAAGTGTATATTTTGCTCTAGGACAGCTTTTATTTACCGTTTTATTGCCTATTGTGCTGACTGACTCAAATATTCCAGGATTCGATTTACTAAACATGACATGTAAACATCCTGTTTTATGCGAATCCTGATGTTAAAAAGGTCAGGTTGTCATGAAATAATATATTATAGTTAGTTAGACTAGTTAATTAACTTCTGGAATATATCTTTAATATTTGTTCTCATAAACAAATATAGATGTTTTGAACTCAACATTTTGGAATTTTTGTTTTTGTTGACATTGAAATGTATTATAAATTAAAACTACACAACAAAACAAATCAACATTATTATAGTAATAGTATAATGTACAAGTAAAAGGTTATAGTATTAAATATTACATGCTTCCATTTTGTGCATTTTTTGTTCCAGATTGTGGATTGAATTTGGTTTTAATCGCAGACTTGACATGTAACATACTTCCTAGTGAAAAAACTGAACTAAGGAAAGCCTTGATACACAACGTCCAATCATTGGGACTAAACACCACACATCCCTTCTCAAACAGAATTTCATTGTTAACTATATATGACAAATCATCATTCCATAATTTCTACTTCTCAAACTTCACGACAACTGAAGAGGTTGTGGATTACATTAACACAACGATGTACATGCATACAGACGGTACAAAAAACTGCTCAAAGAAGCCACGGAGGACGGATTTGGCGTTTAGAGCTGCATTAAGGGTGTCCTTTAGTCCTAAATACGGTCTTAGCCAAAATGCTAAAAAGATCATAGTATACCATGCTTATGGACCTGTGATTCCAAATAGGTTGGATGAATTAAATCAATATGTCAAAGATCTTAAAGATGCGGATGTAGAAATTTATGTCAATTGTGTTAAACTGTACTATGTGAAAGGGGGCGCAGCTTGGAGAGACTGTGAAATTATGGCACACAAAATCGTTAGTGAGCCAAAGCACGAACACGTTCGTATTGCCAATAGCGCATTGGGAATTGAGAATGCATTTCAGGATATACTGATGACGAAATGCCCAGGTAATCAGTACTTTAGTCCAACGTACATCAATGGGGTACCTTGGGACCTCCATAGACTTAATGCGTGCGACATGTGGGGTCTATAGCACTCGCTCCATGGGATCCATGGCGTTCCATGAGGCCCCATGGGAGTGATGGGATTGTGGGATAAGGTCCCATGGAACTCCTTGAGATTCCATTCAGCGTGCGAGATTTAACCCCATTGGTGCATGTTCATCTTCGCACGCTCGGTCTTCATTCTGAAGTGCGACAATTTATTATTTTTCTACAAAAATAGGTTGAATAACATTCAGAAATAATATCAAAGTTGCATCATATAATATTATGTAATGTATATCAAGTGGACATGTCATAGGTGTTATTGCGCCTTAAGTCAACTTTGAAATTTAGAGCTGCTGGGTTCAAGATGCTGGATTTGTGATTCACATGCGTGGGTTAAAAATGTCAAGGGCATCTTGTATCACAATTTTGTACCCCCATAAATGTGGGTTCGGTTTGCTTTTTCTTAAATTTTTGACTTTGATAAGGCAAGCCTCACCGACAGCTGAAACCTATTCCAAATTGTGTAGTTGGACACCTTGATGATTTGAAGATGAAAATCAGATCTTATATCAGCATTTTCCAAACCAATTCTCTTGTTTTCTTTTACAATACACTTTTCCCAATGTAATACTGTAGAGTGATTGGTTACTGGAAACAATGCTTCATATCGGCAATTATTATTAGCATTTATATCTAGGTCTTGAAATTGTCCACCATTTTGTCCAACTACAAGATTTCGAATGGCTAACATTTGTGGGGAGAGTTTTGCTATCACTAAATGTCAAAAAAAGAAAAGGGCAAAACACCCCCACATTCATGGTGGTACACAATTGATATATATGCTTTAGAGTATTTTCTTTCATTTCAACATAATTTTTGTTGTAGCACAATGCGTGTGGTCAACCTGGAGTCAGTGGTCTCAATTATCACCGAACATCACGTGTGCTAAACCGAATTGCAGTACCATTCCAGCAGACGGCACCGCTCAGCGCCCTCTATCGATACGGTTTACACACACGCGTACTGCTCTACCAGACCCACGGTACCCAGGAGCATGCGACAAATCTGAGACAGTTTCGAAAGATGTGGAATGCAGAAAAGCCAACTGTGGAATCGCCAACAGCAATGGATTTGGTAAGTGCCTCAAATTGGATTCAATATGTTGAATGATTGTTGTTTCTCCTGCTGCTTGCGTTATTGTACAAATTAATATTGTAAAATACTTCTCACTTGAAACATGCTTGTCTTCTAGTCATAGTCCACGGTATGTTTCTAGGACCTCTATAAAGGACAAAAGGAGCGGTTAGCAAAGTATATATAGGGTGTCTCAAAAAATGTACCCAAAAGTATATCAAGATCATAGACAAACCAATCCAATATTTTCAGTCATTTTTTGCATGGTCTTGAAGATAAAAGATGAAAGTTTTTTCCCATATACACAGTTTTTAATTCAGTTTTGCCATTTTGATACTTTAACCCGTTACCTTTTACACAACATATTCAATGTAACCTCATATTTCGATGACAGTCTGCATCCTTACTACTACATTGTTCATCACATTTGATATTTCTGATGGAATGTTTTGATTTCTGTTCGGATGCTAGTCTTAAGTTGTTCTAGGTCTCTTAACATGGGTTTAGCATAAAAATGGTCCTCATAGAAAAAAGTATGGGCCGTCAAATGTGGTTAATAGGGAGGCCCTCACAATGTCTTATAGCCTCCTTATACAGAGAGGTCAGAGGTTCAAGGAACTGCATTGGTTGGGATTCTAGTGTAGCCCTTGTTGTGTGTATCAATTTGAGACCACTGTGTTTTCATTTGGATATCATTTGGTGTTCAAGCTAGCCTGCCTAACTCTGGAAGGTAACTACTGACTCATTTACCGATAATTCACCTGATTATCTGTGTTTGGTCTGCCATCGTCATCCTCAAACATCTTTCTCTGTGGGTATTTGAAGGAGAGTTTAATGCTCATTCCAAGCAAAAAGACCTAGAACAACTTAAGGGCAACATCCAAAGAGAAATCCAAAACATTCCACCGGAATTATTATCAAATGTGATGAACAATGTAGCAATAAGGATACTGGCTGTCATCGAAATATGAGGTAACATCGATTATGTGGTGTAAAAAGTAAAGGGTCAAATCATCAAAAAGATAAGACTGAAATAAAAATGGTGTATTGGGGAGAAAACTTTCATGTTTGACCATGAACTGACCATGACATGACCATGCGAAAAATGTCTGGAAATATTGACTGGTTTATCTGTGCTCTTGATATACTTTTGGGTACATTTTTTTGAGACACCCTGTATATAGCTCAGCCATATTTGACCTAAATATTTTCATTATGACTGCCGGTTAATATAGCTTAGTGGCTACATTTTATCTGTCATTAGCAAGAGTCATCAATGCCTGTTTAGTCAGGCATTAATGATACATAAATAGTACGTTGGTGACTTTATTTTTCCAAGAGTACAAGCCTTTAGTTTTAAATCTAGTCATTGTAATAGAGAGAGAGAGAGAGATGTTTTTAGTTTTCGTGATCAGTGAAACTATGTTCGTTTTTTATTTGCGTTCAAATGGCCACCGTTTTTATATAATATCATTTATTGTCAGGGGTTTTGGAAGTTGTGGCGTTCTTGATTAAAATATTTAAAATATTTTAAAAATCTTAGGACATTTTGAAATTACGCCCGGGTGACCATGACCGATCTTTAAATTTAAACCCAAATCTAGATCCAAAGGACCGAGAAATACATATTCGTTCCTTATAGTTAGGCTGAATCACTTGAAAAACCCTCCCAATAATTCTTTTTATGATAGAAGCACCAAAATTGGTACAAGTGTAGCTGATTGTAATTGAAAAAAAATGGCTCGAGGCAGCAAGTGATCCGGAGCCTCGTTTTGGAAAAAATTCAAAATGGCCGCCAGTCTGTTTGTGATTTTGTCGATTTCTATTAAAATCTCAAGATCCTCTTACATATTAATGAAAACTGCATAGAAACCTCAAGAAGTGGCTTTGAAATGAATCTTTTTTGATGAACTGACATTTAACTTGAGTTTCAAATGTAAAACGGCGTAAAACAAGGTTCAGAAGTACGACCTGTACTATTAAGTTCATAAATGACATATATTGTTATTCATCAAAAATTGTTGACCAAAGACTTGAGTACTTACATAATATTGGATAATAAGATCTCTTACTTCTACTGGACAACTTGTATAAGAGAATATATTCAGCCACATATCCAAAATAAGGGGGTTATTGTTACAGTACCAGTTAGATGGTGCTACAATGCGAAAATGTCAATGCTGGGGCAATTTATGTTTGATAAATTGTCACAGTTTATGTTTGATAAATTGTCTATGTTTTACATTTTTGATCACCATCTTTCTCAAATCTCAAATATTTTGTCCTTTATTGTTACTCTCACTAATCAGTGCAAAGCCCACTGCACTTACAAAGGTCTGTGCATTTTGCCCAGCCAGCTTTTTTACATGAACAATACTAAGGACGATACCCCTTGCTGCATTGGCACTTTATGAGTTCTCTGCATGCTATTGACGTTTGCTGAAGAGTAGACCAAAAAGTGGAAACACGTGATCATCATCATCCTCCTCGAGCCAAACTTCAAATAATCCTGGACACCACTTGGGCGAGGATCCAGTATTTGGCCTCAAACAATCCCTCCTGTGAAGGCAGATCTCCTAATATGCTGCTCCAAAGCTGCCTTAGTCGGAGGTATCTCGTCAATCTGTCTTCCCTTCTTGGTGAAAAGATATTTTCTGGTTGAGTTAATATCAGTTGTTGAACTTGTCCTGTCATAGAGAACAATGACAAATATCTAAGCACAAGTGCCAAAGGGAAAGGACCAAAAGTTGTAATGGAACTCATCAAGAAAAAGCAAACTCTAAGTGCATACCGGTCAAGAAAAACAAACCCCATATATCCTAAAACCATGATCTAACGTGAAAAGAAACAATGTATAATACCCCCTTTCCCCCACCATTCAAGAACCGATGTCACAATCCAAGACCAGAACACCAAGGGACATTTCATTCATACTGAAGTCATTACAATACATGTTAAAGAAAAAATTAGAAATTGATAGCCAATACTCATAACATCAAAAAGAGTTGTAGATACAAGTACTCATACAAGATAGAGCATTCAGTCTCAAATGATGTGGGATAGATAAAATCCAGTCTCCAAGTCCATAGGCATTTCAAAGGGTCAACATCCATTCAAAAAAGCCATCGCCATAATCCATAAATAATAATTCAAAATGCTTGTGAAACGTTCCAATAGAAACAGAGCTTCTTCTGCTATGTGATGTGGGTTTGTTTTAAAGCGAGAAATGCTTCTGTTACTTCTGGATATTTATTCCATACTCTCCAACATTATTTTTTTCCATGGCCAAAGAATGACGATGTACTATCACACCCAGTAAATACAGGGAAAACAGGGAAACATTCAGATTTGGTAGGTCCAAGAGCTCTTGCCATCTCATGAGCAGCCAAATACCTAGTTTTTCCCAGTTCCAAATGCAACCCATATGCTAATACCGACAAGGACAACTATATTAGTATCATTGCATCTGATCAGTATTCTGGCAAACCCTCTTCTAGCCATATGGGCAATGTGGACAAACATTTTGGTATCTGCTTCTTCATGAGAACATGGCTCCAAGTCATTTGTATCACTAATTGCAGGATTGCAAATCACCTTTTCACCAATGGTGGTCACAATTTGTTTATATGCATCTAATGGAAGACTTTATAGTTTGTAGGCTAAAATACCAAACATCTCTTGCTTGTTGGAGTCATCTCTCAAGTAATACTGCCAGTTTCTTGGCACAGTGTTTCCAAGATAGGTCATCCTTCTGTCACCCTTCCCACGCTTGTCTCGTCATCGTCTTCAGGCTCCTTGTCAGGTACTCATCCCAAAAATATATCGAGGCGATCAACATATTGCAGCTGACCTTGGATGTAGGGAAGGAAAACATCAGTGGCATAATCCTCAAAGGTCTTTGCTGTAGTTAGTTTTAGAAGGTGTACTGAACATGCACCATCTATTATTTCAGCAGCAACAGGCCTACCTTTTCCCCTGCCCTAGGGGCAATATCCTCCATGCAAATAAATAGCTCTGATTTGTCACCATTTCTGAGGACACCATACTTTGCCAGTGAAGGTGGATACTCCTGGTTCTCATGCATGAGAAAGTCATCAAGATCAATGTTTCTTGTCTGGCATGTGATGTATAATTTGGAGAATAAATCACAGTCATTTCTCAATTTCTTAATTTGAGATTTCTGATTTGTTCTTTTGGGTATTTTGCTGCTCAACATTGCGATCTTGTGGCGTTTTATGGGTGTATCCAATGGTTCAGTTCTCTCCACAAGACGTTCAGTTGTATACTTAGTGAAGCTTTGGTTGCCAATGTCTTCTATACTTCTGATGGTGTCACTTACTGATACATATAACATCCTTTGTGTCAATAGTAAATACATCGTCACCTGACACAAGGAATGGATTGCCTAGTTTATCAATAGTAGTCACAACAGCAAATACATCATCTCTAAATTTCTGTTGAATGCTTGCTGTTTGCTCGTGGTGGCTAAAGTCTTCGTTGGCTTTCATGTCTCCTATACTTGAGACTTCTTCAAACTCTTTGATGATCTGGGATATTGCAGGACCAGCTATCATCCATCGTTTCATTGCAGTAGGATTCTCTGTTATTCCTATAGCCCCACCAGAACCCTTAATCAGAGAATTATTTGCTCATGTGCCTGGTCTATAGGGATGGTTGAGAATGACCTAGGTGTCTTCTGAACTGTAAAGAGACCTTCATTGAAACGCTGATACAGGTCAGGGTGAGTTGTCTCCAATTGGACCATGTCCCTTAGGTGTATTGGGAGCCATCTGGGATAGTGTGTATGATCTAATGCAAAAAACCAGGGCATCATCTTGGTCTAAACAGATATGTAGAGTTTAAAGTCTGCTTTTCTCAGGGATCTAAGAAAGATCATAAACAGCATTTCAAGGCGCTGTGTTATAGCCCAGTATTTGAAATGGGTGGAATTGTCTTCCCCTTCCCTTTTCCATTCTTCAAAGGATAGGGGATAGGATAGATACATCACTGAGTTCGCCAGCAGCTAGGTATATGTTGAAAGCTTTCTTCATTAGGATGTGGAGTGCTGCCAACGTGCTCTTCGAGTCTTGGTTAAATGGCTTCCCTTTAGGAAGGACTCTGCAGTACCAACTGATGCTGTATTTGACTGAGCAATTACATTTACCCAACCGCTGTCTGTCAGCCAATCACCAATCACCTTCTGGAATGCCATTTCGATTATATGGAGACCTCCAAACATGATCAAGTATTTATATTCCCCATGTGTATCAGGGTTTATACCACTCTAAGTCTAATTACAGTTGTATAACATGGGTCTATAACAACGATATACAGTGGAGAGTGGTATATCGACATTGTATACAACTCCTCTGTATACACTCCAGCATATACCACTGTAGAAGTGCATTCTGGGAACTAATGAATAAAAAATCATGAAAATGTTCATGATTTCCTAGAATCAAGTGACGTCATAAATGGTTCCGGCATGATTTGCTAGAATCAAGCCATGTCATAAATGGTTCGAGATCAACATCAGCATTATTGAGTTGGCTATGGGATATTTTTATGGTTTTTAACTGTTATGATTGTGTTCGAATCAACTGTAATTGAACTTAGAGTGGCATAATAAGATTATATAATGGTTCATTCTGTATATCGTGCATTTTATACTCTTGTGAGAATATAATATATTCACTCGTTCGCTGCGCTCACTTGTGAATATATCATATACTCACTCGAGTATAAACACGATATACAGAAAGAACCATTATATAACCTCATAATATATTTTAAAATGGTTTTCAGGGAAGCAAACAATGGTTGGTCAGCCGCAAGAACTGGTATTTGACCAGGATTAACTATATGTATGTCACGTTTGACTATGTACATACCATGTTTTAACATGGCTAGAGATTTTTTCCAAAAGAAAATATATTTAAAATCCCTTCAGTGCAGAGTCTATCCAGCATTTATTCTCAATCATATGTGTGACTCTCATATTGATATGTATTATTCAATAAAAGCTTATAAAATAGTACAAGGCTTAATACTGAGCCTTGCTGAACACCCGTTTTAATAGTTAAATATATTGTTAAGTAGTTCCTATATCACAAGCAACTGTCTGGAATTCCCTTAAACAAATACAATTGGTTTAGAGCTAAAATACAACATTAATTCAAAGATAATTCAAATTTCTTAAAAATCTATATGTATTGGCGGCCATCTTGGATTTTTTTCAGAACGAGGCTCCGGATCACTTGCTGCCTCGAGCCATTTTTTTTCAATTGCCTTCAGTTACACTTGTGCCAATTTTGGTGCTTCTATCATAAAAAGAATTATCGTAAGGTGATTAGGCTTAGCTATTAGGATTTTTACCACTTCTAATGTTTCAGTTCAAGCTTCTTGGGTAAGTCGAGGAAATTCACTACTTTTTAAGAAATTAGATCAAAATCAATAAACAATGTTGAAATAGATGTAAAAATCTAGGTCAAATCTTGACAATTTACTATTTCTTCAATTTTTTGTTTTGCAAAGGATACTATTTTGTGTGGACACCTTATTCGTTTGAGTAATAACTTTAATAGTATATTTTATCAGTTCTTTTATTGCCCTTACCGATTTTGAGGTATCAGTTCTCGAAAAACTATGTTGGGCAAAAGTTCTTTAAATTGATCAATACGTTTATGTAAATGACTGCAAACCTTCTCAGAATTACTTAGTTATACGAGATCATGCACAGGCGTCGCTAGGCATGAGGCAGCGCCGCCAAAGTTTACAGAAATATAATTATTCAAATTTAGCCTTTTGCATCACCTTTTTGATTTTCTCGCCAAATGTTTTTTATCCCAGCTACACCACTAGAGATATTCGACACTTGATTGATATTCTTTGACATTTTCAATTTAGAATTCTTTTTAATAAATTGTATTTTTGATAAAAATGCTCTTTGGATGGTCTAGTTAGAACAACAGGCAATAGACGGTGTGCGTGAGAAACCAAACAACGGCGACAATCTTCACTCCCAAAAACATATTTTTAGAGTCACTTTCAATATCAAGTTTTACCTGTTAGACTTTTAACAGTTAGAATATTACTTCATTAATACATGATAAGCAAGAAACAATTGTTGGTCCAGCTCTTATCATTGACAATTACTTCACATGATAAATTCATGTTACACTTTAACCATGATCTTAACCAATACATACCCAATTACCCAGTACTCGATAGTTGTGTCACGTGTAGTTTCTTAACCTATCACAAGTTGATAAAGACTTCGAGGGAGTCGTACGTATGTCGAGAGCGCTACACGTTATTGGACGAGAAATTCAAACTTGGCGACACCAATGGGACTCCATGCGCAAGTGAATGACGCTGATGCAAGGACTCTTCAAGGTACTTCTTCTGAATCACTTCACTGAGATGTAGTTCTCCAAAACAATGCGATTTTTCTTGGGATTTATACTGATGAGCATAGGAACAATATTTGGAGGTACATCAGATGGATTTATTATTTTGACGGAACCGTCCAGTGAGAGCAACCTGTGCCGGGCCCAGTGTATATCAAGATGCCAACTTGAAGTGAGTATGGACCAATTCGTTTCAAAATATGATTTACATCATTTGAATCTCTTCTGTCATTCATCATCAAATATAGTCTTTTGACAATGGTATTATATATAATCGTTCAACAATTTTCTATTAATGGCGATGTAGTGACGCAATCTTTTTTGATATAATCACAAGGGAATGAATTCTTCAGATTCATTCATTCATTCATTTGTGAATTTCGATTTGAGAGACAGTATTCTTTGGTGTCTCTATGATAAGTCAGAAGATGACATAAAAAGACACAATCAAATGTACACTCTGGCTGATTTTATGCAATTTTATTTTTAGGGGGATGATGTCATTGTTCCACTGGATGGCTCGGTAAGTAAAACTGGTTGATTCTCCATAGCCCAAATTGAACTGCGTAACATACGATTTTAAAAACGATCGCTTCGGGTAATTATTTGAGCGATTCACTTTGAATGTAAATGATCTATAAATATTCAATATCCCCTGGTTTCTTGGCTTCGGTGAATATCAGTGAATATCCCTTACGAGTCAAATTTTTATTTCACCCTTGATCAACTCAAGTTGTGACATTCGATTGTGCCCCTGGTCAACTTAACTGGATCCTTAATCAACTTATAAATTATGACATTTGATTGTACGCTTGATCAACTTAGTTGTCATGTTGTGACATTTAATTGTACCCATGGTTAACTTAATGTATGAAACACTATTGTACCCTTGATTAACTCAAGTTATGATATTTGATTGTACCCTTGATCAATTTAATTATCAGTTGCGACAATCGATTGTGCCCCTGGTCAACTTAATGTATGAAACACTGTTGTGCCCTTGATCAACTCAAGTTGTGATATTTGATTGTACCTCTGGTCAACTTAATGTATGGAACTTTATTGTCTTTATTTTACCCTTGATCAACTGAAGTTGTGACATTCAATACCCTGATCAACTTTATCATATGAAACACCAATCTTCATGACGTAAATAATGATACAACAGGATGAATGAGCACTCCAGACCAGATTTTAAACATGACAAATGTGACTTATTCAAGTTCGACTTCTTAACAAAATCATGTCAAAGTCAATAGGTTTAGTGGATTATAATATTTTATCACTCCCACAACATATGGATGTATGACTGTTTTTCTCATAGTTATCTTCATTCGTGATGCTATCAGTCTATATCGTACATATTATCTTCGTGTGATATAACAAGAATATAGTGGTAAACAAAATGTTCTGAATTTTGCTAGTCTTACTGTCAATGATGCCTTTTGGTTGCATGTTGAATCACATTGTAACTTTTGTGAGCATTTGCTAAAAGTGTTACTTTGAATAAATAAATAATGAATTGTTTAAATTAAATTGATTATAATATCCAAAATATATTTATCCTATATGAGGTTTGCGATATTGGGATTATCCGCAGGACCGACATAAATATGTTTACCCAAGGGCTCGGGGTCAAACCTGCTTTATATACCTCAAACACCTTAAGATAAATGTAAGACCATACCATGTACATGTATATATACAAGCTGGATACAGAGAAAATTACACTCATAAATCGAATAAAAAATTAAGCCACACCACAACATAACGATCATACATAAAATAGAAGTCCAATATTACAATGCTGTAATTAGCTCTGACTAGCAACATTCATACACCTGTTCCTTATAGGTACTTTCTCATTATAGCATAGGCATAAAGTCATTACAAGTATTGCTGATTGTAAATTACATTTATGAGACTATATTAAACATAGATGTCTTTAATCACTGATTGTACAAGATAAAGACCAAAAAACTTATCTTTCAAGGTCTCGTTGAATACAAGCCTTGATTTTAAGTTCAGAATTGGTATCAGATTTATACATGTTGGCGATATCACACTAATTGTTTTTATGAGTTGAATTGAAACAACTTACAACGTAACACCTGTTAGTTCAGAACTTCAAGTCCCTCGATTTTTAAATGTCATTAACTTTATTTCATATATTTCAAACTAATCTGGAAGATATCTCTGGGCATGTCCATGTCTATATGGGCATGTGATTCAGCCCTTTTTGAGGATGGTGAGCTTGACAGTAATATAATAAAACAAATAATATAAATACTTTCAAAATGTACTCACCTTGAGAATGGACTAAAATATTTGTATAATATTCTCTCTTCTGAATCATGGTTGAGAATCACACTTACAATTCTAACCCATATGCATCATATTCAATGAGACAGATTTCGCCTGGATTGAGGCACTTTAGCGATACTTTCATTCCCCAATGTAAACAACCATTACTACACACACTCATTACCTGACAAGGGGAGTTGAAATTGAAAGCCGAAAACAGCATAATCTAAGGATTAAGAGTATCGAAGACATGAATCATTCAAAAATATCTTACTTTGCCTCAATGCAAAGAAACTTACGTCAGTTTGTCATGTTTCCATCCATATGTTTTATGTATTTCAGTTGGAACAATGCAGACTCATTCAAAAATATGTTCCTTTGCCTTAATGCAAAGAATTATAACATCGTTTTGTCAAGCTTTCATCCATATCTTAATATGTATTTCAGTTGGAACAATGCATATCTGTGGAATGTGACCCCTATCTGAGCGATTCATGGGTGGGCTCTATTTGCGTATGTATCTTAATGCATATTATATCAATCTATTGAAATATGAAGGTCTCGTCATAAACAGGATGAGCCAATAAGATAACCCAAACAAATGTATGTTAATGTTGTAATAACTCGGTCATTCAGCATTTGTTTAAAGTCATATTTGAATATTGAACAAGGTTCACTTGTGCCAAATATGACCATATACCATTGCTGAATGACGGTGTTATTACCATTTGTCTGGTTTACCTTTTTTGGCTCGCCCTGTAATAATTTGCATATAGTAAATATTGTATATTTACGCCTTGGTGGCTTACGAATGCCATGAAATATGTGTTGTTTACCATCACAGCTATAGCATCTATTAAATTCATAATATGATAATCAAATGGCAGGTTATCATAGGGCATACATAATATGTGGATTCCTAAGTGCGACTCCCTACACATGTGACAGATTTAAATTGTATATCCATATGATTGTATTTTCTAGATAAGAAAAGGGGAATGACTACAATTGATGTTTTGTACATTCATTTTATTTCAGGATAACGATCCTGATTGTATAGCCAGATGCGGTTTCAACATAAGCAGAAATGATACAGGTATGTATCTAAAAATCAACTATTCTAAAATGTTTATAAATGATATAAAATCACTCGCTATTAAAATGAAGCATTTTCGAGCCATAATTCCAATTTTTCACATAGTCGATGACATCATGAAAATGGGAAAGTGTCATTACTCACTGCCTTATTTGGTCAGTGAATGGCTTTCTATCATAATGAAATAAAGCATTATCACCCTATGCAGGCGATGCTATACGAAAGCAATTTGTGCGGATATATGTGCGTGCGATGCGGACTTTGACGGCAATTTCTGAGTTAAATTCGTGATATTTCATACCCTTTGCATTCTTTTGACTTCACTTCTTATACGAGAGCTAGACTTGACTCTGTGCGCAGGGTAGATATTTCATAAACTAAGGCATTTTGAGTACTCCACCATGAAATGGCATAAACAGATCAAACGTATCCTTCGTTTTGGGAGAATACTTGGATGGCCCAATATTATTTTATGAAGGGAATGATCAAATACTAATAATGATTTCTGAACTTTCAGAACTACAACCCAACCTACCAAATGTTACGATTCAAGCATCTGCATCACCATATACAGTCGAGCTTCTATGGGGCAACGATGACCATGAATTTGAAACTGAAGTTGCTGCACCCGAGAAAAAGGTTATCATTTCAACAGTTGGAGATCCCATATTTGTATTGGAGAACAAAGCTAAAAAAGACATGGCCTGGACATTTGTTGATTTTGTAAGTAGGGAGCTCAAGATATCATCAGACCTGGGATTCCCAAGTTTTGTTTTTGGTAGTGATGTACCAGCCCATTGAATGTTGAAAAAGTAGACGACTTCCGGACAATATTTCAAATGTTTGTACCTCGACTTTGCAAATATGCAGGGGAAAGGTACAGAATGCCAAATAATTGTACAGGGTGTTTCAAAAAGTTTTACCGAGACAAACATAGAATAACTCTGATTGATGAAGGAATATTCTTTTGATATGGTCATCTGATAGACAATTTATAATTACAATTCATATTATCAGTCACAAACATCTGCTAGTATCATTTTGGTACAATCTTTAGCACACCCAGTATTTAAAATTCAGATTGCTTTGGTTGCTTCATTTGATGCTATAAACGAATTGTGTTTTCTTACAGTATATATAATATTGGACTTTTCTATTTTAGACAACGGAAACAAAGTTCTTCCAAGAAGCCCCCGACGTGTGTGAGGCATATTCCTATAGGGTCGCTGCTGTAAATGCATTTGGAACAAAGGGATTTTCTGAACCGGTCATCAGATCCAGTGAGGTTTATTTTCATATTGCTTTGTATGGCTTTTTGTTTGACGAAATAAGCTAAATGATATGAACATCTTTCCTTTTTGAAAATCTATTCTGCAATGGATCCCCACAATTTTTTGATCACAAGGCATACACCTAATGTGATTATAGTTGACCACCAAATATGCAAACAATCTTTCATATGATCTCAAAATAATGCATTCACGACATACCATTAAAGATAAGATTTCCCCTCAGAAACAAAAATTGTAATGCTTAGAAGTTCTATAGGACATGCATCACTTTTTGCAGATCTTCCGGTCCCTGATACCATATCTAGTCTAAGCAAAGGAGATATACAGTTTGAGGATAGCTACTTTGTTGTTTTTGTCCAGTGGGAAGCACCAGAAGGTGAATATTATACAAATAGTGACTGCCATTGAGGGCAATAGTGTAAATTATTTCCCCGAGGGAATATCCTCTACAATGTAGGCTTACTATTCCCGAAGCCGCAGGCTGAGGGAATAGTACATTGTAGAGGATATTCCCAAGGGGAAATCATTTACACTATTGCTCGAAATTAGGCAGTCACTATTTGTTTTATTATATACCCTATACTGACTCTTGTCCCGTTTCCTCTGCGGAGGCCAAAAAGGCTTAGAAAGCCCCCTCCTCGGGTCCATTGTTAGCCTTGATTGTTAGCATTACAAGCTGTGACGTCATCAGATGCTCAACAGAAATGTTTGCCTCTGAGACTCTCACTTGACAAATTCAATCGCGTTTAACACGCGGAATAGATTATCATAACACTTGAAATTACACAGACGTATTGAGTTTAGGGAACTTTATCCACCTTGCTTATATTGTATCGTTCACGCACGTCTGTCATGGTGAACGGAGTTGATTTGTGTTTGTGCTCATCCTCCATTTTTCTGTTTTTCGTCTGCGCCGTCTGCGCAGTGATGATGCGCAGACGTTTCCAAGGGTAATAGAAGTTGCAATCGTGACGTCAGCGGGCAATAGTTCAAATGTATATTCCCGCTGACGTCACATTTGAGGGAATATAACTTTCCGAGGGAAATAGTAAATCTATTTCGGAACACGTGACTAGGTATTGACCAATCAGGATTAGTGTTACATATTGGGTATATAATAAACTGAAATGATAAGATTTAGTCTAGATAATTATTATAGAATTCCATAGTATGCGATTTTGTATTCAGGAAATATTAGACGCACTTGGCTATATTATATAATACTAGAATACAATTAATGATATAACATAAATATTTTTTAATGATTGTGATCAAATCATAAATTACCAAAGTAGAATAAATCAACATTAGCATCCCTCCATTTTAGGCTGGCTCGAAGATGACATTGACAGATATGTGTTAACCACTACAAACCATTTCTGTGAAGATGGAAACACCGGCCCTCCCACACCCATATATAACCCAACAGTAAGTAGAAAGTGGGCAAATGAGTAATCCACATTCATCATTTCTTACCTTTAGTATTGTGGATCGCTTCTATGAATTAAAACTTGTTGGGATGCTCTAAGCTTTTCCCATTGTCAGAAAGACTCACTTTGCATTGTATATTATCAACAGATTTGAAACAAATCCCGAGGTTTGATTCCAACATGTTTTCTTTAGAATCATCAGGAAATGAATATAGATTATGGGGTTGTATTTTCATTGCAGGATGACTCACTAAAGCAGTTTCGAATCAGAATATTTCATCTGGGATACCTATGTACATATAGATTTACAGTAAGTACCATGAACGCTTCACCAAGGCGGTTCACTTTTTAAAAACGTCCAGGGGGGTCCATTTGTTTGGCTCGAAAATGGCAAAAATCACTTGAAAAGTGCTCAGAATGGTGAAATACTGCATGATTTTGAAGTAATTTTTGGGCGGGGGATGGGGTCGACCCCCTGACTATGGGCCTGCGTGAATTACGTTGACTATGTTGGATAGGATACCTTATATAGCCTAGGATACCTAATGTAGCCTAGGATACTTTATATAGCTTGGTTTCTTATGCACGGTCAAAACCTAGTCTGTGTATTATATTTCTTTCTATTTGATGCCATTATTTATTTTTACTCCAGGTTGAGCCAGTATCGAGATGCGGGGTATTTGGAGACAATTTTACATTTGACATACCTTTGACAAGTAAGAGGAATTAAAAAGATTTTAAGATCACATTTAAAGGAATATTCCTTGCCAAACCATCTCTCTCCTCATATGGTAGCTATAACCATATATATGGTTGCCATGTTTAGCAAAACACGCAAAAATGTTTTGATATGGTCAAATTTGATCACTTAGAAATGTGATGCTCAATTCCAGTAAGCTGCCATCTTTTGAAATTTCACACAGGAAGTGATGTCATCGACTCTCAACTTTGCATATAGCATTAGGTGAGGAGCTATGAAGAATTACAAAACCAGCTAAATATTCTTTTTCAACTTTGTATCTTATTTAATCCTTCTGAAAATCTCTTCTTTTATTCTAAGTTGACAAGCCCTGAAAATATTTTTGCACAGAAAGTAATGATCACTTGTCTAGAAGTGATTTTGTGCTACTTTCCTATACTGTTATGGGCAAGGTTATAGAAGTTGAGAGTTGATGACATCACTTCCTGCAAGAAATCTTAAAAGATGGCAGCTCACTGGAAATAAGCACTAGATTTTTAAATGATCAATATTGACCATATTAAAACATTTTCCCATGTTTTGCTAAATATGGAAACTATATATATGATTATAGCTACCATATCAAGAGAGAAAGGGTCTGGCAAGGAATATTCCTTTAAATCACATCTTAATTATCATTTATTGCGTCAATTCACTTCTGGTGAATCTCTTAAGCACACTTAACTTATCAAACATACAATTAACTATGTTCAATATATTATTTGCAGACTGCTCGGGTATTCCTGGATTTATATGCCCACCGAGACGTAAGTACAGAGCTATAAAATATGAAAAAATTGTAAGCAACATGTAAAATTGGCCCACCAATTTATTCTTATCATCTCAAATATATTATATCAATATTATATATTATACAGTTATTTATATATTATCCCATAATGAAGTAATTTAAGATTCAAGGTGGGATGTGAACGCATGCATTGCATAAATATAAAACATTTAGTTTTCTTGTCAGATTGTGATTTTTTTAAAAATATATCGAGCAAAATTATTCTAAAATTGAATAATTGAAAAGGAATATTTTGAAATGGTTGCTCAATAAATATTCTAAAACGGAATGAGTAGTCAGAACACAATAAGCGAAAGAAACGTCTAAGAATTTTTTTGCAGAAAAAACATAGAATATAGACACAAATATGATGAGAACTATGACTTTTGTAGCTTCATTCCTTGTTAAGTATTGTTTCTTTTTGTAACAAATTATATTGCGGTGAAACCAAACCTGCGCCTATAGTAATGCTGCTTTTTGTGTATTTCAGCAACAAAACGTCCAGGAGCAGTGAAACATGTTATAATTGACGCTTCCCAAGGTAACCCCGTTACTGTACACTGGGGAGAGCCAGACCTCGGGACATTCCCCTATATAAAGGAATACGCCTTACAATGGGGTCCTCTGGATACAAATAATCCAATATTTGAAATAATTGCAATTGTTGAAGACAGGAAGGCTGTGCCTGGGTATATAACGACAACATCATTTAGCGTTAATAATACGGATATCCTCTATGGTTTTCAGGTAATGATATGTATTTGGAAACAGAATAAACCAAGACACCAATAAACCATATGCAATGGGTACCATACCATAATGGTAGAATCAAAGAATGAATACTGGTATGACATTTAGAATGGAATTATTTTTCATTCTTTTACCATTGATATGATGCTGTTTATTGTATATACCTGGTTATTTATTTGACTATGTTTCAGATATACCCACTTAGCCCTGATGAAGAATATGGTGATATACGCTGGGGTATGCTGTCTACCACAACATTCATTGTCCCAAGCTCTACAAGTAAGTCACGCTTAAGAATTGTAATATTTTCAACTATTTTCTAAACATCGCATGCTAGAATTGTTATTTAACATGCTGGTAAAACAAAGCTTACATGCTAGTTTTATAAGTATATTGGTTGCTTTGTAAAATTGATTATAGCTAACATATTGTTTACATTTATATGCTGAACCACATTTTGTTTATCTGCACTACTAATTATTCATGTTCATCCTTATATGGTTTCAGAATTGTTAAACGATGATTTAAGAGACCTATCTAGAATTTTGAACGCACTATTGAGCGGATTGTTAAAACTCACGCGGGAGTACTTTTATTGACATTTATTGTAAATGAGACTAAATGAACATTGAATAAACTTCGTGCAGCTAAACAGAATCAGTTTTGTTAATACTTTCGGAACGTCCCACACTTTAACAGCTCCGTATGTGTTTTGTTAGTAGCTAGTTCTACTGAACGATCAACCATTGACGAAGTTGACGACAAACACCTGAGTAAACCTCCGAACCATATTGGCTATGTCCCCACGCCTACGTCCAGTCGAAATGAAGGTATTGAGGTCCATCCCTAACATATGATAAGGAATATTTTTTCTTCTGTTCCATATAAATAGCCACTACAAAAGCCATTGTTGACATAGATGATTTAGGCAGGACTCCAAATCCTGATCAAATTGACTATGGTCGTGACCGCAACAAAGGTATACGAAAACACCACTATAGTCAAGCGCTTTATGATAACTAGTATTAAACTCTTTAATTGCAAATTTGCCTTAATCTAGCTGATGTGGTATTGATGTTTCATCCATATCCCAGTACATAACTTAAAATCAATTTCACTGAATTTCATTTTATGACAGAGTCTTACTACATATTTTCATCTAATGGTGAAAGGAATTTTGAATAGAGATTCCAGAAGACTTCGCAGGGAATTGAAAGACACTTGTGTTATTCATTTCACGTTCAAATCTCAATAAGACAATCAACTCGTGGAAATGATAACAAATACAAAAGTACACATCGTTTATTGTTCTCGACATATCATTCTTAATAATCTAAATCATATATAATATTTACCAACTAGACCTGACTTTGGTTGTTGGATTTAATGATTTATGTTATTTTGATATTGTATCGCTAGTGCTCTTCACTGTTGTCCCTCCAGCTTCTTGATTGTTTTTGTTTTGCTTACTCGATCACAATATTTGTAGCCTATATTGTTATTTGTTTAGATAAACCAGGGTCGTATATTATGCTTATGCTTATTAAGGGAACAGGGCAAATTAATGAGGGCATTTTGTTAATGCTTTGCATGTATGTAGTTCGTATGGGGATATCCATTAACCTAAAACCACCAATACCAATGTGTAATGTTTTATGGGATATGAAAAATCGTTGTTTAATTATCCCTTTCCACTGATGTTAAAATTTTCATTAATGTAATGTTTTCATGCTATTTAAGAGTGAAATCGTACATGTATTTTCCATCTAACAAGATACAAATAAATATTGATAAACCATAATATTTAATTATGGCTACTATGTTTTAGTATATTAATCACATTTTCAGATCTAGACAGCAACGTTGTTCTTACAATAGTAGTGCCTCTTGTTGCTATAGTGATGGGTGTCATGGTAGCATCATTCATGATCTACAGGCGAAGGCGAATCAAAAGTCAACGAAGGAGACAACGTGAAATGGAATTTGAAGTCAATAAATTGTACACGCCAATGGGGTACGACTAACATTTGTAGGATAAATACCTGTCAGCGTTCTTTGTTAATTGACAAACTTTGTAACCGCTTTTTTCACCAATACTTGATGCCAAAATTTTAATACTATTACCAGCGGTATTGTAGCGTGTATTATTGCATTGTATGATGATAAGATATTTTATTTTCAGTGATGCAGCAAATGTGACTGATGACAAATGGGAGATAGCACACGAACGATTGGTTTTTGGGGAGGTTTTAGGTCGTGGAGCATTTGGACAGGTCTCCAAAGGATACATAAAAGGCGAAGCACCAAAAAATATGAATACCGCAAATCAAGATGCGCTTATTAGAGCTCAATCTATAAACAAACCTGTTGCAATAAAAATGATTCATGGTAAGTAATTTTAACAAGAAATCAACGTTCAATAATTCATATTCTGACATTGGCGTTGAAATCTTATTTTTGGCCCAGGTACAGCACATTTCCAAACCCATTCTTATGTTTATATAGTAGTGTTTTGAATATTGCCAAGGTTTCAGCGTGTAGTAGGATTTATTGTAGCCATGTTATCAATATTCTTTTCAGTGTAGTCTGGGATTCGTTTTCCCAATGGATTTTCTTTTTTGAAAAGCTTGTTCTCCTATTTAATGTTTTATTGCGTTTGTAGAGTACGCTTTGGAGTCATCAAAAGAGGAGTTTACAAAGGAAATTAATTTAATGAAGAAGATTGGATCCCACCCCAATGTTGTGAGCATGATTGGCTGTTGTACCATACATGAACCGATTTGCCTCATTGTTGAACACGTTCCTGATGGTGACCTGCTACATTACCTCAGGAAACACAGAATTAATGTTAGTTCATATTCGTTGTAATAAGTGTATACGTGAAATAACTAAAACAGAGTTTTTAAAAACTCGGTCCATCATATCTGACATGGTATCATATTTAGGGACTAAAGGCCTCCCATGATACCGTGTGCTATATCTATTTTTATGGTCAAATCCTCGCATAATCGAGGCGTAGAATAGTGCACGGCATGGTAGGGTTAGCGAAGAATTATAATAGGAAATGAAAGGTACACGTTTTAACTTTTACGTTAACGTGAATAATTATGGTCCTTGCTTGCCCCATTGAATATTAAGGCATGAGCAAAATGTTGTAATAAGGTCACTAGAAAAAAACAATTGAGTGGGGGGCAATAATCTATTGCGGTTAAAATATTACACGTTCATGTACAAAACTCAATCTCTCTAATCTATTGAATATACCCATTAAAATGTGAAATGGACATGTTTCAGCTACTAAAAGATGGTGGCTCAATCTGTCTAATCTATTGAATATACCCATTAAAATGTGAAATGGACATGTTTCAGCTACTGAAAGATGGTGGCTCAAAGAACTCTACCAGTGATGGATCAGAGGATACTTCAGTTGTGCAGGTTTTGGATATGTTATCCTTTGCAAGGCAGATTGCTATGGGAATGGTACATATATTACAATAATTTTATCTTATTATGTCACATCCCAGAAGTTTTGACACATTGATATACTATCCCCCTTTTTTACGTCGATGACTTGTATTAACACTACATTGTTTGGTTCGTTCGCTTTAGGTTACATTATTTGATAGCATGTATTTGGAAATGCATCGATATGGATATTTTAATAATATTCATAAGTATTTATTTTCCTTCAGGATTTTCTATCTGACAAAGGGTTCGTCCACCGTGATCTAGCTGCGAGGAATATACTTGTTGGCCAGAATAAAACAGTGAAAATTAGTGATTTTGGTTTAACTAGAAGTGTTTATAATGACAATGTGTATGTACCGCAGAAGGGAGGAAAGCTGCCACTAAAGTGGATGTCTATTGAGGCTATATCAGATCTAACTTTCACATCAGCAAGCGATGTGTGAGTATACGAGAAACATTATAAATATTAGTTTGGGCTTAGAACATTAGCACCATTATGATATTGCATTATTATCTCATCGAACAAGGTTCAACAGGAAAATAGAGAACCCACCCCCTGTTTATCAGTCAGCTCATTGGTTCGTCTACCGGTTTTGGATTTGGTTCAAATTTGATAGGATCATGCCGAATGAGGCTAAGACATCAACTGTAGAAGAAAATTCCAATATGGTTGCCATTTTATGTAAAACTTGTAATCTTAGATAACTAAAAAACGTAGTTGGCTGATTTTTTCCACATTTTATATGCTGATGCAGAACCCCTGTTCAAGAGGAAATATTCGGAATGGCCACTATTTTCTCTGCTCGAAAATGAAAAGTTCAAAATGATTTCATGTGCTCATGTCTTATGGACATAGGACTCTGCTCAAGAAAGAAAATTCGGGATAGCAACTGAATTCAAAATGGCCACTTTTTGGAATAAATTATGGTTCCAAATTGTATAGGTTGATGATTCATGGGCAAAGGACCTTTTCTCAAGGAGGAAAGTCTATTATGGTGTCATGATGAAGCCATTGTAAGATAATGCAAATGGAGACAAAACTACTGCTTTTATGAAATGTTCAAAATGACAATTAATTGATAAAACATATATTGTTCTTTGGAATTTGCTAATTTGGGTGTTCCTTCTAGAGCTGCAGGGAGTTGCTTCTAATTTACCCAGTCATATACTTATATCATGATCACATATTGCTTTGTTAAACAAACATTGTTTTTCAATTTTAGGTGGTCATATGGCATAGTGATATTTGAAATTATCACAATGGGTGGAACACCATATCCCACCATTGCTAACATGGACCTGCTAAAGCTATTACGAGACGGTTATAGAATGGAAAAACCAGATAATTGTCCAGATGATCTGTACGTTTTTTAAACGTATTATTTGCTCTTATATATATTCATATTTTCAAATTGAAGCATTATGTTATCTATAGGATAGCATTTCAAGTTTTGTAATATCAGGTTTACGTTTTAATAGTGTTTTTAAGTTATGTTTAACTAAGGCTCGTTATTTTAATTGAAATCTCATGCAATTTCTTTGAAGGTACGATTTAATGATACGATGCTGGAAAGTGAATCCATCTGACCGCCCAACATTTGCTGAATTGAAAATTGATTTGGAGAGAATGATGGAAGAAAACTCAAATGTGGATTATATGGATTTCAGTTTGGATGAATCAAAAGATTACTATGTGTTTGAGGTATTTTTCTACTGAATTTTTCTTTTTATTAAGTTATTCATTTTTTGTATAACGAATACTACAATACATGTGTAAGTGGTCCTACAATGTATTCAATCAATAAAATAAATTAAAAATAAATGAGATACAAGAAGATAAAGTTGTTTTGTGGAGGATTTCAGACATTTACACATCACTCTTTGAATTTTTGTATATCCCTTATGAAATGCTTGCAAGACTTTTGAAAATATTCTGTTGACATAGCAGATAGAGTCACACCACTTCTATCCTTACAACCAATAATTATCAGTAGTATGCAGTGCTTATTAAATGTATGTTGACAATGAATCGTTGTAACGATCTATGATCATTCCACTTGCATTTTATAGGAGAGTCAACAGAGCGAGAGTGTATTGTGTGAGGAGAAATGGGCAGGACTTGGGCCTCCCATCGAGGTCGCACCGGGTGTTGATAATGACGGATTCGATCGACAATCACTCGAGGAGGAAACACCAAATGGTCAGCAACGTGGTGTTAATAATACAGACACTAAGATTGGCAATGCTGGGGGAAGTATTGATGCTGATGTAACGGTCATTATAATCGAGGACAGTAATGCGACAGTGGTTGATACTACTACTGTTACAAATGAGAGGACACAAGCAGAGGCACCGGGTACCTCAGAATCAATGGACAGATTGCGACTAAGGAGTCTAAGTGAAACGGATACAGAACATAGTAACAGTGATGAGTGGTTGATAAAGAAAAGGAATGATTCACAACCTAATCTGAAACATGATGCATATCCTAAAAAGGCGAAGAATAATATCTCAAATGATGAATCGAGAGAGTTACAAATATTGGGTCGAAACAACAGTGACGAGTGTCTCATGCTATCTATTGGTAAACATGCCTCAAAGCTTAACATTGGAATGACCAGATTGTAAAACAGAATCAATAATTATCCCAATACAGCTAAATAAAAAGAACCCGGTGAAGGTTTAATAAGATTCGTTTTTGAAATTACAATCCATTCATCGAATCCCCTTCAAACATCATTCACTTTGGAATCTCATATAACTGAAGAATTTGGTAGTGGGTAGTTAATGCATTCAAAATTATTTCGTTTTTGGTACTTGGTATATTTTAGTGTAGTTAAGCCTTCTTTTATTTGAAATTATGTGTGTATCATACGAATGTGAAAATTGTAAATAAATCGACCGTATTGAAATAATGATGCGATCATGTAAATAAAGCATATGCTGTGATCCATATATATTTGTTATACGCTATTTTAGCAGCTGAGTAGTGTGCAATACATAGCCTATCCTACTAGACTATACATCCCCAATTCAAAAAGTGGAACATTTGTTTAAGGCCTTAGATAAGGTTAAACCACCTTGACTTATATTCTAGTGTACATAAAATTGTGATATGTTAACGTTTTCAATCTCAAAAAGTTGTTTTTTAAGAACTCTCTGTGAGAATAGTGAACTTCTTTTTTAAACTTCAATTGTCATATGCACAAACTGTAAAATCACTGCACAATAGGATTAACCGTGCTCAGTTAAATATTGGCCTCTTTTAGTTAAAAAGTAATTTTTTCTATACATACATTTAAGCTGTTTCATCTTTCATTGGCCCACTGTGTATATATTAGACCTTCACCTAATAATCTGGTATCAGACACATACATAGTACCAGTACATGTAATTTTAATATTCTAAGTATAAATAGATGTCATTGATTTTATTAAGGTCAATGTAGAAGAAACTTTTACTTGATTGTACTTTATAGAAATTCCGTAAGATGGCAACATCGTCTCGTTCAGTATGCTCGATGGAAAATATTTTTTCTCTAAACTCTTTATCTATTTATCAAAAGCTTTAAGTTTGGAGCTCTATAACCATGTCAAAATATTGTTATCTGCTCATTATACATGAGTAATTTTATGAGCAATCAAGTTGAAGATACAATTATAACTACTAGAGAAACTGCCAGTGTTATAGAAGATTAAGCTGTTGAAGTATTTAGGGACATGCAATGTGTTGTTGCTGTTCAACAAGACAACACGAAAAAAGCCCACATTGACGTCTTTTCGATTACAAATAGATAAAAACATATTGAAGTGAGCAACGAATATTGGAAACATGCATGTAGTCAACGGTTTATATTGTACAAAACTGAGAAGCATTTCGCTTTTTTATTCACATTTTAAAAAGATATGTTGAGTAGAATGTCTGACCGTTGTGAGATTTCCAGCATGGGTACTTACTTCTCAGCCACACCTGCTGGTGTCAATCCTGGCACAGGTGCCGTATCTACTTAGCTGAATACTTTACCATGTTGTAGAAAATAAATGTTAGCTTAACCTTTCATCTCTGTAAGTGAACCCAGTCTCCATTTCTCATGAATTACAACCGAGCAAGAGAAACTGATATCCTAATTCTACTGTAATGTAGTGAGTTTAAACCAAAGCAAAGTGGGGGTAGAAATCCCAATTTGTATTGCATGGTGTTTACATGTAGGAAACAATAATATAAATATGAATATTTTTTCCATTTAACTGTCTCAAAGAAACTAAATATAATTTGATGTGGGATTGTTATATTCGATTTGCTTCGAAAACCTCTGTGTTGTACGAATTGTTATAAGAATAGAAGACACCAGTGCTCATGATAAGAACGAGAAGGACGGTTACAAACTATAATGTGTCACGATTCATGATACAAAAGTATTTTGTTTCATTGTGCGTTAACACATACAAGTAATTGATGTTGATAGATCTTCTTGCATTGTATGGGTTAATTTCATGAAGTGACACAAAACTAGTGTGCAGTGGTACAATCTGGAAATTGCTGACATATATGGAAATATATCACGTGTATAATGTTGATGAATTCTGTATGTGTCACTTTGGGCTGTCTGCATTTGACTATGAATGAGAAATCATGGTTACTATTAGCAACGAAACTAACTTGAATCTTATCTGATGTTAACATTAAATGGATAGTTATTCATGTTTCGGTGTGTTAACACTGCTTTATATGAAGGTATGGGCCATGTGACGGAATGTCAAGATGAGTGATTTCAATTTTTACCTTTTTAACCAGAATTTATGTTCATCATAATCACGTAAACACAAGGGACGATATATAAAACAAAGAAGGGTAGAATTCACCAGCTTTGTATTGCTTGGATTCAATTTCCAAAATTAGGCTAAGCAAATGGGCTCATAAAAGGCCCAAACATCCCAAAAATTGCAACAGTTTTTAAATTAGTCTTATATTATGTATTGATATCAGTTGAAAAACATATCAAAAGTATAGAAAAATGTATGCAGTGGACAAATATGAAATTTCACTTCCTAGGTACCCCCTACAGCCCTACCCCAAAATTGAGTATTGGTAGGAAACAATTTTTTCTGCCCAAATGGAATACTTTAGTCAAGTATTCAAGCTTTATTATGATAGATAACATATTCACAAATAATTAAAATATTATTTTAATCATTTTTGAGACCAGTAATTGGTCATTTGACCCCAAAGTATAACAAAATAGGCACAAAACAGGCATGTTATCACATATCTATTTAGATATTTTAGGATCAGTTTGTCAGAAAAACATGAAAAAAATCATGGTGTTACATATTCATATGAACTTCATATTTGGAGAGTGTCAGAATTCTAACGTGTATACTTAGGAAGAAAAAAATTACTTCATTTTCATAGTTTTGCCCCACCCACTATAGGGGAGACTATAGTTTTTATGACTAACTCCCACAATGCATCACATTTGTGTTAGAGTTGACATCTAAATCGTTTATATAGGCTTGTCATCATCTAAAATACAAGTTTTGTGAAGGTTTATACCTTATTAGTATGAAAAATAGGAATTATTAGTTGCACCAGGTGAAATGTTAAGGTGACCTCACTTTTATTTGATGAATAATTACAAATCACCACTTTGATATTAGGGTATTAGGGTATTTGATAACTGCTATACTAGGCTTATCTAAATAAATAATGTAAGTTGTAGTTTCTGTGCAATTTAATATTGTTTAAATTAAAATTATTAATTACAATCCGCAATTACAAAATTTGCATATATTTAAATCCATCAGATAAATAAATCATCACATAGGAGTACTTTACTATGGAACTATCAATTGGATGTATAATGCTGTAGAAACTAATTTATGGTTATTAAACGGAATTTAAACTGATAGAGCACATTTAAATCTCAGATATCTGGGGAGTCTTTCATTAATATAATTTCAGTGCGTAGGAATGATGGTAATTCTGTCTGTCAGGTTGGAAAACATTGAGTGTGCATGTGCTACATTCAGAATCGGATGCAGATATTGTGATTGTGAAAACTGTAATCCAAAGTGTCCAAAAGCAGTAACCCAAGAAACAAAATGTTGGAATATAAATGAAATAAGATTGTCTTTTGTTTATCTTTTCTGGGGTGTGACACCGCATTCTGGTTATACCTGGCATAGACAAGAAGCTATCATTGAGGCAGATAAAAAAGATAGAGTTCTTGAGAAAACAAGCGGTTGTTTTTAAATTACCAAATGGGTCGTTTCGGTAACAAAATGTCTAAACGTCGAAGGTACGATTTTTCTTTTTTCTTTTTTTCACGCGTTATAGGCGGAATCCCCACGATGTTTTTTCTTACCATCGTGATCGTGTATCAGTATCATATGTTTAAGAAAATGTACATGTTTGCGCAAAAATAGCTCAGAAGACAACAGAATTGTTGATTTAATTCCTTACTAAGTTACATAAACGATTTGGGTCAAAAGTGCAGATCTTAACTGTTTATCGAAATACCGTTTATGTAAATAAAGTGAGGAATTAAATCGACGATTCTGTTGTCTTCTGAACTATTTGTTCGCAAATATGTACATTTTTTAAACACATAATACTGATACAATTTTGTGATAACAATGTTGTGGAAATTCTGCCTACAACGTGTGAAATAAGGAAAAAAGAAAAATCATACCTTCGATGTTCCGACATTTTGTTACAACGTAATTAAGTGGAAACCAGTGAAATGCAAGCAACTCTGTCATTGCAGAGGAACATGCTCTTTTGTCAATTTAAGGTTGAAAAACGGTGAAACCCTAACTGAACTTAGGCTTCAAAAATTCTATTAAAAGAGAACAGCAAGATCTGAATTATTGCAGCCCCGTGTTCTTCCTCCAATTTCTGATATTTGTGCAAATACTTCCATTACTGATTATGAAAATAATGGTGACTAAATAATGAACACTGGCGGATCTGGGGGCCGCGCCCCCCCCCTTGGGTTACCCTTTGCATTCGTTTGACTTCACTCCTTAAAAGAGAGCTTCGTCTTCGTCTGTAGTTTAACTAGACTCTGCACGCAGGGTACCCTTGGGTGGGCCCAGAAAAAAATAGGGCCTGAAAAAGGCCTTAAGGCCCCGAAAAGTGGGCCTTTTTGGTCATTAGTGGGCCTTTTAAGGCCTTATTTTTTAATTACAGGCCACATTTGAAGATAATGGGCCTCAATGTTTCAAAATTTAGGGTTTTAGGGGCCCAAATTTTTTTTCCCGCGCAAGCCCAGATGTTTTTTTCTCAGACCTGAAATTTGCCCCCCCCCTTGTTGGTTCCCAGATCCACCCTTAATGAAGTTTGGTGATAGACAAGTTTGTAACTGATTGTTGCCATATATGACGGTTAAGATTACAAAATTAAGGCAGCTTTTTGACAATGAACATAACGTAATCGAACCATGCCCTGTATAAAGACCCCGATAAAGACCAGGGATTTACTTTGTGTTACACTAGTTAACTCAGTAGGATTTATTAACGTAGAAACCTTTTCCTCATTAATTATTGAATTTCATCTTGAAATCCAATTCTTCAGTTGAACTTCTTCATTTCATTTCTCAATATCACTGTGTGGTTAAGAACACCTTAGTCAAAAGTAACAATTTTTCCTTAATACAGGGCGAGCCAAAAAGGTAACCCAAACAAATCTTAATAACTCAGTCCAGTCATCCTGCATGAGTTGAGTCTTGGTCAATGTATTATCAATCTACCCAATCTCAGTGGTCTATCTCTAGTGGTCACGATTTTATGGCCATTTTATACCATGCCATGAAATATGGGTGTCATGCCTGGAGGCCAACTTGAACGTATCGTGCGTAGTTGTTCAAATCAAGAGCATAAAAATCTTGTGTTATGGCTCTCATCTTCATTCTTATCTCTTGTTTTAATGTTTCAAGTGTTGCTAGTAT